TCTCTCCACGCTCGACATTCGTTAGGATATGCAAATTATTCCTGTGAATCGGATCGCTTCATAAATATGCAAATTTTGCGCAGACTAACAGCAGTAGCAGAAGCAACGTCCTCGCTGCGTTTATGTGTATATGTGTATACGTGAATGTGTGTGTGTGCAGTGTATGTACGAATGCGAGCTTTACTCTACTGTGTGCGGCGCGGAAAAAACGAGAAAACCCCCGGAAGAGAGAAAACGCGCGTGAATCGTCGAGCAAGCAGCAAGGGTTAAAAACACTTTCGCCCGGGCACATATAACGAAAATATAAATGTACGAGTTTAATGCGCACGAAGGCAGAGATTTATTTATTTTTATACGTTTTTTTCTCTACCAACTGTCTGCCGCTTAGTTTCTCATACTCAGGTGGTGTATAATGAATGATATTTCGGGCGCTTTATTCGTCATCGCGCACGCATTGGGGGAGAAAAAAAATTGATCCAAAGCGCGCGCGCGCGCGGACGGATTCACTCAATTTTTTGCCACTCGAGCGAGCGAGAGCCAAGTTTTTATATAGAATTTTACAACGATCGGCTAACAGTAAAACTAAAAGCGATTCATTTATATAAGGATAAAAATCACTATATAATATAACGCAGACGATGCAAGATTACGTAATATGCAAGTTTTAACACAGGCAATTGTGTCTGATAAAACGTGTCGCGAGGAAGAAAAAAAAAGGTAAAAGATCGAGCTGTAGGAGCAGGTTCAGCGATCAGAAAAAAAATTGTGAAAGTAACGAAATTGATCTTGAAATTTCGGAATACGTGCCGATTTTGCCGAATCGTCTGCAGCTAGTCTGTTTGACAGCTATCTTGTCGCATTTATATGTTAGATAATAATTTTTTCGTTCCGTCCTTATGCTGCTAAGCCATTAATAATCCATCGCCGCTGGAGCTTTGATTTTAGGCGTTATCGCGTAAAAAAATTGATTTGAATTGTAAAAGATATTTATTAATAGACCCCGTATAGTGAACTGGTCCTCCGAAGTTATCGTCGCGCAGCATATACTTATGAATTTCGGGATTTCTTAAGGAAAAAAAGATCATTTAAAACTTGAAATAGCTTTCAAAGTTTAGCGCGCTCGAATAAGCGGGCGAAAATTTAGAGATTTATTCGCCGATAAAAATAAATATTCCTAATTGAGAGGACATCTATTTAGAAATGTATAATTATAGCACGTAATCAAATAAAATTGGGTGATGCTGCGCTATCTTATATTATATTCATGAAAAAAATACAGGTTTTGTAAAGAATATCGGTGAAGACAAAAGTCACCGCAAGCGTTTTTATATCATTGAGTGATTAGCCAGATAGTCTCGCGCGCGCTCTCCGTTCTTTGAAAAAAGTTGAATTATAATGGCCATAAAGTGTCCGGTATAATAATGCTCACGCATAATACAAATAATAAACTCGAATGTGTACCAAAGAAAAAACGGTTTCGAGTGTGTGTGTGTACAATATACACCGATCTTAGTCAGAGATAGTTATTCAGGCAGGTTGGATCCATCGATCAGCGAAGGTCCGCAAAACGTTTTAACACCGCGCGATTATGTAAGATGCATAAATCAGTGACCCGTTTAAAGAGATACACCTCGCGATTTGCGTTTAACGCGGATTATGTATCGAAAGTGAAAGCATAATATCTACATAAAATTATGTATATATATATGATACATAGCGCGTGGATCGGACTTCCGACGTGTTGCTTGACAAGTGTCAATTAATCAAGATCTCGGGCTCGTTTTTTTTCTAACATAATATAGTTTTGACGGTCGATGAATCAACCATAGCGTAAAGTCGATCGTTTATTGGGTATTGTAATGCAAAGTAGGGCGTGACTGTGGCGTGGGTCCACGCGCTAATCTGATGCATAAAACAAATCTTCACCGGCGTGATAGGCTCGACTCATGGTGTGTGGCGCACGTGCGGACTTTGAGGTAGGCACGTTGGACCAAGACGGCGCGAGAGCAAAAAAAAAGATTGCATTCAAATTGCCCATAATCAAGTCGAGCCAAGGAGAGTAGGAAACAAAAAGGTGATAGTCGCACGCGCACGTGCTGAGGCCTCGTCGTCGTCGTCGTCGTCGTCGTCGCGCGGCTCACACATTATATTACATCGGGTTAACATATCTCTACGCGCAATATAGCGATCTCTTCTTCGCTTGTTCTCAACTCCACATACAATATTCATTTCGCACGCATGAGCATCGGCAGCAGCAGCAGCAGCGCTTAGTTATGCAAACGGTTCGTTTCGAGGCAATCGCGAAATTTATACATGATTTATTTATAACGTTATGATATCACAAGAGTGGGACAAAATTAGTTTATACGCGCGCTGGAATGAATTTTTGGTTAAAAAAAGAAATAAATAAAAAAGGAGAATTTTATTTTGACAATTTATAAGCAGATTTATAAGCAATTTATGTAATAGGTTAAGGAGTTTAAAGACTAAGTAAGTATTACGTATAAATTAAAGTTCAGCGATCTTTAAGTCTTCATTTGCGAGCGTAATTTTAGATCCGAGCCGAGTTAAAAATGCGAGAGAGAAAAAAATTATTGTCATAAATCGGGTGAATCACTATCATCCTTATCGTTTTGCATGTACAATTTTTGGAATCGAGAAATTTTTTCATACCAACGACCCGAGAGAAACTATTTCTCTTTCATTAAGCAGGAAAAGCCATTTTCGGGACACCAGGTAGAAAAAATGTTGAACAGGCCCAAGTTACAAAAAAAAAACACGTGTTTACGGATGCTAATTACACGAGTCTTGGGACTTGCTATTTTTCCCGGCCTGGGGTAGTAATATCCTATAATTGAGATTTTGAGATTTTCCCGCTCGCTGTGGGAAAAATATTAAGCCCAATTCGTGTAATTCAGCGTAGAACCAGCTCGACGGCGGCGGACACGCATACCGGCGGACCATCAGTCGAATTAATGCAAACATCGCCTCTGGGCTCTTACGTACGAAGCGTTAATACACGATGATTCCATCAGTGAGGCAGTCTCATCAACAATGACGAATAGCTAATTCTCAGGACTTATTTGTATATTATATGCGCCTGTTAGGGCCGATACGTCAATTCACGTCCATCATTTGTCAATATTATGGGTATAATCGTGTAACGTCATACATGATACGACCGCTACACATTAGTATAATAAAGCAGAGTATGCAGTATTGCTAGGACTAGCGCAATCGCAAAAGCTCGCGAACGAGAGAGAACAAATACGCGTGGCATTAGTCAAACGTTTTTTCAATTTTACTCTGGTCAACGTGCAACGAAGCGACGGGCGAAGACTTTTTGTCGTAAGATGAATCGATCCGTTAAAATATGCGACAAAGGCTTGTAATACAATGCTGCTGCTGCTGCTGCTGGGTCGCGTACTGTATATTATATACGTATATAGCTGCTGCTGAGCTCGAGGGGATCGATTGTCATTACTAATTCACGCTGGCTGTCCTAGTTTGAAAATAATGAAATTTCCTCTACTACTACAACACGGTGGTGCGTTTGTAACTCGTCGCGTCGTGCTCGCGCTCTGATCGAGCTTTCGCAGTCGTGTCGTTCTCTCTATCCAGCACGGATTGCGCGCTCGAAAACTTCCCCTTTGTATGTGGAAAAAATATGATTGCCGTGTAGCGTATTATGTATCGCGCGTTGACTTACGGCCTCGAGCTCCGGGAAAAATTGTCGCACCTCATTCGCACATATATGCCTAGCATTTCAATCGCTCGAGATCGAGCTGGGCGCAAATTAAATAAATCAGGTGCTCTATAGCTGCGCCGCCGAGCAAGTGTAACGGGAATTTTGACCCGCGCGGTCAGGACGAACAAAGATCTGCAGCTCGGGCCAAGACAATAAGATCGATTGGTCAGCTGGAAGCAGGATGTTCTATCTGTTTCTATCTGTTATGTGCCACCGGGGACAAGTGCATCTCCGCACGTATATAGGTATTGGTACTCCGTTAAACGGACGCTGCTTTCCCAATGTCGAAAGAGAGAGAGAGAGAGGAACTAAGCATCTGTACCCTTTTAGCCAACCTGTTGATGGAAGTCGAGCGTGAAAATGTTTTCTCTCTATCTCTCTTGTCTGGCGCGCGTTCGCGCGAGGCGATGAGATTGGCATCGACGCGTGCCAAACGCGAGCTATACATATCCATGTCGACACCATCAACGCGCGCGCCACATTGTTTTATTTTTTTTATTTTTCATTTTTTTTTTCTTATTGTTCGTTGCTCGAGGGCCACACGCGTGCCATCAATTTCAATATCGTCTGGGCGCGCTGCCTTTTTTTGTTTTGTTATCTTTACGGGCTATATCAAATTCTATGCGCAGATCAACGAATTTGAGAGTCATCGCGAGTCATCAAACGATCCGAAATAGAAGAGGTGAAGTTATTGCTGATAGGATTATTAATGATTATTGCTCCGAGCACGACGATACACGCGCGGGTCGTATGCACGCTTAAATAACCTGATGATTGTTTGAATAAATTTTTGTTTTAATGAATCAGATATAAAACAAGTTCTTTTCGTTAATTCTTTTTTTGTTGTGGAGCATGCCTAAATCATTGAATTACGTTAAAAGCTACTAGGTTCGAATAATTATTACATAAATCTCGTTCCGATGTCGCGATCGTCACACTTGTGTGCGAAAAGAATCTCGATCGACGCTACGCAAATTGCATCGAGGCAATTAGTTCGTGGTTACACGGAAAAATTAACCTCGTATAGTTTCTATACTTGGCTCGATTCGAAAAATATATTTTTTTTCAAAGAAAAACCCGCAGTTAAAAGATTGACAAATAAATTTTATAAATTATGGTCAATTAAAAAAAAATGTGCTGAATAACAAACAACAAAGACATCCGATTGATCATAAAACACCCTGTACACCGCAAATCGCATTCTCGAAAGATCGAGACGAGATATTACAACGAGAACTCTGCAGAAGACTCGTTTCGATTGCCTCCTCGTCTCCTTTTTCTTTAATTGAAAATCACCGAAGGAAATTTTTCGCTTAAAAAATACATAAATCGATGGCAAAATCGTCAACAATGTATACCCCTACCACCATGGCGATCTCACACGTGAAAAGAGATATTTTCCCGGTGGCCTATCGCGTCTCTCTCGTCGTGGCGACCAATGAGCGAGCGCGAACGAAGACGCGCGCGCACTGCCTCGCACTTGTCGGCGATTTAAAAAAGGAAGCAGCAAAAAAAAAGTATCCTCACACATACGCGCGTATGAAAAAAATGTCGCGGCTCCGGCTCGACTCACACGCGTCGGCCCGCGGAGGAGTGGGAGCGACTATAATGTGCGGAGGCATCAATCGCCTTGAGTATATATACACATAAAACGTGGTCTGGTCCATAGTCGAATCGGCAGTTGCTCGATAACGCGACACCGGCGCTGTTCTCTCGATCTCCAATCATCACTTTTACTTTCGATCTCGTTTTCTTAAATTTCGATATTCGCGAGTATACGAATCGGCGGAGTTTATCAGTGCCTTTCTTACACGAACAATCATCACATGTGTCGCTCCATCGACGGCAGCTAGTGTACTTCCATCTTCTACTCGTAGTTTTATCGTCGCCTACCTCCAGGACGAGGATCAGCAAACGTATACCATGGAGAGCCGATCGATGCGAATGGTAGCGATCCTGCTGGCGGTGTGGACTTACGGCAGCGCGCCAGGCTGTCTGGCCTGCTCGGGAAAGACTCTGCTGAGTAAGTACAACACGATGCATGCGGTGGCAGCCGCAGCCACACATGCCGATTCTCGAACGTATAGTACAACGAAGCGTAAACATAATATCCGGTCGAAGGACGACCGGTAAGACGATCGGATGAGCACATTCGAGCTGACAGCCGCGACAGTCACGCGGTGGCTTTTTTACGTCTTCTTAATCGTCTTCGATACTCGCGCCTAAGGGCCTCCTGGGTTTTTTTGTTTACTTCATAATTTTTCTTTTTTAATTTTTATTTATTTATTTATTTACATTTGATTTTTTCCTCCGACCAAGTCATGCAATTATTATCATGGCGAGGACTCGCGCGTCGAGATAATGAATTTCAATTAAGCCGATTTCGCGTACATTTACGTGTTTGCTGACTTCTGCGCTTCTTGTTTCCTGGATAAAAAGATGACGATGATTTACCCTGAGATCTCCCGAGAATCACCGATTAGCCAAGGTAACGCGTTTCAATAATTCATCGTTCGCGTGTGGTACTCGCCGTGTACGTATACCACTTCAATTTCAACTTTGATATTGATGACAACGGCGCGAAGGTCGAGTAACAATATAAATCTTTGGCTAAATTGCGACATTTTTGATTGGTTAAAAATTCCAATAGATTACGCAAATAGATATAGCACGCAGAATTAAATGTGCGAGCGTTGCCGTTACAAGTACTACTCGACAATAATAATAATAATAATAATAATAATAATAACAATAATAATGGTTCACGGACGGGCGTCCGCTATAGTGATGGAAATCGGAGCGCGCCGCATCGATATATCGGCGTTTTCCGATCGCAGCAGCAGCAGCAGCGGCAGCAACAAAGGAAAACTGGGCGCGAACGGCATCTCTCTCTCGCGCGCTCCGACGACCCGATGACCCATTAAGAACCGCGCGCGATGACGGCGATAAGTTTCGTGGTCGCACGCTGACTATTCCATATGCATAAAACGGATCCGAGATCGACCGATAAGCTCGCCCGATGACGAACTGTTATACAATACTTATATATATATCGCGAGAGTACAGAGAAGAGGAGCAGAAGAATTCGGATACGCGAGAGCAAGTGTAGCCAAGCCCTCGTGGCCCGATTAGCAGGAATCGACGATTTATTTATTTAATTCTTATAAGCGCCTCATGCATAATACCGCCATATATAATAGGCGCTAAACGCGATAAAAATATCGAGAGCTTGACCCCCGCACGTTCAACCGCTTTTCACGCGCCGCAGCGTATACTTTGCGGCTTTGTATTTTTCCCCAGATTAGCCCAATTCTTCTAGCTTTTTTTTGCATTTATTTTTTTCCTTTATTTTTAACTCACTCGGCGTTTGTTCGTTCGTTCGTTGCGGTTTCTCGCATCTGCAGCCGGAAATCAGCTGCAGCTAGCAGCATCAGACCGAGGCCAGGCAGGCAGACACGGGCCAGGGCTTATGTATACACTGCACACACACACACACGAAAGCGTGTATTACGCAGTTTTGTGAAAATTTCCTCGCGCGTACGCCCAAACCTCAAAGGGATGCCAGAAAGAGTAAGAGAGCGAGCGAGTGAGAGAGAGAGAGAGGACAAAGTCTAAAGCTTGCTCGCCACCGCCGCCTTTGTTATTATATACGACACGGCTATATTTGAAGAAAAGTAGGTTGGACGAGTTTACGCGTTGGGTTTTCACGCTTATTATATTTTGGTCGACGCGCGCGTGTGTGTTCCTGCGCAGGACCGTCTGCGAATTTTTGCACTTTGCAGTAAATTCACCACGCGTTCGCTCGCTGCGCGAATTTTCAAGGTGTTGAGTATTTTAATGACGTTTCAATTGAGATTATAGGTCGAGAGTCTTAAAGAATACATGTATATATTTATTATAAAAGCGTTGTAAAGTCTGGTAGCTTGCTCTCCCTCGATCCCTCTCCAGTCTCTCTCTCTCTCTCTCTCTCTCTCTCTGATTGTGACCGCAGATTAAGGTCGCCGTTATCGTATTTTAATGACCAACGAGAGGAAAATCAAATCCGCGGCGCGCGCACGTTAACCGGCGACGAAACTTTGTCAAGAGCTAATTCGACTTTTTTTACCCTCTTACGTACATACCCAGTCGGTCGTTCGACAAATCAAAAGCAACTACTTATACGTTTTCAACAATTTTGCGACGAGTAGTGTTTTATTTTTTCTTATTTTTTAGTTTCTGCGAACTTTAAAAAATTAACGAACTCCTCGAACATAATAAAAATTTTTTAAGAAGTTGGTGCTGTACGCGTAGAAAAAAAAGTCGCTTAAACGCACATTAATTATAAGGTCAAATCGACCCTTATATATACTTGTTCTTAGGTGCGGGTGTATATATCAAGTGCACCGTACTCTTTGGGCGCGCCTAAAGCTCCGGTCTTTTGAGAAAGTATATACAATAATAATCATAGCTCCGAGTCATAATCGCACGTGCAACTCGCATCGCGCGCGCGGGGGAGGTGGAGGCGGCTGCGTTGCTGCTGCTGCTGCTGCTGCACTCACGGAGCGAAACTGACACGATAAATTCCAAGAAAGTTCTCGTGACCGCTCGCAAACTTCCTGCCCTCGTACTCTGAATTGTGACCCTTTGGCTGCTGCTGCTGCTGCTGCTCCAGCGTAATTTTCCTTTCGTGGCTCTGTAGTGTTACTGCTTTCGGGTGGTTGTCGTCGTCTCGCGATACGAGAAATAAATATATATGAATTAAATGAGAAAAAATTACTTTTTGCCTCGGTGATGATTTCTCGTAAGACCTAATTGATTAATATAATCCAATTTGGCGGACAGTGTCAAGCACGAATTCCGATATGCTCTCTTCGGTATGCTCTCGCGAGTCACAGCTCTCGCATCAAGGTTGCTAAGAATATAAAATTACAAAACACAGAGAGCGAGTGACCGGAGGGAATCGGAATCAATTACAACATCCTTTCTCTCACTGTCTATATTTAATACTCTGCATGATGATACTTTGACTTCGGCATGGAAATGCGTGAACTCTGTGCGGATTGACCATCGTGTAGCATAATAATAACAGGCGCAGGCGGTATATAGATACTTGAAGTAGTTAATAATGACGAGCCGAGAACGAGCAGAGAGTAGAGAGGAGGGAAGGCAAGGCACAGACTGGTTTGTCCATGCTTTCGCGCGACCGGCATCTTTTTTTCTTCTTCTTCTTTTTTTTTTTTTTTAATAAATTATTAATGGACCAACTTGCAGCTTTGATACTTTTCATATTTACGACTTCGTGATGGGCATATAATCGAGTAATGTAGAGTTAATAATTTATATGTATTCTCTTCGGATTATCGCCTTTTACGATGAGCGACATAATGAAAGGCAAAACTTTTCCGATACACATACGTATACGCGATACCTCGAACGAGCAGTTATCGCTTCGATCTGTATAATAATGTTTTATGCGCGTAAGCACATTCGTATTTACGTGGAATGATAAATTTTACATTATTTCGAGGATTGTGTGCGCGCAAAACCGATCGGATGCTTTATCAATGCGTTTTCAATGTCCTATTACATGCAGTATACGCGACATGAAAGTAATTTTGCAATTTTTTTATCTCTCTTTCCTTCCCATTTCCTTCTTCTTCTTCTTCTTCTTTTTTTGTTGTCTTATTTTTTTGCTAAACGGACGATTCGCTATTTACCTTGATGTAACTCACTCGGGATCGGCGAAGCTTCCTCCTCGCTACACGCGTGCACGAGCAATTTCGAAGCAAATTTGTATTACAACGTGTTCTATATAGCGGAAACTAGTCGATATGTTTGCGCGAGCGAGAAAGAGTTGTCACATCGTGTGACTCATATTACTATATACAAGATCATATCTCAATAATACATTTATGCATATAATATGTTATTAATCGTGTCGGGTTGTTTTGCTCTCCACAGAGACAGGCGTCACCTGCCAAGAGAAGCAAGAAATCCTCGAGGAGCACAACAGGCTTAGATCATCGATTGCTCTTGGGCAAGTTCGCGGACAGCCCGGAGCTAAATTCATGATGGAAATGGTACGCATACGATCGCAGTCTATATATATATATGATGTTTAATATATAAACGAAACACGGCTCAGCTGGTCGTAAAACGGGATATTGACTTTTGCAATGTTTCCACAGGTCTGGGACGATGAATTGGCATCTGTTGCTCAAAGATGGGCCGACCACTGCAACGAGAATCACGACAGTGCCCGTCACATCAGTAAGTCTCTCTCTCTCTCTATTCCCTGGCTAAAATTTTCTCTCGTATAACAATTCGCGAATCAGTATACTAAGACGGCGGTCGATTTTCGCTTGCAGAACGTTTCCTTGTCGGGCAAAATTTGGCGCGCACCTGGACCACGAAACCACCGAAGGCCCAGCTCGACACCGAGCCCGAGTGGCGCAAGCAGATCAACAAATGGTTCGACGAGGTGCGCCTATATCGCAACACCTACAGCCCGATCAGTGGACACTTTACTCAGGTGAGCATCATCTATCCACCCATCCGATTTTTTTCTGCTCGTAAATATTTTTCTAGCGAATTAACGCCGTTTTTTTGTCTCTCTCTCTCTCTCTTCGATAGGTCATTTGGGGCGAGACTTACGCCGTTGGTTGTGGCTTCTCGTACTACTACGACCCTTGGCGCGGATACACCAAGAACTACGTCTGCAATTATGGGCCCAGGTAAATATCTATATAGTCCAGTGAAAACTTACATGAAATTGCATTTTTTTGGGGAGAGATGAAACCTAGTCTACCTTATGTTTTTGGGTGCGCTGAATTCATTGCCGATGTTATTTTTTACCTAAAACATCAGCGTCAGGGTGAAAATCGAGGGTGAAAAAGTTTTTCGCTGATATCTCGCGAACGAAGCAAGATACAGAAAAACTGATTGCACCAATCGATTCCTGGTGAAATTTTACATCGAAATACACTTTAAACTTTTCAAGTGTCAGTGCAAAATTGTTCACAATATTGAAAAATTAGTTTACAGCGGTCGGCGGTAGTGGGGGCCGGCAGCGAAGGGGAAGCGACATATATAGATATACTAGCGCGGCGTCGCCGGCCCCCACTACCGCCGACCGCTGTAAACTAATTTTTCAATATTGTGAACAATTTTGCACTGACACTTGAAAAGTTTAAAGTGTATTTCGATGTAAAATTTCACCAGGAATCGATTGGTGCAATCAGTTTTTCTGTATCTTGCTTCGTTCGCGAGATATCAGCGAAAAACTTTTTCACCCTCGATTTTCACCCTGACGCTGATGTTTTAGGTAAAAAATAACATCGGCAATGAATTCAGCGCACCCAAAAACATAAAGTAGACTAGGTTTCATCTCTCCCCAACAAAATGCAATTTCATGTAAGTTTTCACTGGACTATATATGCTATATTCCGAACGAACGTCTCTGTCGTAAGCGCGCACACACACGTGCTTGGCTACGATATACGTGACGCAAGGCGACAACTACGACGACGGCCATAACGATCGAATAGCGAAATTGCTCGCTCTCTTGCGACGCGCTTCGTATAAACTTAACGGCTCGTAGTAAAGCAGTGGCTCTTATTTTTTTCTTTTTGCTCGTCCACAGTGGCAACGTACTCGGAATCAAGCCCTACGTCCACGGCTGGCCGGAATGTCACGCGTACGGCGTCGAGTTCTCCAGCAAATACTCCGGACTCTGCAGTAAGAAAAATCATCATAATAATGTTAAAAAAATCATGAAGCACACGTGGGTGTAACGCTGATTTTTTTTGCTCCACTCTCTTCAGCGCACAACGTCTACTATCCCTTGGGCTCGTATTGCGCCTTCGGCTAGGAGAGAAATAGAGAGAGAGAGAGAAGAAATGTGTGTGCTCTTGCCGCGCGTATAGCAGCTAACGCAGCAATCGAGACTGCTTCAAGAGGGTCTACTGCGACTTACGTGCGACGGCGGCGACACACGCACGCACACACCTGTACCTTCATATGTGTGGAACCATATATGCATTCTGGAGCTGGCCGTGTTGTATCGTACTGGCATATAACGCCCCGCACTCACAAAACATAGACAATATATATTGAAGTGATGAAATTACACTACGGAGTGAAGAAGAATAAAAGAAAAGTAAAGACGACGCCGGAGAGAAAAGAAGAAGAAAACGAAGACGAAGAAAGTTGAAGAGCGTGTCAGTTTCTATTTTTTTCATTTTTTTCTTTTAACGTTGAACTTCGGCTTGTGCGAGTGCAGTGCGATGAGCACGAGACTGTACGCAGCTGTATACGCACGCACGCGCGACGAAACTAAATCGATGAAGCGGTGCTTAGACGTCGAAACGAAATTCGTATATAAATGTGCACGCATTGCCGATCACGCGCGAAATACGATTATAGCGGGTAATTTTCAATAACGTCACGATATCGAGTTTTTTTTCGGGAACCGAGCAGCGACAAAAATTGTACTCCACTATCTATCCGCCCTCACTCTCTTCCTCGCGGGCAATCGCGCGCGATCGGGAAACGCGTTCGCTCGTCCCCCGCGCGTCCTAATTGCCGTTTGACGTATAGAATCCAATATTCGGCACGCTTTTCTATACACGCACACAGGCGCCCGCCCGCCCGCACACGCACACGAGCGAAACACGCATATAGATATAGTACATAGAGTAATAGTTTGCAGCAGCAGCAGCAGCAGCAGCAGAGAGGCGCGCAGTGCTTCTAGTCCATTAGATTTTAATTGTTTTGCGCCCGATGTGCCCGCGCGCGCTTGTGTGTGTAGTATGTGCAGGCCGTGCATTAAGCTTGCGAAGCGCTCGCTCATGTATGTGTATTATATACACTGTATACGCGTAATACGCCGGAGAGCGAGAGCGAGATCGCTGTGTGTGTAATGAAGCTTTGAGCTCGATAAAGCCGAGCCTCGAATCATCCGCGCGCGGTATCTAGCTCGCGCGGATAAGGACGCGATCTCGCAGCGTCGAGGTAAATTTTCATCTCGAATACGACGACGACGACGATAATGATAATAATGATGTTCTTGATATAACGATGTATATATATATAATATTTAATATGATTCACGAGAAATCAATTAACTAGCTCTTAAAACTTTATACTGTATTAAAAAGACGGGCTCGCGATCGAAGCCCACTCGAAAACTTCTTTTTTATAATTGTGATCTATTTAACACATCTGTATAGCCACTAATATAGATGTATAAGTCAATACCTGTTAATTTTGTAAATTGTTTCTCTTTTTTTATCAATAAAGTATTCAGTTTAAATACGGATTACATAATGAGAGTATTCTTTATTGGCTCTAGGCTTTTAAAATAGACTTCCCCAAATTTAAATATAAATAAAAAGCGATAAAAAGTCGCGAGCTAAAATCAGTTAGTCGGTCAGCTGCCCCGGCCACGCGGGAAAATTTACGACCCGGCGCAACCGGTTCCGAAATCGAAAGGAGGAAAAAAAAAGGAGAAGAAAAAAGAGAGAAGCACCGATTCAAAGATAGCTGTCTATTAATGAGCGGCATACACTACTCGTATGCACTACTTATCTTTGCATAATATTACACTAAATCGCACGGAATACAGGAATTACATATGAATATATGCACCGCGAAGTCTGTATTAATTACAAATTATTTATATCGGACGACTATAGCGGTAAATTCTTGTTCGAGATAGAGAGATTCTTACACGTGCCGGGCGCGTTCGTGACCGGCTCGTGAGAGTTCGCCAAATATCTTACGTATGCATGTATAGAAAAAAAAAGTGAGAGAAAGACGTTTCCTCAGTTGTCTGTGTACGTGTGTGGGGACTTATCGATTTCTCGAGCGGATAGAGCTCGATGTGATCGGCTTATGTGTATACTCGTATCGAGCATTCGTATCTCTCCTACGCGTATGCACATCGCACTCGATGCTCCACGACCAGTATTTTTGCGCAAAATACTTTTTTCTCCCTACATTATATGAATACCGCATACACACACAGACGAACTCGACGAACACGACCAAGTTAGCTGAGGGTAAAGGTACGTACGTACGGGTGTAGGTGGTATACGTAGGCTTTGCATGAATCGATATATACTACTCGACGTACACGGCTCGAGGTATATATCGAGAAAGTTTTGCAAGAGGGTTAATATAGTCGTCGTCGTATGTGCGGCGCCTCGTCGATAAGACAGCCGACGGAAAAATCAATCATGTTGCTACTCTCTCGCTCTCTCTCTCACTCTACTCGATGCTGCGTCTCTTCTTCTTCCTCCTTCGAGAGTAAGAGAGAGAGAGAGAGCGCGAAGAAAGAGGAAGGAAATCTTGCGCGCCGAAGATACGATGATGATCGAGAGTATATATGGGATGTGTAACGCCTGCTGCTGCGCACAGGACGTACTTTTCTCCCGGTTGCATATGGCACAGCATCTATATATAAATATATATATTGGACGATAGCAGGGCCAACATGACAAATGCTTTGCACTTTTTGAACGATCCTATGAATTCGATCAATCGAACGAGTGGGAGAGAGAGGCAAGTTATTCTTGCCCGGGTCGCATTTTATTTTCATCACCTGATTTTCTGCCTACGCAGACGACCCCTGCCACACGCAGGAATGCCAATTTTATATTCTCTCTCTCTCTTTTTTCAGCTTAAATATTTAAAATAGCAAACCAGAAGCTCGGCATTCTTTTTTTCCGTGATTTATCGATACGATACGCGTTTTAAAGTAGTCAGGTTGTACAACGTTTCCCGTTCGATATCGAGTAGTATTACAGAGATAGGCAGCAGCAAGCTCCTGCGTGTTCGATGATAAAAGCTTTCGTATTTCGGGCCGCGCTCGAAACATCGAATTACCAAAGTCAATTATCCGGACTACTTATCTCTCCATCTATCTCTTACTCTCTCGCACTCGATCTGCGCTCGCGATATAGAGTATAAAGTATAGACTTGCATTTTGGCGAAATACATTTGGACGCGCGAGATCCGAGTGTATATATCTGCCTTGCAAAACGCATAGACCCTCGCGCCTTAATGCGTGGCTAAATAATTCACGCGGCCGAGCGAAAGCTGAGAGAGAGCGAGAGCGACCCTTAAAACGGCACGAGGGAAAAGCATCTCTCTGTTCCTTACATAAGCGCGTCTCTGCATATATATCTATGTGTGTGTGTGTATTGCAGCGAATTCCGAAGAAATACCTATGTATATATGCGTGCAAGTGAAAGGAGCATAGCGCTTATATGTATACACGGAGTCTATGTACGAGCGTGTGTGCGCGAGCTTTTCCACCCACCCACCCAGGCGTCATGAATATTCGCCGAAGGAGCTGTTGCTGCTAGCTGCTAGCTGCGCTCCTGCACTCTGAGAAACTTGCATATCCTATACGTTACTTAAAGCGCGTAGAAAATGTTTGCCTTGCGCTCTTTGATACGCTCTCGCTGCTGCTGCCGCAATAGTAGTGGTAGTAGTAGTGTTTACCGTTGCAGAGGCCAAATATCGGTGCGCGGGATTCACACGCAAAAACGAAGATATCGCTATTGCGTAGGTTGCGTGCTAACATTTCCTTATGGCGTGTCTCATATATTTTATTACCAAAAAATTATCGAAAGATCGAAAAAATTAGAATCCTTGTGGTTTTAGACTTACGTAACGCGTTGACTTATGGGCAGAAAGAGCGATAAGACGTTCTTTTGTGTGTCAATGAATATTATATATCTGCGGTAGTTTCCTGGATTCCGAAATCGACGAAATTTTTTGACATAACGGCGCGTGCGGTAATAATTTTATAATGTAAAGGTGCAATGACTGGACATTCCGTTCAAATATATTTTAGTAATTTATTTTTTTGTTTATTTAAAAAAAAGAAGAGAGAAAGAAAAATATACCGGCGTGACATTTAAAATAAAGATTTCTACAGATCTGAATTTAACATAGGTCTGATCCTTTTTTTTTTTTTTGAGTATATTATGTACACATTTTCATCAAGACCCTTACAATCTTTGATCGATAACAAAATTTTATCGTACAACAATGTGACATGATAGACACCACTTTTTACAGCTTGAAGTATACATATATGTATATATCTTAACAATCACAGTTCAATCAGAACAATACGAGAAGTATCGTCGATCGCAAAAAACGCCGACCAACAGTACATTTTCATTCGTGCGCACTATAGATTTTTGTTTTTTTTAATTCGAAATAACGCCGATCACGAATCTCGGATATATTACTTTTAAAATAATAAAAGATGAATTGTATTCATTCCGGATTCGTGCCAGCAATCAAATGTTCATCTCATAACAAACGGATATTCCAGTAGTAATCACATGAAAATTTATTCAACGTAATTTGCGGGTAAACATTGACCAGAGTACCCACATAATGTAAAACTATCGGATTTGCATGAGAAAATAGTTAAACGCCGTATACATCGTTTGTGTAAGTCCGATATGTTCGAACTGCGGCAAGATAGGAAAGAACCCGCTTTCGCACGTTTAAAAATATGTTTACACAAAAGCACTTTATATCGATTCATAAAGCAAAGAAAACAGCGTGCAGAGCACATAAATCTTTTTGATCGGAGCATTTACAACTAGCACACTGGGAACGCTCCCTTTGTCTTAATCATTATTTAGATTTTTTTGCTTCACGTGCAATATCCTCACACGTTTCACTCATTCTTGCAATAATTTCTCATTTTTTCCTCTCTTTCTCTCCCTTCATGTACATTTAACATCGTCTATCATTCACTCCTTTTTTCTCTTTCTCTCTATCTCTTTCTTACTCTCGCTCTTTCTCTCTTCTACATATACTTTTACACGTAGAATCATCCATTTATTTTACATTTTTTCATAACATAATTTATGTACAAATTGGGTAGTAACGACTGTTTTAGATAATCTTCAATAATAAAATGTTTACCATTTAGATTTCATATTTTATACCTATCTATGCGAAGAGTCTGAATTTTCTCGCAAAGTTCGTGAAACATTTAAAATGAGGACGAGTAAGCGATGTAAAGGACAAATTACCGATACATCGACAATCGCGTTAATTGGCTAATTTTCTGTCACTTCAACGAGATAAAGGTTTTTTTTAGCGAGCTTATTCTAGTTCAATTGGCATGTATAATATGAATGTTCCCTTGTTTACATTTGTCTTATCCTGTCTTCGTGTTTAAATAGCGTTGACAACATTGCGCTCCAGCGGCATTTAGCTTTGCAAATCAGTGCGGAAAGGCCGCCAGTATCGGCGTTATGGCTTCGACGCCTGGAACCTCGGCAGGTACAATCCAAATTTGCTCTCGATACCAGTGAAGATCGGCAGAGCCACTTGATAGCCTCCTATGTGGTCCGGATTCGTCGATCGCATGTCGTCAGCCACTCCCGTCGCAGGCACTTTGTTGTCCGAGCCAGCTGGCCGCCTTCGGAGAGAGAATTCTTTGTTAATTTTTCACCTTACTTTGGTATTAATTGTTTAGCGCAAAACTACTTACGATCCTCCAAAATCGACAAAGAACAGTCTTTGTAGCAGCTCGTAGGTGAACAGTGTGACACCAAATTGAGGCGAAGATCTGAATACTCGAGCTTTAAAAAATTAAAAAAACTTGTTATCCTTCCGCCTTGACCATTTCACAAATATTTCAGTTTTAGTTGAGCAATGTTCTTTAAAAAGTCTAATATTCATTAAAAACCTTGTAAAAAGTCCAAACATTTGTTATTTATATCAAACGATGGATTCACGATAGTAAATGAGAATTTATTGATGACTGATATGGAATTGGCTTCGCAATCGCAAGCATCGGAGCATATTAACATATGATGAATCATATGACAGATCAACACAAAAATGAAACGCCATCATCGTGTTGCAACAAAAACACGCACGCACGCAGAACGTTATTACTTACTGGTAATGAAATTCAGCGGTTATTTTTAGGTATATCGACGAACCGATAGATATCCGACATCAATCGGCATCATCATTTTAATCGAGATAATATAAAATTACAGAAAATTGTAAATTGTTCGTAACTAATTGTATAAAATAATGTTTGTTTGTTCATAACGCAGACGATTTTGCAGATTCGGTAAAAAAACCACAACCGCAGCCTCGTGTGCGTCAATTCAAGACTGCCCCATCAAGACAGAGAATAGAGTTAATACCTGTTGCTCCTTTCCAGAATGCTCTTGCGCCCTCCTCCTTGTATATTTTCTGCGCGCAGTCCATCAGTCCATTGTAGGTCGTCTGACCCTGCCTAGCTACGACCTGTAAGGGATAAACATATTCGAGGTAAGCAAGGGACCGAATGAAAAATTCACTCGATTCGGCACAAAAGTAGCGAAGCATATACGTGTATTATGTAATAAATTTCTCTGTGTGTGTGTACCTGTAAACGGGTTTTGATGACGTCAGCTGGAGTAACAAGCGCAGCAGCCGGTACACCGGCTATTGCGCCGGCACAGAGCAGCGATAGCGGCGTGTTATATCCACCCTCGTCAGCGAATTTCGTTTTCGTATGGGCATACATGGGAAAATAAATTGCGCTGAATGGTACATCTCTCAAAAGACACGCTCTTGCGCCCTGAATAAAGGGAAAACGTCGTTTAGAGCGGGTAATATATAATAGGAATTTTAAATAAGAGGTAAAATTGATTTTTGCTCGAAAAAGCTCACTTTGTAAAGACCGAAGAGTCCGAGTTCTTTGACGACGGCCCAGGCTCGGACCTTCTCGCCGCTGGCTATCTCGCCGGCGACTTGCAATCTGATTTTTACGATTTCGAGAGGATTGGTGAAAACTACTTGGGAAGCACCGGCGCACCCACCGGACATTATTTCAGACCAAAGCGGAAGCTGACCATTTTTATCCATGAACTTGTCGCGCACAAAATCGTTGACTGTGAGCTTGATGGCTTTCTCGGGCGCGACGCCCATCAGCTGAGGCACGAGGCCTCTGTAAAGTCCGAAGAAACCTTCGTGCCGGATCACCTGTTTGGAAGCGGAAAGAAGAAAAAAGTTGGACTTTAGCTCGTGGCGAACTTGAAATTTTATCAGACTAAAAGCAAATGCATGATTGATCAAAAAGTACTCTGAAACTGAAAATGTTCCTGCTCTCAACACGGCCGGCCGACGGAGTGACAAAATCTCAAGAGAGTTACGAATCCTCGTATTGCATGCCGAACCTGACGAGTTATTTCGTAGCTGTCTTCGTGTTTAGCACTCCGTCGCGGATTTTCTGTTTCGGAATGAAAATTTTTTCAACGTATTTTTCTTCTGGTTATATAATATGAAGTATATAAAAAACATACAATATAGCATATTTTTAATATTTATAAATGCAAAAAGAACCGAGTCAAAGGTTACACCGACCTTTTTACAACAGTCGAAACTGTTTTTATACATAAGCTCGCCGATGAATGAGCCGGTACGCTGATTTTGCATGCGCGTTTTGACCAAGTCGATCGGGTAGACAGCTGTAGCGCCGACAGCTGAAATAAACGACATTTCGGAGCGTTACTTTACTTGTCATAGGTCAAATTTGACAAAGTATCAACTGGCAATAATTAATTGATCGAGTACTGACCTCCACCAATTGAACCTAGTACAAAACGGTAGCCACTCTCCATGATTTGGACTGCAATACCTCTCTCCTCTGGACTCTGTCAGAAATAGTTTGATGATTACAATCATGAAAACGTGTAAGCTTAAATTCGAGTATAAGAAATTTAAATTTACCGAAACTGCTTTAATTTCTGCCAGCCTTTTCGTAATATGTTTGAAATACTGTTCAGGTGTGATTGTTACCAAGTCGTTGTAAACAATTTTTCTGCAAGTCGAGCAAAATTAAATAAATTAATGGGCATTTTCAAAATCATAGAATAACGTTTTAAGCACATGAAAATACTTATGATAATTACTCAATGATATTCAATTGTTGATAATACATTTAAAGATTTATATTAGATTTTAAACAATCATTCATGCTGAATGAATAAAAATAATAGGATACAATATACAACATTGTGATGAACAACATTGAGTGAAACAATTAATAAACACGTGTATTCGGTAAATATCTAATATGCATGAAAGTGTGTTGTGAACCATCGATAATCGTTGAATAGAAATGTAAACTGATCGTTTAACATTTTTAAATAGTATCAGAGACGCACCCTAAGCCCGTATATGCTGGCTCTGTCTCTTCGTTCACGCTGTTCCGTAGCAGCACAAACAATACAATACGTAATTAGTATGTGTATGTACGTTTAAGTAATTGTGACATCCGTATGAATAAAATATGCGAAGATGTAAATTAATTAAAGCTTTTTAGTATTTCAAAAACGGTTCTTTTGACGATATAAACAAACAAATTTGAATAATTGAACAATTCAAAATCATTTTTTTCAATTAAATGTTGCTGAAACTTTTACGATTATTAACAAAAAAAGTATTACTTCTTTATATGAAAAAATACCTACCCAGTATGATGCAGAAGGTCGCATAGATGGAAAAGAATGTCGACCTCCAGCGGAGTTATTTGAGACATCATCTGTGCAGAGTGAAGAAATTCCTCTGTAAAATAAAGTTTGCATCACGTGAATGATTTTGAACTTTTTGAAGTTGAAAATACTTTTGGAACATACCTTTCGTAACTTCCTGATGCCTGTGCCCGTTGGTGGCGTTAAGGTAAATTCGTTTAATCAGTTCCATGTTATTAAGCAATGAATTGAAAGCCATGAAATATGGAAAACTAACTTTTCTCCCATGCTGTCCTAAATTTAACGCCTGCAATGAAAAATCATTGGCAAAATTGTAAGTCAAGAGAATCAAGTGCAATCGAATCAGTTTTAGATTAAGTGCAAAAAACTCACGGCTACGAGATTATCCTTGACATCTTTTGTGAGCAGATGACTCTTGATACTGAGCATGATATCTTGAAAATCCATCGCCGATATAAAACCAGATCCATCTTTATCGAACTTTTTAAAGGCCTCTAATGCGTACTCCTCGTGGAAATCCTAATAAAAATTGAAATAATTTCAATTAATGGTTATTAATTGGCTTACGACGAATTGGTCAATTATAAAGACAAATTTTGCAGGCGCGAATCAAAACGCACGTCACGCTTTACATCGGCTGATTTCTTTTCAATGACGGCAATGAAGATACATCGTTCGTACCAACTCTTTGTATCACGCGTACGCGGAAGCAATTCGTTCGATCGATTGGCGTTCGCGCGATAATTCAATTGAACGCGTTCGTAAAATCTTGAGCGATAAAGTCGATGTTATTTTTCCAATCGAAAGAAGACAGCATGATCATGACCGACTTACGTGAAGGAACTGACTGAATTCGGCGTAACTGATGAGCCTCTTCTTGTCTTTGCCAAAGTACAGCTTGATGAAACTACTGTCCATGTTGAAGGGCATCCTCTGATTGAGGACCGTTTTGTGCATCACCTCAGCGAACTCGTCTGGAAAAGTATCAAGAACGTTGTAGACATTTTTAATTTAGAATTAGGTAAGTCCAGGGGATATTGAAGACTTATTTCTTACCAAACGTAACCACTCCATTTCCGTTAACGTCGAATAACTGGAAGGCTGTTTTATAAAGGGCGTCCGGCACGCAGAGCAAACCCTCGAAGTCTTGAAATTCGGAAAACGAGATAAGTCTGAAATACAATCGAAATAATTAATGCTTTGCCTAGTCAAAAAAAAACTCGCCGTAAAAAGAGGAACTTTCGTACCCATCTTTGTTGGTATCAACGATACCGGCGAGTAAGGCAACGGATTCTGGATTAAAGGCTGCATCGGTGTAAAGGCCAAGGTAGCTTCGTACGAAGTCGTTCGAGGTCATACACCGCTCCCCGTTCTTGTCGACGACGGTGGCATACTAAAAGCAAGAAATGTAATTATGTCAATAAACGATACTGCTCATTATCACCTGCAAATAGAAGATTCTTGAATTACCTGCTCGAAAATCTCATGAAGTCGCTCGCCATTTGCACGCTTCAAAAATCCGGGACCCTGGAACAAAGGAAAACGTATCTGCGTTAGAAATCAATCACACAATCTGCGCGTCGTCGATAACGCATTGCGCGCATAATTGTAATTAGCGACTCTCGATCGCTGTAGCTCATAATTTGTATATCAATGTATCTCCCCTTGGCGAGAAAATAATTGATTTCGAGTCGAGAGCAGCAGCAAGGCCGTTGGAGTAAATGAGATGAAAATAATGAAAAACATATCCCCGAAACAAACAAGGTATGGATTTACAATGTATTCATCGTCCCGATACGACATGATTTTGCAGTAAACCCAAACGACTGGAGCGAGTCAAGTGCATCGTGATGGACGAAAAATTTAGTTACGACTGTGTGCCAAGTGCATTGATAATCGTGGTTGCTCCTGGTAACGCTTCTAATACACGTTTACAGACTAGCGTATCTCTCGCGGCTCTGCAGCTGTATGCAGGATCGTTTATGTAATGCCGTACGTGCCCCAGTAGCTTCGAAAAATCGATCGCAATGATAAGTGCACAATATTAAATCCTGCACGCGAACTCGAAGACGCCGCACGATGCGTCGTGTGCAGCCGGCGGCGCCCGCGCTGCAGCGGGATCGCAGGGTCAACGCTAAAAAAAAAGTGAGCTCGGTCTTGCGTGCGCGATTATTATGTTATGTGTGTGTGTGTGTCATAGTTGACCTTAACCCTGCGTGTCGATGCACCGTCATAACCTTGGCAATTAGGACCACGTGCAGCCTTGCAATAATACATTATGTCAAGCATCGCATCGACGTGAAATATATGTATAAGATTCGCAACGGACACTCGAAAGATTGCGATGAATTGAAGTGCGTAGATCGCGCGTGATAGGCGATTATCGCCGTGCGAGAACGAGTCGAAATGCATCGTGTTGAGATTATATTTTATGAAAAAAACGCGTACAGGAGATAATAATCAGCTGCACGTATCCCTGACGTCCGGAGATTGATTGAACAGATTTATGAATAAGCGGGCGGTGCCGCGAGGTAAATATTGACTTAGTATACTTTCCCATTTCATTGGCTACTATCTACATGGACATATAATGATTCGCTGAACTAACGATTCGAGCTTATGTCCTTTGAAAATGTTTGAACATGAAAAAATTTTCATTATCAACCGTTACTGCTGCTGCTGCAATGAATCGCGTGTTGTCCATGTTACGAACGCGTATCGGTCGCATGACATTATCTAATCGTTTTTGCTATATACCGGTATAAATAATATTAAAATATAAGCTGAAAAGAAATTCGCTCGCCGCAAGCTCAGTCGTTGTGTTGTATTTTATAGAAAAATTTATTCATCTCATCTGTTATAATTTAAACATTTTTTTAACCCCAAAAGACAAATCTTAAATTATGCAGCAAATACTGAACGATTTGAAATTTGAAAAATCTGCATCGGAAATGTGTTATTTTTATTTCTTCGCTGAGATGCGAGCGCCGCGCATCATCTCATCGAGCATTTTGCCGCTCTCTTTTTTCCCGTTCCTCTCTCATTTTCATGATCACGCGTTCGACGCATGTCTTTCGATCCGTGTATATACGCCGTATAGCATGCAAAGTTACCAAATGTATATAGAGCTGCCTTTGCGGTGTATATATTTTTTTTTACTCCCGATGCCTTGACTCACGTGCGCGATACGAGGTCGTTTGGTCACGTACGCACCCCGAAGACGAGTCCTTTTTTCCTCATATTTACAAATAAAAATCTCCGATTAAAAAATATCGTCCTAACAGCTGTATGGTAATCGTGCGCGCGCGAGCCTTTAGTAGAAAATTTGCATAGAGAAAAATACGATCTGATCCACCATGGCCCGGTACACGTTTTTCACATATACACTCGTTCGTGGTGAAGGCAAACGTAATCCATAAGAAAACAAGATATATAGGCGAGAGAGAGAGAAGCGTTCCGCTCGATTTTCTTTACGTAATTTACCATTGTAATAAACACTTTGCGCGCCGAGGGTCGCGAAGATATTATGAATAAAAAGTGTCGAGGCGTGCGGCGAACGAACAAACAGTTTTCTGCGCCTCGCATTTGTATACTATATATATATTCGCACGAGCAACGGCCTTATAGGTGCAATTTGTTGTTCGATTCAACTTACGCAACGCGCGCGTGTTTATCCTTATAAGCTATACCGATGTAGATCGCACGCGCAGCGGCAGCTTCCGAGCGAGCTTTATTTTGTCTGGAATGCTTTTAAAGCTTTTTCTTCTCCCTTGACCGATGGGATTCCGCAGTTGTATAGGTGAGTTTTAAAATCAACCACGCGTGGCATGAGTAAAACACACTTGTCAGGGCTTCAGCGTGAGATCGGCCGATACGACGCTGCGTCGTCGTCGTCGTCGAGTGTGGTCGACTCGTAAATTAATGATAACTCGAGAGCTGATTGCTCTGTTTATACGTATTCAATAGCCTGTGCAATAGCACGCATACATACGAGAAGCGCCAGAGAGCAAGAGATAAAATGCGCGATAATACTACTTTTTGTACGTGTCTTTAAAATTTTTCGAATTACGCTGCACGAGGTGCGTGGATGCTCTCTCGAGCGATGCTAATTATCGAATATACGGGTCACGCAAGTGTAAGTGTTACATTATTGCCGATTTGATTCTTTTTGTGTACGTGCCCGAATCTAGATCAAACCGAACGACACCGCACAAAAATTTCACGCGAATTGCGAAAAATTCCGCACGTTTTGTACGCAATAAATCATAAATTTTGAAGAGCTCTGCAATTATTATAACACATTGAGATTTGCTCTCTATGAGGTCATAAGAAGAAACAGACGTAATCACCCGCGAGAGTCCCACGTGCTGCGAGAAATATGTATATTAAAAAAACACGCTTCTCTCGCGTATATTTTTCAAAAAGTAAAATATCAACATTCTCGCACGCAACTTAACCTTCTCGTGAGATCTAGATCATATTTTTAGGTCACAAGGCAACAATCGGCTCTTTCTACGATTATATTGATAAGCAAAATCATTTTCTCCAGTTTACTGTTGCTTTTGTCGTAATCGACGTTTGTGCAATGGCGACGCAATGAAAAAAAAATCTTAATTTAGCTGTTCTTTATAAGCGGCGCGAAAAAAATAAACATTGGCACTCGTAATTAAGCACTAGAATCACAAATTCATTCACATAACGATTATATCACTTTCGGAAGCCAATTACTGTACAAATTTGTATGATAATGCGAGCGACGGCTGACACGGCGCGATACATAAATAATGAAGTTTTATATTCATACTTTGGTGCTCGAGTAAGGCATCCTTATTCAATCTCCAGTGGCACACAGCACTATCACGGAAATTTCCTAAAAAGTATATTTATTCCGGGCTCTTATAACGGCAGTATAGTGGCAGCAGGCAGCAGCAGTGGCACGTCCTCACGTGGCGCTCTCGTGCACAACTTACTACTGTAATAACGCGTGTGTTTACAAGACGGACGCGCGCACGCACATACACGGGCACTATACGAGTTGGTTTCTTATTTTTTTTTTTTGGAGTTAAAAAAAGACGAGAAAACGAGAGGTAGGATAATTTATATACACGCGTTCGCGCAACGGCAGTGACTGAAGAGCGTCAACTAGCATAATCAGCCCATTTCGATGGAGAGAACACGAAATTCTCTCTCTCTATCTCTCTTTAGCTCTCTTTTCGGTCTCTCTCGTGTACAACATCGCATTGTTCGGCTATAAGCTATGTACAAAAATGCGGCGCCGCGCGCAAGTGTACGCGAGAAAGAGAGATAGAAAAAAAATCGCGGAACGAATGTGCCGTCTTTTTCTTTCCAATACATAAATACAATCAAGACTTCCCCACTCTTCCGACGACTGCCGAACACCTACAAGAATTAACGTTTGCGGCATCATCATCAGCTGCTACACGAGGCACACGCTCATACATCCGTGTAAAGACGGTAGTGTGCGTCTGTGTACAATAGCACGCGGAACACACGCGAATAGCAGCAGCAACGGCGCGACAGCAGAGAGGCTTATAACGATAAGTCAATGTCGATTCAAACGACGACTCGTATAATGCCAACAGATAAACAATGTGTATATAATATAATGTATGAAAAGCGAGAGCGATTAGAGCAAAAAATGGGAAAAAGTTTTCGGAAATTTTCGAACTGCATCGGATGAACTGATCTCTTTGCTGAATAGTTGTAATGCAACGATATATGTAAAATATTGCGAACATCTCGCGCGCGTAGCATGCAAACTGGCCTCGACCAAGGACGCAACGTGATAACTTGTTAATTTTTTTTTTTTACGATTTTATGCTTTTACGCATACACGCGCGACACGCTTTGTTACGCAATAATGAAAATAGTGACGATATATCTGGACAACTTTCATGGCTCCGATGCGCTTTTCAACTCTAGAGGGCCGGAAAACCAATATTTTGGCGCATCAATAAATCTTTTCAAGTTTCTGTTTATACATTGGAATATTTATGTTCACAATATTATTACTTATTTTTTATATATTTAAGGTCAATTTACCTCTGGCCACCCCTTTTTATCCACCCTAATCAATTAGAAACATGACTTTCACCTTACACGAATGGTAAATTGTTTTGGTTTCATGAGGCCATAATTATGAACAAACATCTTATAGAAGGTATTTAATATTACATAATCCAATGTGAATTTACCTTTTTCATCTCTTTTTCACCCCATTTATACAGGAAATTTATTTATTACTCGCTGTAAAAGTATTAAAACGCACCTAGAAAAAATGTTATTTCAACCTTAGATTTGGATTCAGCGTAAAAAATACATTGAAAACGTGAATTTACATGATAAAAAAATGTTTAATCAACAATATTTTATTGAACTTGAAACTTTTTACTCGACCTTTTCCGTCCCGGACCGGAAAGCCAATATATTGGCGCCCCCCCTGATCGACTTTTTGCCTATGATCGATCGATGATTAAAGATACCTTTTATACCAGTTTTCTATGGGTGATTTGACCTCTTAAATACAGGCTCTCTAGAGGTTAAACATTTCTGTAACAGTCCCGTTATAGTTTTAAATTTTCTGCTAAGCTGGAGTAAAATGAAACGTTTCACAGTTCAGATTATGTGTTTTAATTCGTTGCATTTACGGCCGGAGCACAAGAAATATTTCATAAATGACTGTAGAAAGAGGAAAGACCGATAAGGATAAGAGCCGTTTATAAAGTACATTCAATTGCTACCAAATTTACATCATACCATTTAATAATTAATTTAATATAATGAAATATGATAATTTAATGTTTTACCAAGTAATAACTAGAGTATTGGGTCCAAGGGAAGGAAGTTTCAGGCAAGTCCCGAACAATTGAACTTTCCGCGCGTGGCACCGAATCAACAGATGGTTCAGCGGCGTCGTTTTGATTCATTTTCTAAAGCGGCTAATATTTAAATCACAGCACGTGAATATAAATCTAAAGCACTGTAAATGCGCCTCGTTCCACAATTGCACTCGTACGAAGTGAACTATATTTCGTGATGATGTCGCGGCACTCTGTGTGCAACCTCGCCAACCCTATCGAACGCGAGCCTGCATGACGCTCGATCCTGGATTTTTCGAGTCGGAGTTTTCGACGGAGTTTCTTGTTCTTAATAAAAGAAACTGCGACGAGTTGACGATTCCTTATCAAAGGGAAAAACTTGAACACTGTACACTGGCGGCTACGCAACTGCGGAACTGTCGCGCGCGCGAGGCTGCTGTGCAGGCGGCCGATAATCTCGCGTCAAACTGGCGGCGGCGCTTGCATTTCCAGAGTCCTATAATGCAGGCGTGAATCGAAGCGCAACGAAGGCGGATTCTCATATATCCACATCTTGTGCCGCTGCCGCCGCGCATATAATACACACACACATAAGTATATGTATATGAAAACCGCCGACGTCAAGGTGGCGGGGGACAAAATTACGTTGTGCATGGCTCACCTTTTAGAAAACAACGTCGCGGCTTGCGCGCAGCAGCACACACGACTTGTATATTATGCGATAAGTTGTGCACACAATATCGTTTGTTGTTTTTTTTCTTTAATTTGAAATTTTTCGATCGATAAACAAGTGAGCGTTTTCTTTCGGGTGGCTCAATAATATTTAAACAAACTGAATTATCTTCCAGTTATACTTTAAGCTAAATGCGGTAAACAAAAATGTGAGTGAAAATGTAAATAAAAAGTGATCTGGACAGTTCAAAATTACGTCGTTGCATCTTTCAATTGGATTTTCCCCGCATCGTTTGAAATTCTCAAAGTGATATTATTCTTTGAAGGTAAGTATATAATAATAAATTATATACATTACACGCATACACATTGCAGCATATCATATACGCATGTGAGCCATGTTAAGTAGAGATGCACGACCTGTCGATGTGTGCCCGCTGCACTGTAATTGCGTTTGGTATTTCTGTCACAGGAAACTCTCGTGCGTTCGCCTCTCTGCGGGCGGAGATTCGATTACGCCGAGAAAAGGAAATGATATACTTTATGAAAAAAAAAAAAGAATTACTTCGCTGGAAGTCTTTTTACTTTCGAGTTAACTCGGTGCGATCGCGCGAACGATTCTGCCGACTCTAACTTCAAATGAAATGTAAACAGCCGGAAAACCGTGTACCCGCACACAGATGAACGGAGCTCGATTTAGTAAAGCGCCGGGTTCGAGTATATAAAATTTAGAAACAATTGAACAGACGCAATAAACCGTGTAACATGAATCGCTGCATTGTCAAGTACCAAGCGCGTGCATATTATAATAATATAGTCAACTGCAACAGCTCGTACGATTGCACCGTTTGATCTGCCAGAAAATAAATCAATGTCACGGGCTCGATAAACAAACTCGTGTTTTTTCCTCTCGAGCATACAAGCGGTGGACCGAAAAATAAATCACGCATCGAGCTGCGGGGTGAGAGAAAATAAAAACAGCGCGTTATAATACTTGAGCGCGATCGCGACAATAATTGTTCGCTCTTGTGTGTTTTATCGCGCTTATACTCTCTACTCGCAAAACCCCCCCGCGAAGAAGAAGAAGGAGACGGCGGCATTGAGCAATGCCGAACGTGACGCGACGGAGGAGAATTACAAAAAAAAGAACATTGATATTAAATATTATCAACGTTGTGTGCAGGTAGACGTTTTTTTAGATAAAGTTTGATCTTAAGCTCGCGAACGTGATAAACAATCGCAGGTACGACGCTTGGGTTGCACGTAGCTGCGGTGTACGTGTGAATAGTCGTCGATAAATGTGGGCTCGATTCCAAAAATTCCAAGACTGCTGCGTGACGGATGCTGCGTGCGTCTAGTTATGATTGCAAATCGAGGCCGTGATTCGACTGTCTTTTTTTATTTTTTTGCTGTCGTCGTTTATCGGTCAAAAGAAAAAAGCTGCTGCGGTCAAGGGTGAAAGAAAGAAAATTTCACAGTTTGTCTCGGCGAATACGAGATTTAATTCCCTATAATCGTGTGATACAGCGAATCGATGTATGCGTGGACTATTATACTCGTTGCTCGTTGATAAGAGAAACGTCACGTGCACCTAGACGAGTGCACAGAACGTCATAGAACGATGATGATTATAAAATAGCAGAGGCACACACATGCGGCGCATATAGAAAAATTGCTACGGAGCTACACGCGTACGTTATTACATGCCGCTTATTTTAGCCGAGGTAGTTTGCATCTCGCTCCCTCCTCTCTATCTCTCTCTCTCTCGGGCTCGTATCGGTCTCAAGGTCCGCGCTCTATAAATTGCAGCATCGTACGAGCATCGCAGCTTATATTATAAAAGGCGCGTTTCGCGTTGCATCGCCGCAAGCTGCTTCTGCTGCTGCTGCTGCACACGACCAAGTCTATAAGGTTTTGCACGCGTATTCTACATGCCACAGCGGTATAAGCACGTGTGCAAATAATCGCGCTATTACGCTCGCTGCACTCGGTAATATATTATGTATGCATTAGCTGCAGACGAAAAAGAATGACAACGATGCGCGCCTCGATCAAAGCTCTCTCTTGCTTCCTCGTTCTCTGTGGGCGCTTCCCCTCTGCACTCGCCTCTGATACCTCGGAGACTTTTTATCGATTGCTTCTTTTTCTTCTTACTACCCACACATACGTAGTTGTCTGGCGTGTACAGGATTATGCAGGGGGTAGCTTCGGATTTGCACCACATATTATTTGCTGAGGTTTCCACCGCGTGAGCTTTTCCCGTATCCATGCAACGTGTATTTATCGCGTTTTCGTTTCGGTTCAAAAATATGGCACAAACATATCGATGAATTTAGGTGCCACGCCTCGAAAGCACAGCTTTGTTAACCGGTACATTAAACTTCGCGCTCGAAAATCTACGAGCAGAGAGTCTCACGTGTAATGTGCGATAATACACACACAGAACTGGGGGGCAGCAGGTAGAGGAGGTAAAAATAATCCCAGAACAAACAACGCGTGGCGGCATCGCGAAGCTCAAGGTCGCTGCTACATCGTGTGCACGACGACGACGACGAACGCGACAAATACATATGATCACGAACGCGGTAAGAAACTTTTACATTGAAAAATCGATCTCGCGCTCTTTATTGCGAGAAAACACGAGTGTCTGCCTGGGCAGAAATCCGCAAGGGAGGCTCGGGAACCCGGGCCGAAATGGCAAAGTTTTTTTTGACTACTATGAGTGAGCGATAGGTGTGAATTCACTCAAGTGCCCCGAGCTTTACGAGAGAGATAGTGTTCTTGTAAATCGATCGATCGACGAACTTGCCCGTTCGTACGAGTGTCTCATACAGCAAAACAACGGAATCGACGATTTTGACAGACTTCGCTGACATTTGCAAAATCCCCTTGACATTCGGAGGCTTAGGTATATGAGCGATCGTCACGCGACATGCGACGCGTTTATTAAGTATCGAGTGAGGGGAAAAATATTAATTGGTAGTTCAAAAGAAGAAAAGAAAATCCATAAATGTAATTCAACTGTACGAGCCAAGGATAATCCACAATGTCCACTTGAATCATTGACGTATCGTCCATCACGTACTTCTCGCGGTCGAGGAATAAGAAGAGAAAAAAAAATTTTATTTTAATTCCAAGCTACAACAAATCGATAAGTGGTCGATCGCGATTCGCTTTTTCAGGATCACGGGGATCGTTGTTTTATTTACGGTTGAGATTGGGGCACGTGCCGCAAACTCGATTAACAAACAATGCGGCGCAGCTGTGCAGTTATGCTCAAAGATCCGCTGCACAACAGAGTTAGAAAAACTGCCGAGTGACACCTGCGCGCCTACTTCGCCAGCTCTATCCGCATACAACATCAGCCGAGCGAGCGAGTGCAAGATTGAATCAACGCCCCCCGTGAGTTTTGAAGCTTAGCCTGATTTTTTTTGAAATCAGAATAAAATTAATGTTAATATACCTCTTGACCGGACAAGCCAACGGTGAAGAGCCTCGTAAACATTCCCAGCGTCTTCGAGGTTGACTCGTGTCGTTGTTGATGAATGGAATGATGCGTTCACTAGGCGTTGATTATAAACGTGCAAGAATTCGTATCGGGTTGACTTCGACTCTTCTCGTCGATCACTGCGAATAAAAACAATCGTGAACCTGACACAAAGCACTATTTCTCTTTTTTTTATTTATTTATTTATATTTTTTTCTACCAAAAAAGTTTCAGACGCACGCACGACTCACTTAATCTGAAAAGCACACAGTTGTTGTACAGTTGGGCAACGGAATATATATATGTCAACGGGGTTAAACGCTGATGCAAAAGACCGGCGACGATGACACGATTATGACGAAGCTATCGCACACACGACGGACGATGTGTATATATTGTACGTACGCGACTGCAGCAGTAGCAACAGCATAGGGAGAGGAATGGAACAAGTGTCGAAAAGACTGCTGCGTTCTGCTGCAACGGCAACTACACTGCCTGCAGTATAAGCTTAATAATCAACAGAGCCCAGTGACCAACTCACGTATAGCAGCAGCAGCAGCAGCAGCAGCACACGCTCGCGCACAGCCAAACGTCGACGACGACGAGAGAAGGATGTGTGCTGACAATAATAATAACGCAAGCATATATACAACCTATGCAGCGTGTATGTATACGGTCAGTAGTCACGAGTCTCTGCGTGTATGTGTGTATACGCAACAGCAGGTGTATGCTACTGTGTGTATGAAAAAAAAAAAACATTCGTTCTCGGCTCGATGTTTTGCTGCTGGGTGTACTGCTATACGCTGTGCCTTCTGCAAAATTTCGCGCGCGCGCCTGCGCGCCCTCCCGCCCGACTGTAGTATAGTCAAACCGACGCCAGCAGCTAGTTTGACTTGACAGTCGCCGCACGTGCTATAAATTTTCGAAATTATTTTCGTTACAACTAATACCTATTGCTATTGTTTCTCGAGATTACGGTTGGCGATTGCCAATTGTGAAGCTGCTTCAAGCTATAACTGCGATAAGCTGCACGGTGTACAAAGTACACATATCAACGAGGGTGTTGGCTAACGACTTGCGCTCGGATCGCAACTGGCGGCTGTACTACTTCCGACTGCGCAAGTGTGTCGCTTCGTATCCCTCGATCGTGTGTTCGTACTATGCTAAATCGGAGTTGGCGCGCGCAAACTATGTACACAACACTTGCTTGATGCAAATCGAGGCTTTTCACCTGTACGAGCTCGTTGGATTTAACATAGAGATTACAGGTGTATCGATTTGGCTTATGTACCGTCGAAACGGCCCTGAGTGGCTGTGTTACGTACGCCTAGTATAGCGAGTATCAGGGTGGTTGGGAGAAGTCGACTTATAAGTCAATGTTGCAAGCGCATCTACTGCTAAATTTCTCACATGGCAATCCGTTGCATACCTCCGGTTGATAAAAAGCATCGCTACTTTTGCAATTTTTTGCGCGCGTTGCCACAAGCTCGACTTGCGCTCGGAGCGCGTAACCTGTAAAAGGCTCGCAAGATACGCCGAGTCATTGTTTATATGCTTCAACGTTTTCAAGCTCTCTTTTTCTATCTTTTCTAAATTTGAATGACTTTCAAGTTGGTCATCGCGATATTGCATTAAAAAAAGGTCAATATGACTTGTGAAAATTCAATAGACGATCTTATCGCAAGCTCCTCGTGATATAATATAAGCTCAAGTCGGAAAGCTGTAATTTAGATAAGCTCATCGCATGAGCCTCTCTCTGCTCGTTGCAGCTTGTTTTCGTCGATGTCGTCACGCGCGATGATGCTCTCTTCATCGATGTCTATATAAGTAATATACACCTATCGACGTTCGACGTGCTGCGCTACTGCACAAGACGACGACGACGACGACGCTCCAACAATGACGTAAACTGCAGGCGCAGATCGAAAGACAGTAATATATGTATGTACTGGTGCTGCAGCAGGAGGCTTCCTCCTTCCGTCTCGGGAGGCAGTCCTCTCGCGTACATATAGGCCCGCTGCACGTATACAGCAGCTCTTGACGTAGCGGGTAGAGCCGCTTCGCGTTGCCGTTGCTGCCGTTGCACTGTGAGCACTGTCAGCGTCGGCGCGTCGTCGTCGAATCGGCAGTATATAGACAATTGTGTATCGCGTCCCCACATACGATCAAATACCAGTGAGTATAAACCAACAAGAGTTCCATATAGATACGTACGACCACTGCTAATACTTTATTAATCGGCGTCTAATCAGCTTGGCTATTCAACTGGCCTCGTTCGCTACATAGCTCAAGTGTACATTTGCCATACATAAACGTGTGTAACGTACCCTTACAAATATCTATCACCTATATAGATCGCGTGCGGAGAATCGACGGTACAAAATTGGAGCAGTGTGGCGCGCCTGTTTTGCTATATAGATACACACTTCACTTTTACTATATCTCTCTCTCTTTCTCTCTCTCTTTTGCAACTTGGCTCTCTGGCATACGTGTTTAGCGCATATTCGCTCGCGAATACTCCACCAGGCAGTCGCTCCGTCTCCTTCCAACTCGGCAGCGACAAGTCGCTCCGTCCTCGTCTTCATTCACGCCGTGTGTGGACTGTGCACTGTGTGCTCCTACGTACACATTGCGAATTGGACGGCGCGCCTGTGTGGCTGTGTGTGCGAGATTTGCGCGCGCATCGACAGTTTGCGAGCGCAGCGGATACTTTCATATATAGGTAATATATACGGAGGCGCAGCGACGTAAACGCAGCGCGTTGCTGCTGCTGCTGCTGCCGTCGCCGCCCCTTCGCCACCCCTACCCAGTACCCACACAAACGTGCACAAATCGTGGAGCATAACGCTGTTACTGCTGCTGCTGCTATGCCTTCTAGGACAACGATTTACGTTTGATTGCTGCACGTCGTATATTCGCTTATAATACATACATAGCTCGACACTATCACGAACAAGAATAGCTGCTCGTTATTTTATTTTTTATTGTGTATTATTGTTACCTGTGTGTCTGTGTGTGTTTAAGTGGTGCGATACACTTGTGCATTCAAGAGTGCAACGAGCTCGAGTGCGGGTCACTTGCATTATTATAATTGCAATTTCTTTCCTTCTTCTTACCCCCGATCGGTATTATGTACGTGAAAAATAACGCCAGAGATATGGTTTATTGCGAGTGCTTCGTATTATTATGCTAAGTCAGACGTTTTACCTCCGTCAGTCAGTAACGTTCCACCTCGTTCGCGCGACGAGCGAATCCGATGAAAGAGTAACGCCAATATAAAAGAGTACGTACGACTGCACACGTTCAATTATTAATCCACCCTTTTTCATATGCTTTTTTTTGCTGCTGCTGCGAGAACATGTGATCGATAGCAATTGAATGCGACTCCGGAATGAAAGAGAAGATGGAAAAAACCAGCAAAGTATCAGATTATGTATTTTTTATTTGCCAGATACTTTGTGCATTTGAATAATCGTTATTCAATGATTCATCGATTTATTCTAGAATCGTACGAAATTCGTCGGATTTAATCTTTTTGCTCATGTTTACCTTGTTATAGTCGGCTCACGGTCAGTCGTTTTTTCAGTAAAAAGTGCACACGTGAAATTGTGTTGTTTAACTTGTATCTATAAGTTGCTTAGTTTATCAATTTTTGAAACTAGCTTTACTTCAAGGCTTTAAATAGTCTATGAAGTTATGTACAGTTTACTTCTATATACCAGGAGTGCATGTGTACTTTTGCTCGTTTTTTCTTTTAATCATTTAGATTGTGGTATGATAATTAATAATCCTGATAATAATTTATTTATACATTTCTCATAATTGTAAATTAAAATTATTTTTTAATATTCTTGGTTCAAATTATAAAATTTAAATATTTTTTCAGCTTCAAAATGAATCCCCAATATATGCAGCAGCAACAACAAACACCTCAATATGGACCTCCACCTTCTAATGCACCATACGGCGAACCCAATGCAAATGTATCTCTCAAACAACCATTTGGACCACCACCAATGAATAATCCTTCCAATTCATTTTCACCCCCGTACTATGTGAATGATGTCAGAAGACAGCCAACAGATACCCAAAGAGCATCGCCAATGTCACCCTCTAATCAAAATAATATAATTGACCAAATGTCTTCTATGAATTTGTCTGGTCATAGATCTCCTTCACAAGATTTTTCTACGTTATCAGGAAAAAATACACCAACAATCAATTCGCCATCCACAACAAATGGAATTAACCAAAACCACCATGTTCAAGGTAACCATAAAGTCCTAAACTGTAAATATTTATAAAAGTAATTGGACTGATTTCAATAATTATTGTAGGAGATTTAGGTATTAACAACATGTCAGTTAATAAATCTGCTTCACCACAAAAGCTGTTACCTCAACAGTTACCTCCTGTGTCAAATGCTTCCAATCAATTACCTCCTCGTGTGAATGCAGCTGGACCTGCATTTTCTCTACCAACTTCTGGTCACTCTCCTTCATATGGCAATCTTCCAGACAACACAGTGGCAAATCAAATCCATAGACCACCACAAATGAATCCGCCACCTCAAAGCAATCCTTATTACCAAGTTCCAAGCTCTGATAAATATGGGGCCACTCAATCTAATCAAGCAAATCTGACTGGTCCACCTCTTGCAGGAAAACCTCCTGATATGTCTCAAAGACCCTCTTCTGTAAATCAATCTTTAGTAAACCAAATTCCATCAAATTTGCCCCAAGGATCTCCTTCAAATAGGCCGCTGACATCACCTACATCAAGTAATCCTCTTTCTCCTATGTCAAACCAACAATTTATGGCTACACAAACTTCACAAGTTACTTCGCCAACAATGAGTCAGCAACATTTTTCAAGACCTCCTCTTGCATCTCAAAACAGTATGTCAGGATCCCCTGTATCAGGACAGCAGCTGTCTAGCCCCTATGGGCAACAAATGCCTTCTGGACCTATGCCAGTGTCTGGACAACAACCTGTACATTCTCCACAAAATTTATACAATAGTCAACCTGATCAACGTAGATATACACAAAATGCTTATCAACCAGGTCAAATGAATTATCAAAATAATGACTATTACCAAGGACATCCCCAGCAGCAACCTCAGTATGCACCAAATGTAAGTAGTTATTGCTCATACATCAATTGTAATCTTGACTGAAGTTTATTGAGTATTGGTGTTCATTCAAATATTATTTTAGCAGAACATGTATGCGAATCAAGCAAGTCCTTATCAAACGGGAATGTCAAGTCCTACTGGTAATTATGCACAGAGTGCTCAAGCTCAACGAAGACTTGATCCTGAACAAATGCCTAGTCCTGTATGTTATTAAGTACTGAAAAAACATCTGTTACATTTCAAAAATGTATCATGAATTAACTTTTTTTCACTTATTAGATACAAGTTATCCAAGAGGATCAAAGAACTAAAGGTGGAGTATTTGCAACCAATCAAAAAGGTCTGGTTCCACCTCTAGTCACCACAAAGTTTATTGTTGAAGATCAAGGAAATGCTTCACCTAGATTTATAAGATCCTCTGTATATAATGTGCCCGCAACTGCAGATATGGTCAAACAAGTCAGTATATAATTCTACTATATACTCTAAGGTCTTGCTTGAATATTAATGAAAATATTTTTCAGACACAAATTCCTTTTTCACTCATATTGAGTCCAATGGCTCAAATCGAAGAAGGTGAATTTGAGCCTCCTATTGTTGATATGGGTGAACTAGGTCCAGTTCGTTGCAATCGGTGCAAAGCATATATGAGCCCCTTCATGCAATTCATCGATGCTGGTAGAAGATTTCAATGTCTACTGTGCAGAGCTACGACTGAAGGTAATCTTCAGCTAATCATGTGTGATTGAATAATATAGCTTGACAATAATGCTCATTTATACTTCTTATAGTGCCTGCGGAATACTTTGCGCACTTGGATCACACTGGTCAAAGAATGGATCGCTTCGAACGGCCCGAATTGATGTTAGGAACCTATGAGTTTATCGCAACAAAAGATTATTGTAGAGTGAGTACTGAATTCAGGCGCACATTTTTATGAATTACATAATAGTATTTGAACCGTGTTTTTAAAAATTATTTCAGAATAATACGTTTCCGAAACCACCCGCAATAGTATTTATTATTGATGTGTCTTATAATACTGTTAAATCTGGTTTAGTCAATTTACTATGCTCTGAAATGAAAAAAATTATTCAAAACTTGCCAGTTGATGTTGGGCAAACTAAATCAAATGTGAAAGTTGGATTCATCACATACAACAACACTGTTCAATTTTATAATCTTAGTCCGAACCTTGCACAACCTCAAATGATGATAGTTGGAGATGTTCACGAAGTTTTTATGCCACTTTTGGATGGATTTCTTTGTGATCCAATAGAGAGCGAAACACTTATTGATAATCTCATGACGCAGATTCCACTGATGTTCGGTGGTACCCGAGAAACGGAAACTATTCTCGCGCCAGCTATTCAAGCTGGGTTAGAAGCTTTAAAAGTAAGATCGCATTGAACTACATGATAAGTACTTCTTTACAAATCTGTACGAATTAATTGCATTAACAATTGTTTAGGCGTCAGGCACAACGGGAAAACTCATGGTATTCCACTCTTCTTTGCCTATTGCGGATGCTCCGGGTAAACTTAAAAATCGAGATGACCGAAAGCTTCTTGGAACAGACAACGAAAAGTCTGTTTTAGCGCCTCAAACGACGTTTTATAATAATCTTGGACAAGACTGTGTTGGATCAGGATGTAGTGTAGACCTTTTTGTTTTTAACAATTCGTATATTGATGTAGCGACAATAGGACAAGTTTGCAGACTCACTGGTGGAGATTTATACAAATACACATATTTCCAAGTGAGTGATCGTTTCTTTTCATCATTTCAAAATTTCAAAACTGAAGTTTAATGTTTTCTTTTAATTATAGGCTGATGATGACGGAGAGAGACTGATTACTGATATTATCAATAATATAAGTAGACCCGTGGCATTTGATGCTGTAATGCGCGTTCGAACTTCTACGGGAATTCGACCAACTGAATTTTATGGTCATCTGTACATGTCCAACACAACCGACATAGAATTAGCTAGCATTGATTGTGACAAGGTATCTTATATTTTCATGTTTTATTTTTTGAAATTTAAACTTTACATTGAATATTATCGTAACTGATTTTAGGCCATAGCTGTTGAAATAAAACATGACGACAAAATAGCGGAAGACGATACTGTTTGTATTCAAGCGGCATTACTTTATACATCTTGTAGTGGAGTAAGAAGATTGCGCATCATTAATTTGAGTTTGAAAGCTACAAATCAGATGGGAGAAATTTTCCGTGCTTGCGATTTAGATGCGATCATTAATTTCCTCTCCAAACAGAGTTAGTCTTCATGGTTTTTGTTATTAAAATTATCAGGGTAAACTTGTAATTAATTAAAAAATTTTTCGTATTCATAGCTGTTTTCAAGTTAGTAGACTCCACTCCAAAGGTCGTAAAAGAGGCCTTGAACGCAAGATGCGCTGCCATATTAGCCTCCTATAGAAAGCAGTGTGCTTCACCTTCGAGTTCTGGACAGCTCATACTTCCTGAATGCATGAAAGTACTGCCAGTATACATTAATGGATTACTGAAAAGTGATGCTTTAGCAGGAGGTAAAAAATCATCAGGAAATTTAAAGTGATCTTAAATTAAAAAAAAATTTGATGTTTCAGCGGCGGGAGGAATTACTATCGATCAAAAGTCGTACGTTATGATGGCAATTGCAACGATGCCAATTAGTGAATCTCTCGTTCACGTCTATCCAAGGTTATTCGCAATTCATGAAGTCTCGCCTCAGGATAATGAACTGCCTCCTATGTTACGATGCTCGATGGATAAATATACCGATGATGGCGCATACTTACTTGGTAATGTCAATAATATTTGATGTTCTATTTACAGTGTGACATATTTTCATGATGTACATTACTTTCAGAAAATGGAATATACATGTTTTTATGGCTTGGTGGAAATTTAAGTCCACAGTGGTTAAAATTAGTTTTTGGAGTATCATCCGTAACTCAGGTCAATACAGATAAAAGTTATATTCCCGTCTTAGACAATGATTTAAATAGAAAAATAAGAGATATTGTTGCGTACATTGGAAGCGAAAGACGTTATTGCATGAAAGTAAGTTAATCATTTTGCTTTCAGATGATAATTTATAATTTGATTAATTTAACGAATAAAAAAATATTTTCAGTTAGCAATTACGAGGCAAAGAGACAAAATGGAACAAGTAATGCGTCAATTCTTAGTCGAAGACAGAGGTGCCGACGGCAGCCCCAGCTACGTGGACTTTTTGTGCCAGTTGCATAGGGAAATAAGAACACTTCTTAGCTAGTAAAAATTTTAGTTAAGCAATGCTTAAAATTGACGACAAGAAAACAATTTCTTTTTCAGTAGGGTATGAATGTGGTACGCAATTTTTGAGAATAAATGCACGCAAAATAATGAATATTTTATCGTGGGTATGGGGTAAATAAGAACAACTAATTGTGTATATTTGAAACTTTGAACAAAGTTGAATGATCGTTTTGTGTAATGTGTCAATTGTTAACAATTATGTATCGTATAGTGCTTTGAATGACGCATTGATATGTATGGATAAAAAAGCATTATAAATTTATATACATATAACTGCTAAGTCAAAATTATGAATCAATTTAAAGACAGTTATATTTGACGACATTTCGTTTAATAAATGATAAATCCTAACAATATTATTTCTGTATTGTAGAAAAATGTAAATGAATATTAAATTCGCAGCAGCTGGAGGAAGGATATCAATCTTGTTCTTAACTGTTTCTCACAAAAATCTATTTATCCATTTGTCTAATTAAACGTTCGCGAATGTATACATTTTTTCTCGTTAAGCACCGATGACTCATCCGACAGACGATGGTAGAAAAACAATTCATTACATTTACCGCGATCAATTTAATCTAATAAAAAGATACAATGCTCGAGTAGACACGTGTAATTCCGTTCGGGTAAATCGATACTTATGTACGCTGTTTGCGCCCGTGTTAACGACGAAAGTGTCACGTAACGGGAGTTTATGCGAGACCCGATTCGTGTTTCATATATCAATTCACCCTCTATTCATTTGAATAGCAACGAGGGAGTACACGACACATACGCCCAAACCATACGTCACTGCCGCGGATGAGATCAAAATTCAATCGAAAGCACATCGAGCTCGACTCCTATATTTAATATTGCATCCTTCCTGCTCTCGACTGGTACATACAGCATCATTGTTAGCATCCGAAAGGTGCGCGCGCGCTCGCAAAACCACCTGCGACGGCTCGTGATTCGCATTTACGTATTGGATTAACAGAAAATCGCTGCGAGCGCAAAATGTAGACGCACGCGCGCGTCATAGGATTGCATATTGCATTCCGCAGCTAATAGAGGACTGTCGCGCATGGGAAAGAGCGAGGAAGAGAGAGAGTAAATACGCAATCCTTATAGATGTTGTAGCAGAAGACGATTCCAGGCGGTCGTTAATTAAAGTCGTAAGCACGCCTATGTGCATAGGCGAGGTCCTCTCTCGGCTGCATTCGTGCGGATTATATCGTTCTAAAAAGTTTTTTGTCATTCAAGGGCTCGATTCGTGCTTGGAGGGACATGTGTACGCGTGAGCTGCTGTGACGACGAGCTGAAATCGATATGAGGTTAAAATTAGGTGGTTGTCTTTGCCTGCACTGCTGCCGTAAGTCTACGACAGGCCGAACTTCAAGACTGTATGTTGACTTTTAAGCGGTTGACAGGGCACCTAACAGTAGCATCCGGGCGACGAATCATGTCCCTCGGAACGTCATTAGCGCCTGCGGTTGTGCCAGTGCTTTAAAACGGGAATTTCTGTGATAGTTAATTAAGCCTAATCAAGCACGAAAAGAAGATAATGCAAAAGAGAACGAGGCAAATTTCGTCGTCACATTATTGCCGGCCGTCGTACGTTGCTGCTGTTAATTCTGCTGCCGTCGTCGTCTTCGTTGCTGTTGACGAGCTGCAACTGCGAGATACCGTTTCTGCTGGAGAATGCAATTTTTTCCCGGAAATCAGCGCCAGCAACGAAAAAAGCGATCGCCTGGTCCTGCTGTAATTTCATCGATAATTGCCGGTCAGTCTTTGCTTTATCGATTTTCTGAGCTTTGACATATAGGTGTTTACTCGCTATCAGCAACAGCTGTGAAATGCTCATACGCGCAAATTTTATGAATAGTAGATTTACAACTTATCAATTAACCGATGACTTTCTGCACTTTTGAGTTATCAATGAATGAACACCGTTTTTCATATTCGTAAATTAATCAATATTACTTACAAATTGAATAACTTTTTTCAATAAAAATTAAAAGGTCATTTATTCATTAAAAATTATTTGCAAAATTAGTTGATTCAATACTGATAAAATTAAGTTTTTAATCTTTAAAATAAATGCATATGGAATTTAATTAACATTTAATTAATTTGTTTACAGGACAGAGCGATCAAAGTAAACCATGTTACAACCAAGTGTTGTCATACTCATTGCGATCTTCTTGATCGTGGTGCTAAACTACTACTATGGTCTGATATTTTACATATTTATGGGACTGCTGACCATTTGTGCCACCTCTTGTGGACCAGCAATTATATTTTATGCTTACACAAGATTTCCAAAGTTGGAATATAAACCTGGTTGGAAATACTATCTTTTAAGCATATTCGCACTCCTAATTGCAGTATTATTTTACTATGGTTTAATTGTACATGCATTTTTTGGAGTACTTGCTATCTGTGGTATGACACTTGGTCCAACAATGGTTTTATATATGCATTCAAATCTTTCATCTACTCCTACCAGTAATAAGTGTGCTAAAAAAACTGTTAATAAACTTAATGCATTTGAAATTCTTTTAATTGTAAGTATTACTTAATACTATTTTTATAAAAAAATTTCTACTATTCGTAAAATATTTATATTTGTCATATTTATTACAGAAAAGTGCTTGGTTCAATGATGATGTTGAAAGAGATCCCAATCGTTACCCTTTAGTATATTCAAGATTAGTCGATGGAGGTTTACAGAACTTAATGGATCTAGTGTTTAGAGATTTTGTTGGTTGTTGGTTGAAGGATATTGTTAGTGGTGCTGATGATATCATGGCTTCTATGAAACAAGATTTTTGGGAGGCCATTCAAAAAATCCATAGCAGAAGCGAACAAATTGATCACACAAATTTAGTAGCTTTTAGCATGGTGAATACTGTTACTTTTCATTTTGAAAAAATAAGACATGCTCAAGAAGCTGTGTAAGTATAGGTGGCAAGTTCTAATCAACATGAATCTCAGTTTATATAATCTAAATTTTTCATGTTCATATTATAGAATTGATGGTGAATCACCTACTTATCTTTTATCACCACATTTAATAACAAAAGAGGGTGAAATAGAGTACTTAAGAAAAGTTAGCGAAGTGTTTATTTTATTTTTTATGCCTCGAGGCTACACCTTTTCCCCTGCAAAAAGTCTTGTTAGAGAAATCTTTACATGCAGAGGTAAATGTGAACTCTTATAAAGATATTTAATTATTAACAATCACGATATTAACCTGTTTACGTTTTAGTTCTTCTGCCGTTTATAAATACGATTACGGATCCAGATTATATTAATCAAAAAATATTATCGTACATAGAGCAACAGCAAATGACGGAAGAATTGCATAAAAAAACTTGTGATTACGCGGATTCGTACGAAGACTTTTTAGCGATGATCAAAGCTACTCGAGACGTTGACGTCTTGAAACGAATAAGATTTAATATTGTTACTGAAATAATGGAGGCTACGACAACGCAAAATATTCAACGAGCTCAGGGCTTGGATCCCGAGAACGGAAACGTAGGCAAATCTGAAGCAGCGCAGGCGAAAAAATTAAAGAAATACATAGGTCAATTGACTCATGCAAAAAACGTATGCGAATCTCGCATGCGAGCAATGGGTTGGGATGGTTTTCCCATGGAAGATGACGATGTGATAGACGCTGCAGCTATCGCTGAAAACAGAGTAATCCCTTTGAGGACTATTTTAGACAGCGTCATAGGTATGCTTTCGACAATAAAAGTACTCTAAAAGATTAGTTATTATTTTTTAATTACAGGCAGAAAATACTTTTCACAATTTCTCGAGCAAGTATCTAGTCGAGGATTAATAGGCTACTGGACAGCGGTGCAAGAGCTACGGGCAGTAGATAAATCTAGTTGGCATCAATTAGGAGCTGAGATTTTTTATACGTACATAGCTATTCCTACGGCAGAGATTAAAGTGGACAAAGAGACGATGAAGCGGATGGAAAGTTTTTTGATGGGCGACAAAGGACCGGACGTTTTTTACGAGGTTCAAGAAATGGTTGTGAATATTCTCGAGGAAAAGTATTATCCGTCATTTATCGTAAGCGAACAGTACAAACATTTACAAAAATCTTTCAACGAGGATAAAACGGATGGTTAGTACAGTTTACTGCATTTCGTGCGATATCAACTATTACTCTGAATGAATAGTCAAATATTACCGCGGCCTTTGATTACAGTGTCCATGAACGATCAAAAATCACTGATGAACGGCACGATTTGCGACAACACGTCGCTCCTGGTCGGCGAGCACTCGACTTATGCGAGAAACAAGCTGGCGCAGCTGCAAGAGAAGCTGACCAACAAGATGCAGGCGCTGAGCGCGCTCAAGACCGCGCTGAAACCGGAGAATAAGGTGCTCGGCATACTGGCCAAGGAAGTTGAGTGGCTTCTCGGCGAGAAGCGTCAGCTAGAAGCCCACCTGAATCACACGGAAATGTGGGCGGAGCATCTGGGCCATTGGCGAGCCGACGTGCAGAGCGCCGAGGTAAAATTTCAATGGGCATATAAAGTATACTCGCTTCTCGTTTTATGATTTATAATAAATAACTTTAACTTTGTGGCAATGTAGTGCACGGAAAATGGTGAAGCTCCGGAATTCGTTTTGGTCGTACACATGGTTGCGGACGAAGCGGATGAAACTAGCATTTCTACCGGTTGGGTGGTTTTGCGAAAACTTCCGGAATTTCAGGAACTTCATAGAAAATTGAGGCAGCTCTGCTCCAGCGTAAAAACCCTTGAACTCCCGTCACAGCCGCTAAAGTTTTTCGGCAAGATGGACAAAGCTACTTTGGAAAAGTCGAAAGCACAGATTCAAAAATACTTGAACGTAATTGTCCTTTTACCTTTGAGTAATTCTTCATTGGGAATTTCTTTTTAATTTCATTGGATTTTTACTTTGTAGGTTGTTTTGGAAAACGACCGACTAAATCAAAGTGAAGCTCTTTATGCCTTCTTGAGCCCCAGCTCAGAGCGTCTAAAGCAAGGAACTCCATCGCCTAAAAAATCTCGCTTTTCCCTTGCAACTTTATTCAAATCGTCAGTAGTTTAATTTTTACTCTAATTATTGAAACAAAAAATTAATTGATTCTTCATTTTTTTTATAGCAGTAGTTCTGGCAGCAGTGGCGATTCGCGTGAAAAAGATGACGACGATGATTATCCGTCGTTGATTGATGACAATGAACCATCTCGATCCGTAACTGACAGTTTTCTCGGTCCTGGAAAAGACTCCATAGCTGAGCCACTTTACGCTTTACTGGGAGAAATTTTTGACTTGAGAGGAGTTTTCCGCTGGCTACGCCGATCTCTCATAACATTCGTACAACTTACATATGGAAGGACAATTAATAGGTATGATAAATAAGAAAATAAAAAGACTCTGGTATTTTCGATGTATAACCTCATTCAACTTTTTTTATAAATAGACAAATCAGAGACAGTGTGACTTGGATCTTTTCCGAGCCTATGCTCTATTATTATATTCAACTTTTGACAAAATCTTGGTGGCCAAATGGTGAATTAGCTTGGGAATTTCCGGAGCGAACCGAAGCTGACAAAGAAAAAACGCGCGAAGAAGCTCGTCAACAATTTTTAAACAATGTACCTTACTTTTTAACGAATCTAGTTGGTGCTCAGACTGCTCAAAGGGGATCTACAAAAGTATTTGACGCATTTCAAAATGTGCAATTAAACAAACAGTTATTTTACGTAAGTAATTTTTTTAATATTAAAAAAAGGTCATCATAGACATTTTAACCCACTTCATTTAAATATTTTTAGGACTTATTTGAAGTTGTTATGTATGAAATGTTTCCTGAGTTGAAAAAAGATCGAGATTGAAGAAAAGTCAAGGGTGAAAAAGTAATTTTCATCAAAAAAAGTGCATCACTGGTGCTTTTTAATTTTCGTTAAGACAACGATCAAAAAAATATTTCTTAAATATTACGACAATTTCATAGTTTATCGAGGTGCTGAATGGTTTCTATAGATTAAGAAATTTATTTTAATCTTTTATTTGCGACCCTACTTATTTTATTAGTTTTAATCGAGTGGGTGCTTGAATAAACTTTGATACCTTCTTTTATATCTTTGAAAAATCTAAGTAAAAGGTGCTAATACCAAAGACTGTCAGCGTTTTCTGATCAAAAACCTTTTTAATTTGTCCTTTATACTCAATTTCAACAAATTGTATTGCATAAATGCTGACTCTAAAATACAATTCTACATCTATTTTTTAATTTTTTATCTTTAATACATTTTTATGAGATAGTAGGACAGAGTATTTTATTTAAAGTTGCAATGAGTCCACCCAGTATCGGATCAGAGTGATCTTTCATGAAAAAGTACAATACAATTATGTGTAATAATATACAAGTTTATTAATGCTGCACATTATTGATATTAAATTGTGAAAAAAATTATGAAAATGCACGATTAATCTTACAATCATTAAATTTGATGTTATGTTAATTATGAAGTGTCAAATACTGTTGTAAAAATATGTGTATAAATGTATGGTTCAACACTATAAATATGAAACACAATCAAATTAAATAAGAATATTCGTGTAAATTTCAATTTCTCATTCGTAAGTTATACTACGAACAATATGTTATGCAAAAATGAATAAAAAAGAGACTTGAATTGAAAACAATGCAATTATTTTTTGATGATTATAACCGAATAAGATGTCCAAGATAGCGTTATGAATAGGTGTATATCTGTAGTTCTCCATAAAAAGGACGACAGGATAATAATTTTAACTTGTATACCTAATACATATACGAGTAGGCCCAGGTGTTTTTTTTTCTTCGGATTAGGTCTCAGCAATCAGTGCAGGTCGACCCCCGCGACAAGTCGGTTGGACCGGATCTTCAATAGGCCGAGGTATACTTATCTCTTAATACTATCAATGTACTCTCTTGGATAATAGTGCTGATCGGTCTTCAGCTTCGTTTTTCTCTCTACCTGTGACTACGCCGAGATATTTGACGATGAAATTGATATTGTTACATGCATCTGGTACTCTGGCCGCCATCAAACGTCTTGAGAATAGAGGATGCGAAATAGACCAAAACGACACCCAGACCATCATGACAATTTTTGCTAAATGCGGAGTTTTCAAGAAGTTAGAAGATCTTGAAAAATTTTGGTACGACGACAAGGAATTCGTGGGAAAACGAAAATAATGGTGATGAATTCGAGTTCGTCGCTAAACCACCTGATCCAGTTTATGGATAGCGTTTAAGTCATACAATTTTTGGACAGTCTTTTTCGTCAGATGCGCGCCAAACCTCTTACCAAGCCATTATTGAATTTTTTTATGTAGTATTTTATTATTTTTAAGTATGTTGTATTGATATAATGTAAAAAAAACTTATCATTTGTATACTTCATACAATATTTACTTTACTGAAAGCATGTATGTACATTATATTGTATAATAATTACGTTTATTTACACATGCATAGTAATACGGCATTTTTAGTATTCTTTCAGATTTGGCACTATAGTTACGGTTGATGTTCAAGATCTCTTTCAAATCTGCACTATTACATTTTTTAATTACCGGGTATCACTGAAAATAAATACTATAAAAGCAGAGTATGTAAAACTTTAATAGAATTTAATTTTTTATTAATTGTAACGTAACTCATTTTGTATGTTCTGTTTTTATGTTTTGAATAACAATTTCAATTATTTAAATAGATTTTGGGTAACATAAATTAGTTAATAAAAAATTCGATTGAGATTCTTTTATTTGTTGAGATCGTTTTTTCACTAGAAACATTACTTTGTTACACTGTAATTGGAAATTTTCGAGAATGAACTTTTTCTACATATTCGATGCAATGAATATTTTTAGTCATGAATCGAAGAATTATCATTTTCTAAAACATGGTTTACCAACAAGATGTTTAAAATAACATAGATGGTGAAAAAATATTCTCAACTTTGTTTACTCTAATGTCACATCAGTTTATAGATAATAAAATAAACGATCATAATTATTTCACTTCACAAAAATGTTTTTAGAACAGTATATTTTTTAGGAGATCAATATAATTACAGTCGATAAAAAATATATCCAACGTTTTATACAGTCGAAGTTAGACTATACGCGATACAAAAACTTGAGTTATTTTTCGCATGAATAATTTTAAGAGTATAGAAATAATCATTTCCTAGTCCAGCTAAGATAAAAAATGGAAATCTTTATCGTATAAATGACTTTTTGATGAATATTATATGAAATTCATTGAGTAATTTATATTGTAATCGATGTAATACAAGAAAGCATGCGAATCAATTAAAAATATGCTTTAAGCATTCATGCGCAACTGTCTTGAAAATGAATCTATCACGAACTGGCATAATAAACCCTTGAACAAACATTTGACGACTTTTTCTACAAAGTACAACATACTTAAGTTTTCTAATAACCAAGAGTCAATTCGTTTTACATTTTACAAATATATCACACTCATTTATATAAATTTATACAATATTTAGTTTCCCAATACATATAAATATTATTTAAACTTTCTTCCAAAAACATGTCTTCACTATGTCCATTTGCGCTCGATAGTATACTCATATACTCCAAGAACGTCTGATGGTTCGCGCACTGTCACTTGAAATTTACAAGGGCGCACTTTTAAAAAAAACTTTATCTTGTCTGTACTGAGTTATGGACGAAAGAACAAACACCTGCGCGAATTAAAATACTTATTTCATAGATTAGACGTAGATGGATAAGGTACGGAAAGTCATGTTATTAACTTTTTTTTTATCGAAAGTCTATAATAATTTCTTCGTCATCCTCATCATGTTTGTCCTCGTCCACGTCTCATCAGACAATGGGCCTGGGCTTTGGCGTGGGAACGATAGTCGGCTCGAGCTTTTGCAGACTGACTCGTGTCATGGCCGGCGGCGAGGACTCCAACGGCGAGACCGACGGGGCTCTGCTGCTGCTCGGCGTGGCGTTACAAGGCGGTATGAGCGACACCACCTCTGGGCTCAGAGCTGGTCCGTTGTCTTCGTAAACTCTTTCCTATATGAAGGTACAGCACACAGAATAATCACCATATGTAGAAATAGGCATTCTCTTATTCATTTAACGTAACGTTATTAACACATTATAGTAGATTTTATGCCATTCATAAGTGTGCTCGCATGTATAATACGTAATTACAAAAAATTTATTTTTAATATTTTACGTGGTGAAGCAAATACTTTTTTGTGCTTTATAAACAAATTAAAATCTATGGGATGTGCGAATCGGTAGACTTATTATTGTGCTGGATAATTACTTGGCGCACATTACATATGATAATAGTTAAATACAATTCTATAACCGCTAATATCTATATTATTTATAATATTAATGCAATATAACTAGCTTGTTTTTTAAACATTACATATTTTATAATTTAATAACATTCACAAACGCAGTGGTAGTGCCTACATTTACATCGTACACGCTAATCTTTTAATGTACATACAATATCGATTATCGATATACATTATGATTAACAATATACATTAGAATATAATTACAATATTGCAAACGTTGCCGGCTTAACGATGTACTTTGTTACGGGGCTTATATCAACCCTGCTTCAGGTGATCCAATATTTGACTACGTAATTATAAACGTCAACGTCGCGACTTATCGATTTAACGCGGCGATCAAAGGACACAACTGGGCGAGTTTATTATCAGTCTTATGTGATTCTCTTAAAGTACGTCTCTCGTTTATAATTCTAAACATTTACGTAAACAGTCAATTTAAATCAAACCACGAAGAAGTGTATTCAAAAGATTAAAAGTTTTCATTTCAAAAGTTATTAAACGATGCACGCGCTCGAGTCTAAATCTCGAACTAATTAGCTCGAGGCGCGAAACGAGTCAACAAAACACGTCGAAGTCTATTCATCATTGCGAAACAGACGAAACGAAAAGACACGAACGATTGTTAACGCTATTGTGCAACAATTATTCAGTTGCTTAGCTGTGTATTTTATTTGACTATAGAGCCGCGGCGTTGGAGCGCGCGAGCGACTGCTCTTAGATTTAAATTTGTACATGAGGTGCATATCGTTATTATATTGCGCGTAAGAATTATTTTTAACGGCTCTTATCGTCTAAATTTCTTTTAAAACACACACACATACGCACATCGATAGTAGTTAATCGCGTGCCAAGTCGGAGCATCGCTTGATTATCGCGTGTAAAAAATTATCGTCTTGAGTATATTAAGTTGTGCCCTTCGATCGCTCAATTTGTCGTTCGCAACCCGTTTAACAAAATGGCTCTTCCTCTGATTTATTAAACTTTCAAGCTACTTCATCATCGCGTCGTCAAATCGATCTCGGTAAAGACAGTCTCGGCGACGATGGCGTCGACATCGCCACGCTCGTCGAGCCGCTTCCTGAGTCTGTGTCAGTCGACGTCGACGATCTTTTCGCCCTTGTCGCTCTGGCCTGCGGCCTGGTTCTTGCCGGCCGAGGCCAGCAGGCACTATGTGGTCTCGGTCTCGTTCATTTGTATGAAGTGGAGCGGCAGGTGCTGCAGCTTGATCGGGCAGTCGGCGACGTTGGCGGACAACGAGCCAGCCCCTACACCGCCGCCGCCCCCGCCGCTACCGCTGCTCTCTTGGACGTCGCGCTCGCTGTTCACGCTGCTCGATCTCGTGGTGCTGCTAATGTTTCTGCTCGATTTCTGCATGATCGTTCCCCGGGGAGTAGTTGTCGGGCCCCCGCAGCACGTCCACGTTTACAATCCGCAGCGAGGTGCGTCGTGCGTGCAAACAGGTCGTGTGTGTGGTGATGGTGATGGTGGTGGTGGTGGTTGGTGGTGGTAATTGGTGGTTGTTGTAGTGATGGTGGTGAAATCGTGAGGGGTTGTGATGAAATAAAACAAAGAAAACAGAAAAAATACTATTTTAGTCTTTGAGTGAAACAAGAGATTGTGTTGTAAAGAAAGAGAGAGATATAGAGAAAAGAGATAGGAGATATAGATAAAGAGTTACTGTATTATATAATATATTATTATTTCTTATGCGGAGAACGTGGGCGGCAGTTTCAACAGTCACATACCGATTTTTTTCTTACGAGCATACGGATTTACGAATCCATAGTCCATAAACGAGAAACGAGGATTTTCAATTCGAGACATTATACAAATTTTTACAATAGTATCTCTGTCATCCATATGCACGTAAATGTTTGGAACAAGTATTGCACTTGATTATTTTTTCATTTTTATTTTCAATTTTCAAATAATCGAATGCAATAAACTTCAACACAACAGCATGCGAAACACACATCAAGAAAGAGCCATTTTCCGAACAACATTTATCTCATATATTGCTAATTTGTATTTAACTGTCAAACAAAATTAATACGTTTTACATAAGCTTCAAATTGTTGTTTTTTTTAAATTCAGCGAGCATATCATGTTTTCAACACATCGAAATTTCATTTACAGTAAATATTTTTGGCATATTGTATAGGCGTATTAAATTTAGACTATTGATAACTAAAACAATGGTTTCTATTGTCAATGATACTTGATTGCTTTTTCCATTGACTTTTCAACAGTTTTGGACCATTCTTAGGCAATACATCGAAAACTAATTCACTATAAACGAGCAGCTGTTTCGATTTTTTGATTTGTATTGCTCTCTTTCGTCATTAAAAGCTAAATATTATACTTGTTTTATTTCTTTATATAAATTTATCATATTTCGTGCAAAAGTGGTGTGAATAAAGAAACCATAATAAGTATTAATAACAAGCAGCAAATGCATCATTTAAGTTCCAACGTTAGAAAAGCTAATCCAAATCAAAATGGCTTGATACCAAGCCAAAAGAGCTTAAAAAAAAAAGAAGAAAATATATCCAAGCAAACAAACTCGAAATAGTAATATTAAGACATAGAATACGAATGTTACCGTACCTGTGATTTATCGTACTTGAGCCTCTTCCAAATAAAACCCTTTTTATCCTGTGCTTGTGGATTGGTTGGAGTGGTCAGTTCCGTGCCAGCAGACGCATTATAATTAGGATTCGAAAAGGTCAGCACATTGCGCCGATTACCGTAGGAGAAATTCTCTCGCTTGTTCTTGCGCGGACACTGCAGATAAATAATGACGATGATTATGCCAACGGTAATGATGAGCAAAATGACCGTCGTTGTTATCATCGTCCTGAGGCTCATGCCCGATTCGCCGTTACGATAGTCGTTGAGCTTGCCGTCGCGATTGCGACCTCCGCTGCCCGTTTGCTGCGGCGGAATGTCTTCTTCTTCGATTTCGTCGTAGTTCGGGTCGTTTTCCGTGCCGGGTTTACGTAGAGGCATGCGTTTTCTGGGAACTATTCAGAAACATTACTCGTGATGCATTACACGCACGTTGTGTGAAAAATCATCAACGAACCAATTGAGCATATGTTGGAATCCGGTTGATCCGGGCATCCGCAAGTGTAATTTTTTCTCGTGTAAAAGCACAAATGTGTGCAGCCTCCGTTTTCCATGGCACAAGGCGTCCAACCCGTTTGTCTGCTTGCGGAAACAGCTCGAATCTCCGTGGTGCCGTCTAGTGCCGTTCGAATCTGGTTACGATCTTTGCCGGTTCGTTTATCGGCCCGCTCGATCATTTCTTTGAACCAGTCACCCCAGAACAAGTGATTGCCATACTGAAATTGTTTCATATATATTAAATTAATATTTGTCAAATCAGATTTAGTGTTTGAAGTGTAAATTCACTAGAAATATTAAATGTAAGAAATTAACCCGAAATGTACGTTAAATATACATGGAATTTATACAAAAATAAGGGAATTTTTGATAAAATTTTATGTAAAAAATTTCATTTTTTCTCTAAAATATCTAACTAAACCACGTATGAAATTCACGTCAATTGTTGATGAAATCTATATGAAGTCTATGTACATTTTACGCTGGGATCTATATGAAATCTATGTGCATGTCCAAAATGTCGCGAAAAAATTTACTGTGGATCAATCGAATAAAACTTTTATTGTGTATCTCTGCCTCTTTCTCGCTGGGGTGTTGGTTCGACTTGTTCATGAGTCTACGATCGCTAGCGGCGATCACTACGAGCTCGAGGCGGATATCAGATCGTAGTCAACATGCGTCAATTTTCAGTACGCATTTCGACGCCGCAGCATTAACAAAAGAATATCAGATCGACTGAGCTGCTGATTTTTTGCGGAAAAAGTTAAATATAATATTTTTTATAAGCGACTGTAAAAGTGTGTTACTGGACAGAAAGATGTATCGGTACTTGTGCGCCGAAGAACTGGACGATTTATTCGAGGTAGGTTTGCATCTCGAAAACAACGAAGACGATGGCTACGATATCGAAGAAGTGTTTTATCTTAACCAAGATCTTGTAGTCAATTTGAAGAGTATGCGTGAAAACGATAAATGGAAAATCAAAGTAGAGCGATATAAATTACTTGTTCAACTTCAGCCCGTAATTAGGCATTGGAAGGGCCGACTCTCCTGGAAACTTTTCGGCCAGAAGATATCGATTCTCTTCTTTCAGATTCGATCGATTTCATGAGTAGATGTGATAATAATCCAGGAAAACCATTCATTCGGTTCGTCGTTCTCACCGGCTATGAAGACAAGCCTGACTTTGATAAAGATGGCAAGCCACTGTTGTTTCGCGCCACAGCAGTGCATAATGCGATTAAATGCCACCCTCCTGCCAGAGATTCCGTAGTCCGTAATCTGTTCAAAATATACGATAGTTTCGACGTGAATTACACCAACGAGCTCGGTCTTACGCATTTTCATGTGGCCTGCATGTGTGGCCTTGTCTACATCGTCCAGAAATTCCTTGGGCTTGGCCAAGATCCCAATTGCCTCGCGCAGAAATCAGCTAATTCGCCGTTGCACTTGGCTTTGAAAAATGACAAAAAAGAAGTTGCCGAATTGCTTTTAAAGAATGGCGTGATCCTAATTCGACTAACGAGGTTGGATCTACTCCTTTACACCTAATTTGTTCGAAAGGCGACGACATTAAATTGGCTGAGCTATTTTTCAAGATCAACGATGATCTCCAACAGAAAGTGGAGGTTGACACGCAGAACGATTTGGGTAATACACCATTGCATTCTGCATTGGAATACGGACACTACGGCACTACGAGGGTGGCCAAATTGCTGCTGAAACGAGGCGCTAATCCTAATCTAGCCAATGCAGAAGGATCAACACCTCTGCAAATTATGTGTAACTTTCATAATCATGATGACTTGGTGAATACGTTATTCAAATTCAGCAATGACAAAAATCGGCCATTGCATGTCGATGCCCAGGACAAATTGGGTAATGCACCGCTACATTTAGCTTTGCACGATTACAGACGTAAGTGCCTGGCCGAATTATTACTGAGAAACGGCGCAAATCCGAATCTCGCCAATGCAGAGGGATCTACTCCTTTGCACATAATTTGCAAGAGAGACGACGAAGATGACCTGGTAAAAAAATTCTTCAAGATCAACGATGAGATGCAGCAGACAGTGCAGATCGACGCAAGGGACAAATTTAGTCGGACACTTCTTCAATGGGCTGTGGCAAATCTTTTGCCGGATGTTGTCGAGTTTTTGTTGGATCGTGGTGCAGATCTGACAAGTTTCACTTTTCCGACTGCGAATCATTTTGCCGAGATATTTGAACCACGTTATTATACGGATTATTTTAAATTGAGATTGGCGTCTCGCACTCTGCGGTTGTCGTCGAACGTCTTGAGAATCGAGGATATGAATTGGATAAAAGCGATGCTCTGACGATTATGAAATTTATCTCTAAGCTCAGATTGTTCAAGAAGTTAGAGGATATTGAAAAATGTTGGTATGATGGCAATAAGCTCGTGAGCATAGCTAAAAAAGCAATGGTAAAATCGAGTCTGTCGTTCTACGACCTGATACGGTTGCGAGCCGAAGAAGCGGCAAAACTATTCACGAGTACGGATTTCTTGAAGCTCGGAGAGATTGATTATTGGTTTCTCCCCGAATGGCCCAGTGAAATCTGTGCTATGCATCTTTGTGAGATATTATCAAGAGGATTTTTTCGGCGGTGGGCCTTGGAATATTTATTGGAGCTGACGCGACACCAATTGCCAATTCTTTGTTGTAAAAACATCATTGAGCGGCTAACAAACCGAGATTTATGGCGTATTTGCTTAACGGTTTTGGAATAAATCTCGTGATGTCGATAAACATGTTTGAATTATTGTTAAGTGCATGTTATTCAATATTGAAGGTTTGTTACGTTATGCAAATAAACAAATTAAAAAAAAATTTAATTTATTAATTAGTTTAAATTTCAATCATTTCAAACCCACCTGTGACAAGCCAAAAGCATTAACTGCTTCGGGAACGAGGGCGATTCTGTACCTGCCACTCAAGTCCGATACTTCTATTCTGTCTTTCAGAGCGTCTGCCCAGTACAGTTTTCTAGCTTCGTAATCGATCGAAAGCCCATTGGGTAGGCTCAAATCTGTTGAAATAATACTCCGGCGATTGCTGCCGTCAAGATTGGCACGTTCTATCCTCGGATGATCGCCCCACTCGGCCCAGAAGAGATAACCCTCCTTCGGGAATAACGCTAGGGAACGAGGTTCCTTGAGATTGTCTATGAGCTTCTTTCGACTGCTGCCGTCCAGCCGGGCAACTTCGATCATGCGATGCTTCATATCAGTCCAGTAAATATTGTCTGCGATCCAGTCCACGGCCAGCCGAAACGGACTCGAAGCGGGTGAGCCCCACGTCACGACTTTAACGTCGCTAAAGTCACTCATGTTAATTCGCCTATGGATGAAGATATAATTATTAGTAATCAAGACTCATTTTGTAATTTAAAGCATCATAAGATGTAAATAAATACCTTATCACTTTGACATCTACGTCAGTGTAAAAAATAAGCTTCTTCTCCCAATGAAAATCTACCGAGAATGCATTGTATACGTGTTTAACCGGCAGTGGCACCTCCCACATCTCAGGAGTGTCAAGAGACATTCTCACCAAGGCTTTTTTCGTCGCAAGCAGTAAGAAATTCGTTGGCGTGGCGTTGCAAGTCTTGTTATCGCTATTTAGTATTATTCCCGTGGGACAGGCACAATTGAAACCGTTGGGATTTCTCAGACACAAATGAGAACATCCTCCGTTATTTATTCCACAAGCATTTTCTGGTCGCACTTGTTTTTTCTACAGCATTAAAATAATAATTATGTGAGGGCCTGTGAAATTATGTCAGTACAGATTTTCGATACTTACATCTATAAGCCGCAAATCCATGATTCCTTCTAAATTCGCTATGACGACCTTTTTATTTTTACCGTCGCTTTTTTTGGCTCTCAATAGAGCTTTTTCTTGCCAATCGCTCCAATACAAAAAGTCGCCGACCACCGATAAACCGTAGGGATGCTTTACGCCGTCCAAAATCACCTTGCGATTTTGACCCATTAGATCGGCGCTTTCAATGATATTGCGTTTAGCATCGTTCCAGTAAAGTCGGTCAGCGAAAAGGTCGACGGACAGGCCGTTCGGCCAAGTCAAGTCTTCGGTGACGACTGCTGATCGATGCTCGCCGTCCATGTCGGCTCGTTCGATTCGAGCATTGTGACCCCAGTCTGTCCAAAATACAAGTCCAGCTGGATAATGTAGTGCTATGGCTCGAGGATTATCCAAACCTGACCATACGATGACCTTACGATTTCTGCCGTCGAGTTCGGCTACTTCGATACTGTTCAAGCCTACATCAGTCCAGTATATCTAATAGAAGATTTTCATGTAAGCTTACTTTTTGTCAGGAATTTAAATATGTTTCAAATAAGTCAACATACCTTGCGACCAACCGAATCAACAACCAGGCTGTCAACCGTATCGATGCAACTATCGATTATCGTCTCTTCCGATTTACCTTTGAAATTAACTTTCTTTATGACTTTTGCAAAAGGTTGGCCAGGGTCTGTCCAATAGACGAAACCAGTTTCTAAATCGACATCTGCTCCACTTACGTTCTTCATTACTTCCATAGGTAAAACAGTATCAGCTGTGTAATTGGTATCCAGTGACAAAACTCGTACGTCGATTCTGTGAGACATCAGAAGAAATTTCGACGGCATGTCAGGGCAAGTTTTTCCATCCGGCTGAAAGAAATCATTAATTTCACCTCACTTATCTCTCATAAGTTCATTTACCTTTTTATACTTTTAATACTCACATTAAGAATCAGACCGGTAGGACAGGCGCATTTGTAACGTTTTTGCGTTGGATTCAAGAGGCAAAGATGCGAGCAATCGCCGTTGTTGCGACCGCATGGATTATTCACGATTTGTCGATTACGATGAAAAACGCGAACATCCATTAAACCCGTTATATCGGAACGGACGGCCGTGACGTTGTTACCCGTGTCCTTGTCGGCTCGGTGAATGCTTTTGGTATCCCAATCAGTCCAATAAATTTTATTCCGATGTATTACGAGACCGAAAGGATGTTTGGTATTAGCTGTGGAGGATGAATATCGATTAGTTTCGTGACTTGGTCAAGCATGCGCATGGATAGATGAAAAACTTACGCTCTGATATTATGGTGGTTCTGTGCTTGCCGTCCAAGTCGGAATATTCGATTTTACTAGTTCCTCCATCGGCCCAGTATAAACGTTTCTTTTCGAAATCGATGGCTAAACCATTGGGCCAAGTCAAATTGGTAGTAATGAAACTCCGTCTGTTTGATCCATCCATAGCTGCCACTTCGATTTTCGGATTTTTGCCCCAATCACTCCAATACATCAATCCATCTACATAAAGAAATTAAAAGTATGAAATTTTGTTTATATTTCTAGGAAAATCGGAAAAAGTAATGGATAATCATTAACTAATTGGATCTACGACGATATCTCTTGGTTTATCAAGCCCTTCATAAATTAGTAAAGTTCTCATAGTTCCGTCGAGATTCGAGCATTCTATTCGATTTGTCCCTGCATCCGTCCAATATAGCTTTTTAGTGATCCAATCCAAAGCAAGTCCGGCTGGTGATTCTGTAAATTGAAAACAAAACGATGAAATGAAAATAAATTTCCATAACTAATAAAAATCGAACTCAGTGATTACCTAAATTATGGTGAATGATGATCTTTTGATTGCTCCCATCGAGACCAGCTTTTGAAATGGTATCGGATTCAACGTCCGTCCAATAAATAGAGTCGTCATCGGAATTCCACGTTAGCGCAACCGCACTTTCGATATTATCGACGGGCACCACGACATCGAAAGCCTTAACCGATTGATCTAAACTAATTAAACGGAGATCCCTCTTTCTAGCGAATATCAACAAGTTATCTGGGCTGGCTGCGCAGGTTTTGCCGTCGCTTTGAATCTTCAAACCCACTGGACAGACGCAGTTATAACCCATTGGCTTGGGCAGGCACATGTGCGAACACTTGCCATTATTTTCGCCACAGTGATTTGGATACTCAGGCTGCCGTTGGGGATGATAGCTGTGCAGATCCATCGGAAAGTGGAGACCCGAGTGAATCGTTTTGTAACCTCGTCCGTTATTTTTGTTAGCCAAAAATATACTTTTGAAATGCCAGTCCGTCCAGTAAACGGCATCCTCAAACACTGTGATAGCGAACGGATGATGCAGCCCGCGAGTAACGACTTTTTTACGGTCCAGGCCGTATATCGTTGCGGACTCGATAACTCGATGTTTCGCGTCGACCCAATAGATCCGATCCGTCGTGTAATCAATGGTTAATCCGTTCGGCCAGTGAATGTTTTGAGACAGCAGATTCTTGCGATCGGAACCATCCATGCTGGAACGTTCTATTTTCGGATTAGGGCCTAAAATGAAAGAATCGGATTTCAATGATTGAACCATTACGCTTCAATTGCGCTCGTTGAACAAAATACTCACCCCAATCAGTCCAAAATACGTAGCCGAAATGAGGATGAACGGCTATAGCTCGAGGTTTATCGAGATCGCGAGAGACGAGTACGTGACGGATCTTCGTATCGAGGGTCATCACCTCCACACGTCTGGTACCGGAGTCGGTCCAGAACAGCAGATCGTGTATCCAATCGATGGCTAAGCCTCCAGGGCTTTCCAAGCCCCATCGGACAAAATCTGGAAAACGATTGAGGTTTTATATAAACGGTGAAAGCTTCAAAAATATCGAACGAGCGAGCGATACGCACCTTCTCCTTCGGTTCCGTTGACATACAATTTTCGTATGACATCCATAGAAACATCGGACCAATAAATTAAATTACGCTTATAATGATAATCCAAGGCAATGGCATTGTGTAATCCCTTAAGGACGGACGTATACTTCGGACCACTTATACTGACCTATAACAACGCGACAATGGGGTATAAAGCTCGTGTTCGACATTTTCGCAAACAGTGAAATTGACGTCTTTTTGTGTACCTGACGTATATCGACTCTATTGGCTAAGAGTAAGGATGGATTTGCTCCCAAAGCTTTGCACGATCGACCGTCGGGCCGCAGAACGTAGCCCTTTGAGCACTCGCACACAAAAGATCCTTTAGTATTTGTACATTTCTGGCTACACACAGGGTCCTGCGAACGAACAAAAGGCTCGGCCATTATATCGTAATAATGAAATTTTGTTAAAAGGCTTGTGAAATTAAAGTCCGCTCGTACTTTTTCGAATTTACACTCGTCTATGTCCTCGCAAGTGACATTGTCTTTTCCCAGCACGTAACCGGGATCGCAAGCGCAGGCTTTTTTATTATCGACCGTCAGAATGCACTGATGCGAGCATTTGTCATCTTTGGTGCAGGCTACCTTTTTCGGGCAATTTTCTTCATCTGCGAAAAATTGAAAATCTCTCGAATTCGGGGCTGCTCGAAATTTTGGCTAGAAATATTTACCATCTTTTTCCGGACAATCCACGACGCCGTCGCACACGTGCTTTATACTGATGCAATTGATCTGGTTGTCGTGCGCGTGAGCCAACCAGTGGGCCGGATGCACGACGGGCTTGGTCTCGTTGACGAGCTGTATGGGCTTGCACATGTACTGCGTGAGCTCGCACTTGAGCTCGCAGCCGTGCTCGTCCTCGCCGTTGGAGCAGTCGGGTACTCCGTCGCAGGACCACGAGCGCTGCAACACAATCGAATTACGTCACAAAATTTCAAAGCTATCCTCGCACACCCCGCTTGTAGTACACATTAGTGGATACGTCGAATTGCGTCGTGCGCGAAACACGTCGTCGATCCCTCTGTGCGTTCACTCACCGGTATGCAGACGCCGTTGGAGCACGAGAATTCCTCTTTGGTACAATTATTGGCCGTTGGGTACTCGCAATTCTGCTCGTCCTCGCCGTCCTTGCAATCGATCTCTTTATCGCAGAGCCAATTTTTGCTGATGCAACTGCCACTCGTACAGCTGAGCGCGCGTGAGGAGCAAGAGTAATTCGTTGCGCATTAGTTTAGTCTCTTTCGGCCGTATAGGCAAAGAGAAAAAAAAATAAAAGTCACAAGCGTTTGAGGAAGAAAAATCGCTTTTACCGAAACTCATTGGTATTGCAGCTGGTGTTGGCGATCGTGGGGCAATTTTCCTCGTCGCTGCCGTCGCCGCAGTCGTCGTCGCCGTCGCACCGATACAGCAAGGAAATGCACCTCGGGTAAGCGCATTGAAATTGATTTTCCTTGCACTGCACTTCTGCCACTTCTGTAAATATAATAAATGGTACATGCGATGAGTGCGGGGCTTTAACGTCGATCTCGACTCGACGCGCAGATGAAAAAGGCTTTCTTTTATATTCTAGTAGCAGTATATATTTGCCTTTCCATATAGTCTATAGGTATATACGTACCGCATTTGATTTCGTCGGTACCGTCGACGCAGTCTTTGTGTCCGTCGCAGCGCAAGCTATCCAATATACAAGTTCCATCCAGACAGACGAAATCGTTGTCGAAGCATATCCTGTTGCAAAAATAATTTCATTTTATTCCCTCGCAAGCTCGCGACAATTCCGATACATAGTGTTTCTAAATATATACACACGAAATAAAACCAAGAGGATTTCGACGGTCCTGATAGAATTATTGATTTTTTTTTCGTTCCCTAAAGAAAGGCACGTTTGAAAAGTCCGAGAAAAAAAAACGACCAACGTTTAGCGTCGTGAGATCAAACGCAGGCACATCTATAAGTGCTAAGCTCTCGGAGCTTGCGCGACTTCATTATGCGTACTACATAGCGTACGTAAGTGTGACTCCCATGGGTGAGCTTCTCTCTTTCTCCGCCTCTCTCTCGACTTCCGGCCTTTACCAGATGTACACAGGTATATATATAATACATTATCTACCCTATACCCCCGTAACGTACAACCCACTGCAGTAGCTGTAACAGCGGCAGTACTTAATGCTAACCCAATTTTGCCCATTTTCTCGTTGTTGCAACGTTACGTCGTCTTCTCTATATGCTATACCTATATATATCTTTGTATACAGTCACGAGTAAGGGGATTACGCGCACTTCTGCAGACATAATGCCCGGCGCGCGCAAAGACGTCCGATATTTTCTTTTTTGCTTCGTTTACCATATATTGTCTTTTCGAAAAAGCATTACGTCGTCGCCGAGCTCCCCGTTGTGTTTTGTATTGTACATGCCAGGAAATCGTGCTTTGTGCGAGGAAAACTTCGTATATAATATACGTCAGGTCAAAGAGGATTTTGTGTGTGCGCGCAGTGAAATTTTTGTTCGTAAAATATATGCTTTGATGACTACACTTGGAGGCATTGAATAGTTTATGAAATATTAAAGGTTGATTTTTCATAAATCACAAATGTAAAGTGGATTATAAAAATTCTAGTTCAGTTCAAAAATTGAAAATTTTTCAATGGAGTTCTCGATAGTCTCCGAATTCAGAAATAGAAATGCCACACGAATCAAGAGCAATTGAAAAAAGATGCCGATACACAGAGAAGTTCGCTGCACATATGATAACGCAGGCATGCCTCTCTGCACATTTTGCACGTGTTTATCGAGCTATACGCGTTCTTGACCGAGTCCACGCGTATTTGCACGCGCGCATATAATATATACGTATGCGAGTGCAAGCCTCGTGCACAGACTATGCAGCAAACCGAACCATCTGCGTTTCTGGTCAATAAGCATTTGGGAGCCGAAGCAGGCACGCTACTCTACTTTCTGGGCCAAATACGTGCAGCTTTTTCCCGCGCACACACGGCCTAATCCCACGCACCTGATGCGCTTCGTGCGAGCTTTTTTTCCCTTCTATCTTTTTTTGCTTTCGATTGGCGCAACTCGCGAGTTTATACATGCGCCGATGCATAGGGCATTCTGCACGACTATCTGTGACGGACAGCTCTATCTGCAGCTGGAGCACACTCGAGGGAAATTTAAAGGCCAACTCTCGCGCGGGTATCGGCAAATCGTGCGACTGTATTTACATTACGAGTGTAATTCGATGTGCAGTGGGAGTTGCTTCGAGTTTATAGTGCGATCGACTGCAAATGTCTTCGGATAAAATAATTAATGGGCCTTTTTTGCACGCGCCATTGATCTCGAATTGTCGCCGCGTACGACGAAAAAGCACGACGTTTGTCTCTGCTGCGCTTAATGAAAGGTCAATCGCGATCGAGAGAGACGACGAAGAGAAAGCACGAGCGTCGAGCAAAGCAAAACATCAGTCGGCGAATACGTTCGAGCCAAGAGCTAACGTATATACTTATAAAGAAGAAAAAGCGAATAAGAGAGAGAGAGAGAGAGAAAGAGAGCGCAAAAAGTGTACGACGGTAGCAGTGCGCAAAGCGGGTGAATAAAGCTCGCGCGAGCGGGGGGCTGCTGCTGCTGCTGCTGCTGAAGTCGCTGCCACTGCTGTTGCTGCAGGTGGTGGTCGATATCACATAGCACAGGCCGCGCGCGCGACCGAGCGAGCGCCCGTTGCCCAGGCAACCCACCTCCGCGCCCTGGATCTATCTTTCTCGCTCTCTCGCGTATCAAGCTAAGCGCCGCAGCGCGCGCGCGACGACGAGAGCAGCAGCAGCAGCTATCTCTGCACTCTACATGCGATGTAGTGTATATATATGTGCGCGTAATACGTTATATATGTATAAACGTAGTAATGCTGCCGCTGGACGCTCGCACTGCCTCCAACGCCGCCGAGTCTATATATATTTTATTATAAAAAGCTCGGACTGCTGAGGTGCGCATATATATATATATATATATATAGCGCAGCGATCCATCGAGGCGGCAACGTTTTCAGACAGGCGGCTATGGCGTTGTTGTATATTAGCATGAATTACCATTTATTGTATTTCGGCCGACGTTTCACGAATCTAACTTATTTGATTTATCAAAGTTGCATAAGAATCTATTCGCACGAACCTTATAACTGTCAAAGAGTACTAAGACGATATACAAGTTAACTTATGTAGTCTCGCTTTGGGATTTTGGGAGGGTGAACGAAGGATGTGCAGCTGCACGTCTCGCGTACACAAACGCGATATAATAAGCACGACAAACTTTTACGACCGCAAATTTCCTCGAGATTTTACTTTGACTATACGACTAAATTATATATACCGCGACTCGAGTCTCGTTGAAGTGACACACACGTACATTACGAACGTTAATACGCGAGCTCTCGTAGCCCTACACTCGAGAGATTTTTACATCGATTACACCGACGCGCACCTCGTGATTCGACGATGATACATGATTTTTTTTCTTTTTTGCTCTTGCTCCTTGTAGTCAGCGAGTCGTGGAATGATTTAATTCGTAAAATTGAAATTAGCACTTGAGCGAGGTAGCTGTACAGCAACAACAGCAGTGCTGCTTGTGATTTTTTACTTTCCTCTCTCCCTTAGCGCACGCACAGCAGCAGCAGCGCGTAAGCTCTCTCTCCAGCTAAAGCGCGCTCAAAGATCAAAGAATCCTCGAGTTTCAAACGCTCTATAAAAAAAGATTAAAAGTACGTTGCGGGCAAAAAGTTGCACACTTCTGTTGCTGCTACTGCTACTGTCTACTACCACTGCTACTACTACTTTAAACGCAATTTTCAATTAGTTTATTGGAAAGCATAATGAAATTGTTCAACTATCGCGATGAATTTTTTTTCTTTCTTCAAATTTTTTAATTTCGAATAATAAATTTTTCCACGAGGTTGATCTTTGAAAGTCAAATGCAAGCGCGCGCGCGCGATATATATTATGCTCTGGTCGAGTGTAACGCACTCCACGCGCTCATAAAATCCAAGTTTTATAATTACACTCTACGAAATGCCGCACAACCTGTATTAATAATTCGCCTCTCGATTACGCGTGTGCTGCTGAATTTTTTTACAGAAAAATAATTATACGGAAAATATCGAGTCCGCGCGCATTCGATATAAATATATATTAGACGCGCGTCGAGTTTTTTATTTTATAGATTCACGCCCGAGAAAAGAAAACAGAGTAGGTTGTTCTCTTGATTGTGCCATCGAGACAGTTTTTGTGTTTTGTTTTGTGTTTCTTCAAAGAATCGGCCATGTGTCACCGGCACACACGGCCGCGCGCGCGTAAAGTGCAAGGGTTGACTTACGCGAGGTTGAATGAGAGACGCACGCGAGGGGATGAAGCACGCATTGTTCTCGCGACGCACTTCTGCGTTTACGTGAAAAAAAAAAAACAAACGATAGCCTACATACACACATACGCACTTCTTTTTTCCCTACTTTTTTCTCTGTTTCGAATACGCATAGAAATACGAATACAAATTGGCATAGGCAGAATCGAAACAATACGCGCACCAAAATGGGAATATTTATTCGAATGAAAAAAGGAGCTATTTCTTTTTGCAGCATCAGCAACTCAGGGCGTTAATTTCGGTCGAGCAAAATTTCCATCCAAGAGAGTCATCAAGTTTTCGAAGGATAGTTAATTAAAATAAAAAGAGCGGCCGTCGAGCGAGTGCGCGCGCCTGGATCCTTCTAATGGTCGCATCGTGTTTGCGTAACAAATGGATCGAACGAATACACTTCATCCGACAAAATTGGCCCGACACGTTGCGCAATAAACGAAAAGTGGCGATATGTAAATTATATTCAAAAGCCCGACGAAAGAATCGACAGGTCGAACGCGCAGATATACACGCTCGCTACGCAGCGCCTAATTCAATATAGGTTTTGCTGTCGAACTGTACGCTCGGATTTTTTTTCTCTTTGCGCGAAAAAAGCATTGCACAGGAAGCGAGGAAGGTCGAAAGAAAGTGAGAGAGAGAGAGGATAATATTGAATATCACTCGAGAGCACTCACTTTGTTTTCGAGCAGCTCTCCTCGTCCGAGAAATCTTTGCAGTCGTTCTCGCCGTCGCAGACCCAATTCTGCGGCAAGCACAGGCCATTCCGACACTCGAACTGGCCTGTCGTACAATTTTTCTGAGGTCCTGAACAATTGGAAACAAAAAGAGAAAAGGGAATAATGATTCGTCAATATATTTCTAAGAATAGATTGTGCATCAAATTTTCAGCATAAATTTCGTCGCGCTTACCACAGTGCGATTCGTCGGAAAAATCACCGCAGTCGTTCTCGCCGTCACAGAACCACTCCTTGGCGATGCACTTGCCGGTCGTAGGGCAGCGCAAGGACCTCTTGCCTTGGCAAGTCTCGTTGAACGGGTGCATTTCTGTGCCTTCGCAATTGATTTCGTCGTCGTCATTTTCGCAGTCCAACTAGAAAAACAGGAAAAAGTAATGCAACACTTCAAATTTCCGATTTCCGAAAGTAATTAAAAAAATAACCTCCACGTCAGTCACATATTTACGTTCATTATTATAAATTTTTATTAAACTATGTTTTTCATATATTAATAGAACTTTAAAGAACTTAACCGTAAAAAACAACAGCGACGAACTCTACATTTTGCGAAACGAACAAATTGATGACATTAGAAAATTCGAAAACTTACGATGTCGTCGCAACGGCTGTCGATGTCGATGCAGGTGCAAGTGCTGGCGCAGAGAAATTGATCGTTGGTGCAGATGGGCCCGCAGGGCGCCGAGGTACTCTTGATGTCGTGCTGTTGTTCTTGCTTTTGTTTGTCGGCGTTCGCCTCGTCCTCGAAGAATCCTCCGGGAAGTCCGGAGCGACCCTCGGGGCCGGAATTGGCGCCTGCGGCAGTGTGACCGTTGCGCGTCGCCGAATTCCATAATGGCCGAGTTCGATCGACGGACGACTCCGGAACGTCTGTGGATAAAACGAGTGACGCGAGTGTATGCTCGACGTTAAAATTCGTGAAAAGCAATAGTTTCTACTTGTGTTCCTTTGTGAGTGTCGAGTGTAAAATTAGTTTTCTCGAAATGAACATCGATAGCACTACAGTGTCTGTGAATTTGAGGTTATAACTGTCGGAGTTTGAAATTCTACATTACGAATGCAGAGTTGTAACGGAAACGGTAGTATTAGCACGAGCGCGCGAATACGATTAAATTACTCACCCGTGTCCGAGTAACCAGGAGGATGAAATTCGCCTCGAGCGTTGGCCGAATTGGCACGTCTGCCGTTGACGGACGCCCCGTTACGGAAGCTCGGCGAAGCTTCGTCGCCGCCGTTGCTGCTGTCGTCGTCTCGTTTGTCATCGAGCTGACTCGTGTGATCCGGCATCGGCGAGGAGTCGTAAAAGTCAGCCGGCATCGCGGCTGGTGGCTTCTGACGTGCTCCCGTCGCCCCCGTGTGCTGCTGCTGCTGCTGCTGCTGCTGCTGCTCTCCCCGGCCTGATGCACGAAAAATTGGCGGGAAAATCCCCCCGGTAAGTACGCGATAAACCTTATACCCGCATGCATTTTCACATTATATGGACTTACCGTGACGTTCTCGATTCCTTACGAGGCTATTTCTCGACTCGTATTCGTCTTCCTCTTCCTGCTGCCCGTCCTCGTGTTCGGGAGGCTGATCCGTCGTGTATAGTCCCGTTAGGATGGGAAGACTACCCGTTTGACGGAGACTGCCGCTGCCGTACATTTGTCTCGCCGCGCCTCGATTCGACGGTGTCTGCTGGCTCGACGACGACTCCGTAGTTTGTGCATTGGCATCTGCGTCACAAATTCCGTCATTCGTTAATGATTAATAAAGAGCATAATAATGAGACCTTTTTTCGAAGCATTCACGACTCGTCGACTCGAAAATTTCGGTATTAGCGAAACTGAGGAATTTCTGCGCTCGCGCGCGTGTCGCTCATATCAGTTTCGCTCTAACAATGAGCTTTTGTCAACGTGCACGCGCGGTATATTCCATAAAGACTCATAATGGAATTTTAATGCGACGGTGAACGGGCGCGAGGCCCGAAACTAAATATTGCACGAGTTTGTATCCTGCCAAGCAGGTGAAAATACCACCTCCGACGTCCCTCCTTCACTGCCTGTCAAGCGATTTAAAATTTAACAATATATGCCACACAGCTACAAAGCGTGTAGCATTTTACGTTTATATACGTATATCGATTTCATTATTCATCGGTCTTGGATAATATTCGCAATGAATTCAGCACTGCGACAATTTCCACTGGGTCAACGAGAATCAGCTCTCTCTTTTATTTTTATTTCCGTCCGTTGGCTTTTCCGGGATTTTTCTGCGACCAATGTTTTTTTTATTACAATTATTTTGGTATATAAAAATGTTCCTCTATTTTACTCTGTGGTAAAACGAAAAAGTTACATCCTTTGACACAGATCGGATTTGAAGTAGCGGCAGCAGAGAACTTTGAAAATTCTCTATCAAAGAGATCTGTTTCAACGTTATTTGCCAAGCGCAGGCGTCTATAATATGCAGGATATAAAATGTACTACTTTCATACACGAGAGTAAAACTTGACCCGATGGTAATTGATCATTCTTCGACACGATAGTATGCGTGAAAAACGCGTTGCTAATTAATCAACGCATTAAATTCTATATATTTCACTGAACGTTGATATAGGTAAGCGCGAATCCCCGAGACGAAGCGAGACGCATAAATATATACGATAGAGTATATTTATATATCGCATTCGTTAAAGTCAAGAGATGAATGAATCGCTGACTATCGTCATTTATAAAGCCCCCGCGCGCGTGCATATCTGCTGCTCTCTCCCTCGCTGTCGTGTGCACATTCATGCCACGAGCTAGGATGTGGGGGGTGGGTGGTGGCTCTCTAGGCACTCGCGGCCTCGAGACATTCATTCAACAGTGCAGCAGCACTGCTGGTGCGGCGGCTGCGGTGGCGGCGGCAATGATATTATGCAGTGCCCGCACGGGTCAAAAGAAGCTCGCCGTCGCACACACATACAGCTGTACACGAATGCTCTCGCCCGTTCACCCACGCCACCTCGCGATCGATATACGTTTGTCGCGGCGACTCTGCCTGGCTGACTACTGGCACACATTGCCCTCTGATGCGCGCGATCCTGTGCGTGCGAGCGTGCGTGACTCGACGAGATTCTTGAAACGCCGCACGAGAGATAATTATGATTATATGCGCGTCGTCCTAATGATAACGGGTTCGCAGGTACCTCAACGCGACGCGAGATTTATAAAATTCACGTATATAGATATAATAATATAAAAAGCCGTTGCGACGTTGCACGACTCGAGGACTCGACAAATGAGCGCGCGCGAGGAGCGAAGGCGTGGGTGAGAAGCAGTTACACGAGCAGCAGATTGTTATAGCATTATACCTATATATGCACTATATCGAGACGCGTGGAAGGTCGAAGGAGCTCGAGCTCAAGCACGCTGGAATTTTCTATTTTACGACGCGGGCATGCTTGCGAAATCTTAATTGCCGCCTCTATATCTATAGCGGCTCATTCATAAGGGCTTTTTTGCGTAAAATTATTTTTTTTTATGACTCGGATCACAGACGCGGCGGGCCCCGGACGTCGTTAGAGGTTGCGAGAGTCTGATCATTCGAGTGCGAGGTCAATTACACTTTTAATAAAACATAATGAATAAGTATTTATCGGCGCGCTACACCTTGATTGGATTCTATCGTGATAGCTCAATTTTCTCGTTAATTCTCAAACTGCGCAAGATAACCGAGAGTAGCATCTATTATAACTTATAAAGTGCAAACTGCGACTTCACCAGGAGTAGGCCGTGTTTCCATTCAACGCGAAAAGCACATCCCCGCGTTAAATGATATCTACGTAGCATTTGGAAAAACAAGTTGCGCGATTGCGGCCTCGACATTCGAAGAAAACAGAAATGCGCGCGATACATAATTCAATAAAAAGTTTGCGCGTTTTCGTGTGGCTGCTCGTATATACATACTTATGTGCTACTGCTGATGCAGCAGCATCGGGGCAAGTGTAAAAGCCAAAACTGGGTTGCAGGAGCGAGAGCGAGGAAAAGACGAAGAGGGAGAGAGAGAGAGCAAAGCTCAACGCGTATGCGCGAGAGAACTACGACGACTGTTTGTCACAAACGGTTATAGTAGAAGTAGTATTAATAGTAATAGTATATAGTGAAGAAAATGGAGAGAGAGAGAGGGCGAGATGGCTATGAAAGAGCTTGCAAAGAAAAGGGAGAGCGTGCTTCGACACCCACGCGGTAAGGCAGCATCGTCGAGTATACACATATACAACGAGGCAGCGCCAGTAGCTATATGTAGAAAAGCCTTTGAGGGTTCTCTTGCGTGTGCTTCATATACATACACACTGCACACACACACACACATACACACAAACACACCCACGCGTACAAAGACTGGGGTAGGCGGCTGCGAGAGCAGAAAAATAGACGCGCGCGAGGGTAGAGACACACGCGCGCTACGATATAGTGTGTATACAAGGCTCGAGCTCCGCTGCATAAACTTCTTTGATCGCGTAAGGATCCTGTTCATTCAGTCGCAATCTTACTTCATAGATATAATATGTTTACTTTTTTTACCCCCCCCCCCTTTCTCGCATCCCCTCCGGTATACATGTATAATACATCAAAAGTTTCATTGTGTGTATCGCGGCGCGCAGAACGATCATAAATCCTTGATCCTCGACATTTCAAATCTAATTTCTACCACGCGGTGTAAAGCCGAGTCCAACTGAATTTTAACCAATCCGTCAACGTAAACACGCGTGCAGGCGCGAGCAGTAGTGCACCGCGATTTCATGCAGCGTTACTGCTCGACATGCGACAAATGATGCCTGCTGCTACTCTTGCCTATTATAGGTATAACACACGTGTGCGTGCAGCCGTTCGTTGGCCGCTCTCTCGAGCGATAAATGCATTTATTTTTCAAGCTTAATCGAATTCGATGGATTTTCGCTAATACAAATGACCATAATACATCTATGAGGGGTAGTGCACGATGGCTGTAAGGACTTCTCTAGTTGTAACTCGTCACAACGGCCGTTGCACACGTTGTGCCGCCTATCAACTGTGCATGACCGGACTGCACGAGCCGAACACGGTTTGTAATTGCCTCTCGCAGCCGTGTATGACATCTGCACGCGGCGCGCGATCCGTATCAGCGCGTGTGGCGTATCGCGACTCAATATACGATACAAAATATCATCCGCGTGGCTAGCGCAGCGCGTTAGATACAAACCATTATTTATCGGTCGATTTTACATATAATTTGTTTCTTTCGTCGCGCGTATGTAACAGCAGAGAAGCGCCGCGCGTGCAGTCAATTTTTCTCTCACGGACGCGCTCGTCGCGCGACACTCAAATTTATCGTCCCCCTGCGCGCTCGCACCTGTCATTATCAACTGCCCGAACTCAGCGAATGAATAACGAATGAATCATTTTATTAAAAGCAATATATGAACGAAAAATATACTGACAGATTCAACGAGGATGATTACGAAATATCGGATTGCATATATTATTCCCAAAAAGATAAGATAAAAGCTGCGCGACATTCTCTCGCGTTGAATCAATTTTGACGATCATCGTGTCCCGGCGGCGCGCGATCATAATCGCCTCGACGCATTAAGCTAAGTTTCGCGTGCCGTATATGTGAGGCATGAATTAATAAACTACGTTACATTACGACCCTCTGGGTGCCGAGCTAGCGCACGAAGCACGTCTCGAAGACTTCTCTTCCTCGTCCAAATTACTGTCGTACGTCGCGCGACTGATGTGCTCGTTACGTACACGCTAAAATTCGGCTCTCCCATTACTAGTATATTATAGCAGGCACACGTTTCAATCAAGCATTATGAATTACCGTCTGCGATCGAGTTACGCTCGTGGTTGTATACGCGCGCGCGTGAACCCTCGCGTGTATCGTTCCCCCATTATTTCGAAAAAAAAAATTATCGAATAAGTAATAATTACCTGACGTACTGAGAGCAAAGGCAAAGCAGCAGAGCAGCACGAGGCCGCTCGAGACTACGACGACGTCTGCTTTTGACCTCATTTTCATTCACCAGCAAAGTATCCGAATCTCGTGCGTGGGAGTGCGAGTTGATGCAGCGTTTGGACGATGATGTTCACTGCGTCGACGACACGTGCGAGGAAATTATTTTTTTTATAATTAAAAAAAAAAGAAGAAGAAGCTATTCATCGGGCTCCTCACGAACTGGTCATCGCGACGTTATGTACGCTTTATAACGTGTCTTCACACGACTGTTAGCCCGCGACGCTGTGGCGCGGGCGCTCGATCACCCTCAGCTTCCCTCGAGCTCGCATTTTTTGTCGCTACTCTCGTATTTGGAATTTTTTTCTCGTTGCACTCAGAGAGCAGACAGACTCTGCATCGACGTACACTTCCTCCCGTATTCTCTAAAACTGCCTCTGACGCAGAACTTGTAAAAAAAAACAAAAAAGAATAACCGATGCTCGGTGGCTGCACGTCTCTTTTCTTTCTCTCTCTCTCTCTTTCTCTGCCTCCCTCTATCTCTGTCTATCTCTCTTTCTGTCTGTATAGCTGGCAACGACACTCGCAACGCGCAACCCCCAGACTCCCGCGACTTTCCGGCATCGACTGACCTGCTAAGGGTTGCTGCTGGTGTTCTGGCGCAACCCCCGCGTATAGTAGCTGCTGCAGCCTGGACGGGGCGCGCAAGCGCCGTACATACGAGACTCCGAAGCATCCCCCGCACACGCGCGCGTCTGCTTGTACATATAGCTGACTTTGACTGCAAAACTTACCGTTCAGTACTTGTACGCGTGCATATATATCGTGTATGTGAATACTCGGTGCACCAATGAGGTTTTGTTTTTAAACTTTGCGTTCGGTATTGTCGCGAATGAGCTTAGAAAACTCGACTTAGCTTACATTTTTCTGATTCAATGTGCTTGTTTTTTTTTATTCAGTGGTGAATTAACGGGCAAATTGATGGCCGAAATGCGAAAGCAGTGCGTATCGATATGTAATGTTTCAATGCAGAGCTCCCGATTATTGTTAAATGTATTTACGTTAAAAGGAATGTAAAAATGGAGGACATTTTTTTCGCGAAAATTAAAGAATTCAGTTCTTTCAGTGTTTCGGCTTATTACGAAACTAACTTATGAAAACAATACCACGCATATAAGTATTGATACTTTGCCATCGCGACGAAACTTATATTTATCAATTTTATTTTGCTACTTGCAGATTTACAGATATAAGTACTTGCCATCTAGTGGTGTAAGCTTGCATTAATTGTACTTGAATTCTCATAAATTTTTGTGCAGTTTATGTAAAAAAATTAATCAGTACTGATATTCAATGAATATTTCATGTAAAAATTCCTAAAATGAAATTCGGTATCGATTACTTTAATTTTAATGTCTAGATTTTACATTTAATTCTGCATTTAATTTATAGTTTTTTTTATCAGTGTAGATTTTTATGATGCTTACGAGTATAAATGTTACAGTACACGCTATATTTTCTGAGAATAACTATAAAGCATCTCTGAGGGTCAGAAACTATTTATTTAAATATGTGTGAGTGCGTGTATCTGTATATGTAATCTACAATTTATTTTCTTAATAATATATTTATACAATCGCAGAATTGTATCGTGTATGGAACGAGGAAGAAGGGAGCGTAAAAGGTATGATACAGTCAACAAACTTAGAAGTTGATAGTGTATGATATGTATCGAAAATCGATTAACTCGATTTATGACTAGGTATATTAACATTTTATGACTTGAAGAGGCCGAGCGTTTGCCAAGTCAACTATATATATATTATATTATATATTATACAATCGATGAATTCTGCAGAAAGTCTATTACTGGCTTGTAAATAAGTCCTGGCGCGCTCATGGCGTACAAGAAACTTATGTGGTTGAAGTGCTCGTCTGGAACCTTGTCCAGCACTCTCACGTTCGGCAGTACTTGTGCCAACGTCTCGACGTCCTGCGACAAAAAGATATTAAGCTTGTCAATTAGTCCGATGGAAAATGCGCGTCGATATCGGAAAATTTACCCGTGAGTCGGCGACGAGATCGTTGTGAGCGTAATAAATGGCCGTGGGAATCTTGACGTGCTCCATCTTGTATTCCGGTGGCTCGGTCGAGTTGTAAAAAATAACGTTCATCTTGCTCGAGCCGAAGTCAAACTGACGGAATTTTTCTGTACAGATATTAACCAATATTATGACGAAGGAAGAAAGAAAGAGAAAAATATTAACTGCAGGCACGCAGCTATAGCATGGCTTGCATCTCAAGGCAAAGGGGGAAAATGCAGCGCCGAGCGCAGGCAGTTAATGTCGTATTATATGTATTTGCTTACTCGAGGTGTGTACTTGAGCAAAGTGAAACAATTGCTTTATCGAGCTACCAGCCGGCGAATGTCCAAGCAGAATCGGTATGGTAGTCTGAGAAATTCAACGTAAAAGAAGCAAAAATCTTCGCTGAGCGATCGTTCGACGATAATATATAGTACAAATCGTTTGTGTAACGTAGACGGCATATTATACGAACCTTGTTGAAGAGCGATACGTCGTAGCCGACTATCATGAACAGTATGTTGCTGCAGACGACTTGATAGGGCGTGCGAGCTTCGCAAGCTTCTCGGCCGATTTTCGTGAGCAAGGCGTTCGTCGGCAAAAAGTCGTTTACTCCGAAAAATCTGATCACATACTTTCGATCGTCATCGAGACATTTTAGTTTTCGATTGAATATTATCTTGTTGAATTTTTGGTAGAAATGCTCAACATTTTATCTTGCCGTTATTACGAAATATAAATTTTTTGGATTATTTGATTATTATTTGATTATGCCCACGACAAGAGGGATTAAGATGGAATTTTAATAAATCTTGATTGGATATATGGAATTATTTTGACTTTGCCACTTGCAGATTTACAGATAAAGGTTTTCGCCATCTAGTGGTGAAGGCTTCAAAGTAGTATTATCGTATTTAAAGCAATGAAAAACAAGTCAATTAACAGTGATGTATTTTAAAACCTTTTAAATAACCATTTTTCGATCATTAGGCAATAATTTATGTTGAGAAACCCTACTAGGAATAGTGAAAATATCAATTACTCACGTATAGAGGCGTCGATATTTTCGTGAATACACCGATTATGGGACTCTTCGTGTGAGTCGTATTGGCCACCGGCGCCATGAGCGCTGCCCTGCGCACTTTGGCGTTGTACTCGGGCCTCTCGGACATCATCACTAGGAAGATGGTCGAGCCCTGCGAGTGGGCCACGTAGTCGAGCGTCGATCGGCCCGTGACGTTGAGTATGTGATCTACGGTCGCGGGCAAGTCGTACAGTCCCATCTCGTGCCAGGAGAACTCCCAGAAGGCCGAGTCGCTCGCAGTCACGTTCACGTGGGCCTTGGAGTACGTGTTGCCGCGCGAATTGCCCATCCACACGTCGTAACCGGCCCTCGACAAATAATACGCTGCGGATCAGCGTGAGCACCCATAAGTATATACATCATTGTAAGAAGGCATGTACGTGTGTGTGAGCAGTGTGCACTGCTGTAGTGGCAGTTTACGACCCAGGCCAATTGCAAGATCGTTAAACTTTGGTGCGCGAGTTAACTTTGCAGTCAGCAGTGCGGCAGCTTTGTTTGCACCTGAGTTTAGCGAGTAATATGATTGTGCAAATCTTCCCCGAGGCAACCAATTCGAAACGTATACGCATCGCACCAAGTTCAATAATTTCGGAAAGTTTTGACCAAATTCGACCGAGTAATCTGGAGATGTGCAGTAAATTGACGTCATGCATATAATACGCCGAATTTCGCAAATTATATATTTTTTTAATGGCGATTACACCTTTATTACGGTCTCTTACTCGTTATATATCGGGGATAAATTGCAAATCATTTTTAATTAACCGATATTCAAGAACGTTCGCTAATGCCCGCTGACGGAAGATTATTTTTCATCGAGTCCCAATGAAGATGATAAAAAAAACCTCATCGAACGCGATCGTCGACTTTTTTTGTTGCACACATTATTAATTTGATTTGGCATGATCTTACCGAGCGACTGATTCGGTCCGAGCATTACCCAATCCGCCGAGCTGCCCAGTAAGCCGTGTTGCAGCAGCACGACAGGTTTCCCGTTGAACGACGTCTCGGAATCGTGGCCCGGTATTCTGTGTACCGTCAACAGATAACCGTCCGCAGTCTCCACTTGATGCGATTCCGCCAGGTAGCCGTGTTTACATATCAGCTGTGCCTGCGTACATATACATCGACCGTTTTTTTATCCTTAATTACTTTATTGGCGATCATTGCGAAATTTTTCGCGTCGCGTCGAAATTACATTGCTCGATCGCGCGTTCTATGCGGTGTTCTACGTATTTTGCGAAAACTGGAAGAAAAATTCAACCGAAAGAGAGAGATAGAAAAAATTAGTTTATTATTACGCCTCGCGAGAGTCGAGGCTGACGAAACGAACTGCAGCTTGAATTTGAGCGGAAACGTGCATAATGAAATCAGCGTTGTTAAGCGCCGCGCATATCTCGGGCGTTTTGATATTTCGCAAAAGACTCGAGGGGAAAATGAATTGATTCGCGCTCATGAATAATGAAATATAATTACTGTATCTAAAAACACGTCCGGATGATCCATCATTTCGGAAAAGTTTTTTATGGTGAGCGTCGGTAAGACCATGTTCATCATGAAGCCCCAAGCTTTCATCACTGTGTCCTGAAAAAAGAACAATCAAAACGGGGAAACATTTTTCATGTGATATAAAACATCGTTCAATACAAAGTTTCGCTCGCCCAGCATATCCAGTACTGCATTTCTCATTTCGGTTTTTCTCTCTGAATACAAGAAAAAACGATCCAAAAAAGGCAGTTTATAGCTACATCGAGATGCGTCGCACAAACAGTTTCTGCTTACACCAAAGACGCGACTATATTTTTGCACCTTCCAGCACGCGGGAGTCTTCTCTTTGCTTCGAGAGCAGCAACAATAAAAAGGCGAGAGAAAAGGGGGAAAAAAACTATCCCGGTGGAAATATCTGGTCGATAAATTTTTCTACGGTCGTATACGCGCGCACAAAGTAGACAAGTGCACAACGCGTAACGTAGCGCGCGCGCAGTCGTATAATACTAACACACTGATATCGTCAAGGACATCACCGACGCGTGAAGCTCAGCGGCTAAAAGAGCGCGTGCACGCATATAGTTATTGCATACGGAGTGCCAGAGAAAAATGTACATCTTGCGAAATTTCGTGCGTTCCCTCTACCTATTTAATACCTGCGTGGCCGTGCGAACTTGATCGCTGTAGGATCAAAATAAAGAAGTACACGAGCGTCTCTCGAGTGCATGTCATTTTTTTTTCGTCTCGTTCGAGAGGACACGTCTTTAAGTGAAGTAAAAAAGATGATACCTCTAACTTTGGTATTTAAGTAGAATGTGGAATATGGGACAAGTGTGGTATACACATTATATTAGCTTTAAATCAAATTTACGATTGACCCGAGTATTATATTCTTGTGGTCCGCGTATATTCATCAAATGCTCGTGTATTATTTTATACGATTATTACGTCGTTGCACCGCGAGAGACAATAATTCTCACATATATCTCTGAAAATAAACGTCTCGCGTGGCAGCAGTGGCGGCGTTGTTTTTTCTTTTTTTGCTAAATCAAGCATCTAAAAGACAGCAATGATCTCGCGACGGACGGCGTCAATTCCTCGCTGAGTGCGTTTTATTCCGCACACGTGTGCAGCGCCAGCAGCGTCACTTTTTTCTTAGCTCCCGCAAAGATGTTGTAAATTGTATACGAATCAGTCGTGCGGGTATCAACTAATACGCGTGAATTGCGTTACCCGCGACGTGCGCGAGACATCTCACTTTTTGACGCTTTGAGAATTTATTTATAAATAGAGATAGAAAAATGCAGTATATATTGATGAAAAAAAACGTGGTGGGATTTTGCTTACCTTCAAATCGCGTATATTCGGATCATCGGCGATGTATGTAATCTTACGTCCGATGTTATCGAATTTTTCGACTACATCTTTGTAGCCCTCTGTAAATATTAATTGATAAAGAACATTGACAACTAACGGCTTATAATAATCGCAAAAAACTGCATTTATTCACATTATATACAAGAAGCACATCTATATATAAAAGCAATATTGCCTATTTTCCTAAAAGCACATTACATTTTTTTTTATTCATTCAATCACCTTCGATTCAGCTCATAGTGTAGTTATGGAAAAAGAGAACTTAATAAATCGTAATTAATTATTTATATAATTATAAAAGTGGAATATTACTTCGTAAAAAACCTGTTCCTTTCTTATATAAAGATTTAATGGTCTTGACACCGGGTATGTTTTCCAACCACTTGGAAAATTTGGACTGCTGCGTATGGAAAAAACAAATAGCTCTCGTTAGAAAAAATCATCAAGTTTTCATGTAAAAAAAAGCGTTCGATGTCCAATGAGGTATAATAATGTCATGTACTGCGCTGCATCGCTCGAAAGAATTACGAAAAGTTTTCAACAACCTTTTGAGTGATATATACATTTGCGTCGTAAATGCTTGTGGGGAGGGAGAACGAGAAAATTGCTGCAGCGAGCGATATAACACTACGCTCACAATTCATAAAACAAGGCGCCGTAATAGCAGGTTATTAAATCGACGCGCGAGCTCGACCAGTGGCACAAACTTTTAGCTCGTACTCTTACGAGAGAGAAAGAGAGAACAAGCAAAATAGGTGGTGGCTCGAATGAATGTGACGTATAATACACACATCGTGTGTTACACGTATGCATGGAATTGTACGTACCTGTGGTTTATCATCGGGGGTGATCCTGGGCGCGGTCATACCGAAGAACTGCACCGAGCCATTGAAGTGACCCATAACTGTCAATTCGTCGGCCTGAGTCGAGGCCAGTATATATTGGGCAACCAGCTCCAATCGCTTCCTCTCGTTCTCCTCGCTCCTGCGCGTTCATGATAAAGAATAAAGAGGCACGTTTATATAGCATTTATGCGAAAGCATATCGCCGCATATAATCTAAATGTATAAAATCGTTGGCAGTAGCCGCGCGTACGCTCGAGAGCTCTATTCATTTTCTCAATATGTAATGTTCGAGCGCGCGGTTATTTTTATAATCTTGAAGTTTTATGCGCGGGAATTATGGTGCGTTGCGGAACTTACGTTTGAGGATTCTTGGCGATGGTGCTGTTACCTATGCCCAGCCAGACGTCGTAGCCTCGATCCACTAAGATGTAAGCTGCAACGTTTTAAAAGATACGTAATTATAAGCGCATGTTAGCCACGCAAAGCAGTTCCATGTACTGGAGATTTATTGCAATAGAGTTTTAAGATTATGTTGGGATATTCGATCCCCGAGACTAATTGTAAACATTACGACTATAAAGAATATGTGTATGAGAGATAGAGATGATTTACCAACTGCAATCTTGGGTTTGTTAACTTCGCAAGGATCGTTGTCGCATAATATGGCGTTCTCGATGAATACCGGCTTTTTGCCCTGCCTCTTGGGTGACTTTGGCCCCGACGAGATCCGATAAAGTATCGTCTCCTTGCCTGGCCCGAAGTCCAACGCGTCGATCTCCGACTCGGACATCGGCAGCACCGGTGGAAAGGCATAGCGTTCCAGCTCGTATTCCGGCAGTACGTTGAGTTGATACTGTAACCATCGATACGATATAAGGATGAAAGTTCGAGTGCTTTGGAAAAACGCGAGCGCGACGCACGCATGCTTAATTATTTGTACAGCGCATTATTTATCGACTGCGCTCATTTAATCCGACATAAATAATTGTTTTCCAAGCTTACAATGGGTACGCGTCATCATTCGGGTTTATTTATTTTACATTAGCATAAGATCGCTTCCTGGTTCGAACGAACGGCAAAATAATTCTATTATTTCCTAGCTAATTCGTGCACATTCAGCATTCGATGATCGAGTACTTTTGTGTGAAAAATCTTTTAAAGAGTGCACATCTAACGGCTGATTAAAAATGCACAAAATCATAAAAGTAGTTATCACAAAAAAAAGCTGTGGCCATCGATTACTCACGCGATACCGGTTTGTGCAACTCGGGTGACGCCGTGAAATTATGTCATAACAGAAAAAAAAATAATAATAATCACGAATCAGAGTGTAATTACCAGATTTCTGCCGCTGGTATCAAAGTAGTTCTCGCCCACGACGATGGCCGCGGTGGTGAGCAGCACCAATGCGCTGATCGACATGATTAACGCCAGGATCCTCAGCTTGACTGGCCAGTTGTCGTAGCCGACGTACCTTTATTTGTGAGAGTGACAAAAGTTTTACGTTCGTTTTAGTGGGATTAGACAATCGCGTGGCTGTCACGCTGGTTTTTTTTGGTATAAGAAAAAAGTGCTCATACATCCTAAAGCTTTCGAACCCTTTACCGCAGTCCATCGCGTGTAATTTTATTATAAACTGCAACTTATGTAACCGGCCGTTTTTGTTTTTATTCAACGAATTTACTCAACTTCTTTTATCAATTATAGGAGTTACAACGGCCGAGTCTTCTCCGACACATTATTAGTACTATGAATTCGAGCTGCTTCGTGCGATTAAAATTTTGCATGGTTTTTGTTATATGCGTCTATTGTATTATAGACTAATTTGTAGTCTGGATTAAAATAATTGACAAGTGAAGTTTATTAGTTATTTAACACACGAAAAGAAGTATAGAAAGAGACAGAGAAGAAGTGAAAGAAAGAGAGCGAAAGAGAAAGAGCAACCGGATTTTTCACGAAAAATCGAATGACTCGCAGAATCGATTAAATTTTATACAATTAAACGATGATGCGATTACACACATTTCAGCTGGAAAATATTTTCAAGAATGGCGTGATCGTGAGGAAACGACTCGTCGGTGCGCTTGACCGGCTGTGGGAATCGGTACGATCAGGCGTTTTTCCACTGCGGCTCATTCGTAAATCGTCGCTCAAAAAAAGTTGAAAGAAAATGAATAATAAAATATTTCTCGCAAAATATGGATAATTCACTCGTTTAAAATGTTTTAAATTTTCACACAGACATGTAGGCAAGTTTTACGTATAGATATAATAGAAGTTCGGCCGAGCTCTCGATAAATGCTGTGTCACAATATCGAGGATATTGAATCGCGCACTGATGCTCGAACGAAACTAGCCTCTCCAGGTCGCGGTCGCTCGGGCAGCTCAGCGCAGACACCAACCGTTACAGTCACATCAAGTTTTTTTTGTGTGTTTTGTTTTAATAAAGAATCACCTTACTCAATATTAGGATAACAATACTCGCAGCAATCAATTGGGCGCTCTTGCTCTCCGATCTTATTTTTTTTTTTTTTTAGCTGAGCAAAGCAACGCGAAGCAAGAAAACTATATCCTTAAAAGCCGATATCCATCCAGGTGTCGCACACTTTTTGATGGTGAGAAATGTCGAAAAGATTTTTCGATTATGAAAACGGATCTGAACGTGAATATTAAATTCTCGACCGAGTTAGACAGGCGCGGACGCGGCAGTGAGATGTGTGCAAAGATATACGCGAGTGTCGTGACACCTTGGCCGCGCTCGACTAGACACACGATCGCGCAGCTCGTTACTCGGATTCGGGCGCGCGCGATCGCACGCTCGCCGAGGCGTCTCTCTTTTTGACCCCGGGTGAACCCCGGCGACGTGTGCGCCGGATAATTATACACGCATTATTTATGTCCATTCAGTAATGTTGCCTCGGATTTTTTGATACGCACTCAATTTTTTTTTCGTGTGTTTTTCTTTTTATTTGTTCGAGACAAGTTCACGTAATGAGTGGGTCGTCGGTCGATGATTCATGATCAATGTACGTTATCAACTTTGAAAAATGAATACAATGTAAAATTTTTTCTTTCTTCGTTTTATTTGTTAAAAAAATACATGTCACAGATCGACGTTTAAATAGTAATACATTTTGTAAATTTCTTAAAATTATCCAAGTGGTTGTGACTAGTTTCGTAACTATAATCTACAATATTTTTTTACACATACACTGAGATTACACGCGCAGCTTCCGTTTTTTTAGTTTAATGAAGCGTTCCACACGAAAGCCGTGTAAAAGGAAACTTAAAAATTACTTGACTAAAGTAGCGTGAAAAAAAATTCACGCAAACATTTTACTAACGTCAGACTTAAACTGCATTGTTTCTTTTGATGATCGCATCTGTCTCTCTATTAATAAGCGATAAAAGCTTAAAGTACAACATTTTTCTAACATCCCTCGCCCACAGGTAGTCAGCGTGATTGAAGTTTGTGTGGGGTAGCCGATATTTACCAATCATGTTTGGCAATGTTTGACCCAAAATTCTTACGTCCTGCAATGAAAAAATGTGTTAGTTTATAGAAATTATTACTAAAATCTCTGTAAATTTATGTTCAAATGACTTACTGATTCATTGGAAATCCAATCATTCAAACTGTAGTGAAGAGACACAGGAGCTGTTACTTTGCTCAAATCGTAATGAGGTGGAGACCATGAGCCATATTTTTGGTAGTTGTAGATAAATCCATAATCAAATTGACGAAAAGACCCTAAAGAAGCATTCAATTATATTACGGTTTGTTAAAGTTGAAAATTAAAATATTTTGCTCAGCACAAAGAAGTATACTTTTCACTCCCTCAGTGCAAGTACAGTTTTTTTTTATAAATCCCCCAGCCTAAAGTAATATTATGATTTCGCTTGGCAACGACAAAATATTACTTTAAATTGGAATAGCACAAAAACTAAATCATCAAATTAAATTTTACCTGAATAAATAAGCTGAGCAAAATGCCTGAACTGTTTTGCGCTTGCTCCCGCAGGAATGTGGAAGAAAACTATATCGAGTATTTCCTGAAAATAAAACGTAAAAGTTCAGTTTTTCATTTTTATCTGTTATTGCGTTTAAAAATATATTCAAACTTACATCTTCGAACTGTTCACTATCGAAGCCAGTAATGAGAAACATTGAGTTGCGGCACAACTTATCAATTTTTATGCTCTTGGACGCAGCGTTTCTGCAAATCAAGTGAGCGAATTTGGATATGAGCTTATTTGTCGGTGCAAACTCGTGTACATCAAGCCAGTCAAGTATATTGCCCTAGATAAATATATTATTTTAATACAAGTTATATTTCATTGTGAAGTACAAGATTGAATCTTTTGATTTAATTACCAGGTAGCTTTGTTCAATTTTGGACAAGAATTGGAATAGAGGACTGAACATGTTGCTGCAAAAGACCACAGGAGCTAGTGCGAACATAGTATGAATTTTGTCATTGTATTCTGGTCTCATGCTGGTCATGACGAAGAAGGCTGTGGTCCCTTGGCTATGGCCGATGTAAAATAGCTTTTTCTGTCCGGTTTTCGCCAGAGCATAGTCGATCATTGCCGGTAAATCGTAGAGCCCCATCTCGTGCCAGCTAAAGTCCCAATAGGCACCGTCGTCGGTTGATAACTTCACGTGTTTTCTAGAATACGTGTTTCCTCTGACGTTGCCCATCCAGACATCGTAGCCTTGGTCAGCGAGAAGGAAACCTGCGATAGGAAAGATTCCGCGTGAATTTTGATAGATCTCTTTTGCAAAAAAAAATATAATAATAAAATTCCTTAATTCGTTTACCTAATCCTTTTTCCGGGCCAGCTATAACCCAATCCATCGATGAGGTCAAAATACCGTGTTGCAAAAAAATCGTGTAATTGTTAGCCTCACTGTTCACTCTTCTTAAGATCCTGTGCATTTCGAGAACGTAGCCATCCTCAGTCGTAACGTGGTGCACCTCAACCTCGTATCCATGAAAAGCGACCCATTGCGGCTAAAACAACGATCGTGCGATTGTTTATTTCCATGATCAAAATGAAACACTCGAGTCCGCACGCGAGGCATTCAATTTTAAACGTGATAAAAAGATTGATGACCGATTAACAGATAAACATAAACACAAAAATGCACTGATACGCTTATTGAAGTCCATCGCGATTAAATGTCAAAGTTTGATTGAACGAATATCAACACACTGGCTTGAGGTACACTTTTACTCACTACTTTAGACTCTGCCGCCGCTTTATTCCTTAAATCATTCGTCCCATTGTATTTGAAATTATCCGGTATAATGTTGTTGACGTAAATCGGTTTGGACAAAAATTCATCAAAATTGTCTTCCAAAATTGGTCTTCCAAAGTTTGGCCAAGCACTTATGACAGGCACCAACGTCGCGCACGAAACCAGCAGCAACAAAAACACTGACTTGTCCATCTTGTATATATTGTGGTGCGGCTTCTGCTGCTGCTGATTCACATACACCCTTTTGCGTGGCCGGCAAAACAAAATTTGAGAAACTGTGCGGTTGGTCGCACGATTTTATATGAACATAATCGTTTATCACGGAGGCGCGCGCGCAAATTAATCAAGGTCGCGATCGCGATCGGCCTAATCAGATTTGCGATATACATGATGAGCCGCGGCGAAACGCAACAATCTTATCTCGACGAGTTTTAGGTAATTTCGTTTATTATTTTCTGTTGTGTTTTCTGTTATTAATAGTTTGCCAATCGAAAGTTGTTTGGCTTTCTTCGAGTGTAACAAAAAAACGATATACGCCTCGCGCGTTATTGATCAAATTGATCAAATATTAATATGCGATAAAAGCAGTGGGTTAAGTTTACACTTGTGCGCACTTAAGTGGCATCAAAAAGCTGTTTTGCACTCGCGAGTTGACACATTCACACACAGGAAGACATAAGATCAAAAAGAGTTGAACGCATAAATTGGTAGAAAAAATATTTTATTCATAGCCTAGCAAGTAAATAAAATACAACTATTCTACTACAATTGCTTATGAGTATATTACATAAATTAGAGCTCTCTCTCTCTCTTTCTCTCGTTCTTTTTCTTTCTCGCGCTCTCGAAACGATGACTAGAATGATTTGTTAAATGCACAAATGGCGGTGGAATCGATTATGACATGATATAATTAAATTATGAACTATCGGACGTATCGATATTTCTCCATTAGTCGGAGCAATGGCTCGAAGACTATCTGAGGCGCTGTCCTACCCCAGAGGAAGTCGTAGTGGTTGAATCGGTTCTCCGTGACTTTTTTGTGAAACACGACGCTGCGCAGTTTATTACTCAGCAGCTCTACGTCCTGCAAAAAAAATTTTCACATCAATCAATATTGTACGCAGATATATCGTATAAGCAAACGTCGATGTCGAAGAATTTTTACCTTGGGCGTTGCTAGCCAATCGTTGTTGCTGCTGAATAGAGCCAGTGGAGCCGTAATCGCGCTCAATTTATATTCCGGCGGTATGGGGGACCCGTACATCAAAGTATTTTTCCTTCTGTCGGCATAGTCAAAGGCACGAAAATAGCCTGCGTGGGACGAGAAAATAATTAATTGTTGCGTCAATGAAAAATGCTCGCGCTAGAATGCAGTTAAACGTTTTTTTTCTTCTCTCAATTTTTTTTTTTGTTGATAAGCAAACTCTTACCTGGATTTATGTAGCCTTGACCATAGTGAATCAATTGTTTCCAAGAGGCACCAGCAGGTATGTGACCTACTATTACCGTCAACTTATCCTGCAACGATGCGATATCGTGTACATTTATCTCGTATTTTTTTTTATAAAACTATTGTACGAAAAGCGATACAATACCAAATCGATGTCCGGACTGAAGCCAGCCAGCAGATAGAACTTGGTGCTGCAGAATATTTGGGTCGGCGCGGCGCTCTGGCAGAGGAGCCTCGAGATGAATCTGCCCCAGCGCGAGCGCGAGCCAAACTCCGGATAGCCGAAGTTCTCGCCTACCCACTGCGAAACGATGTGTCGTTCGAGAAGATATGAAAAAAAAATAAAGAGAAGGAAAAAAGAAGAAAAAAAAAAGAAATAAGAGCTCGGTTTCGAACAAATGTGCGCGCGACACGAAAAGATTTCCATCGCGCCTCTGCACGCATATGCAGTAGAGCAGTGCACTCACCACGCCGAAGTATGTCAACTTGGTGAGTTGCGTAATAGGACCCCGCAGATAGCCAGTGAAGGCTGCTGGCGCGAGGCCGGCGGCCAGCGCGACTTTGCCGTTGTATTCGGGCTTCGACGAGGCCATCACGAAGAACTGGCTCGTGCCCTGCGAGTGACCGACGTAGAGCAGCGAGCGTCGACCCGTCGCTCCCAGGATGTAGTCGATGCTCGCCGGCAGATCGAACATGCCCATCTCGTGGTAACTGCGATAGCGAAAAGGATGATATTTTTAATTCATAAATGATTTATTTTTTTTAGAATTTCTTGGGTACTCGTTCAGTACTCGGTCAAATTTTTACCCATTATCATTAAAGTCATAAAGCTTGTTCTTTTGTTTTTGTTGATTCCGTCATCAGATCTTTATTCAGATTAAAAATTTCGATCAACGATTTGCACGCATGGTTTTAAAACTGAGATTTTGTTGAAACAAGCTTATTATTCGAGTTTGATAATCTTGATTAAATAATTAATTTCAATAAATCTCAAGTAAATATTGAAATTTTAAATTTAAAAAAACAAAACCGTATTGAAGATAGCATTAGGCGCTCTTCTGCCTATTGATTTATGAAATAACATCAATACTTGACAGTATTATTTTTTTTTTAATGTTATCGTACTTTATATCGTACCTAAAGTCCCAAAAATAGCGATCGGTCGGAATCATAGACGTGTGGTTTCTCGAGTAAATATTTCCTCGATTATTACCAAGCCAAACATCGTATCCAGAATCGGCTAAAATGTATGCTGTAACAAGCCATAAAAAAAGCATAAGTCGTATGTATAAATGACGAATAAAAATAAATAAATAAAACGATTATTTGATCAATCAACGAGATTAATTTGCATAAACACTCGGAGAGTTTCATAAAATTGAGATTTTTCATGGAAAATAAAAAAAAGTACTCGCAACACTCCTACGTTAATTGCAGCGCGCAGCAATTGATGTCGCAAATACATATAAATTTAAATAATATCCAATCGTTCACCTTTGCCGCAGATTCTATTTCTTTTATAGAAAGTAAGCACCCTTGAACAAATCCTGCGGCTCTCGCGAAGTTCAAGTGAAAAACGAACGTGACAGCTCGCGCGGTGCAGTGCCGAGTACCAGCGAGCTCCTTAATGACGGCAAAAAAAAGGAGAGGAGAAAAAAAATGAGACAGAAACAAAGTCTCTCGAGTTCGCGAGCGGGCGCCGCGCGTGTAGGAGATATAGGTGAACGCCGTATATACGCGCGCGTAGAGCCGAAGGATAACCAGCGGCAGTGATTTTTCGGCCGCGAGTATATTTCGTGCACGGCGTGCATCATGTACGTATCGTCGAAGTGCATACTACGCGCGTATGTACACAAGCTGCAGTACATGTGGCCGAGCTAATAGTTGTACATGTGCATGCGTGCGTGTAACGCTTACCCATACAGATGTATATATGGAGTAGGTGAAGACTGAATAATAGCCTCGCGCACTACACTCACATAGTGGCTCTTGCAAGCTGAGCGCGCGTAACACGCGGAATTCGAAATGAGCGCGCGCCTGCACTTAAATGGGCGCTCGAAGGTGTCCGCGCGCGCCTCGCAGTCGTTACAAACATTTATAATGTGCGCACCTCCGAATCGTCCAATTGTCGCAAGCATGCAGTTTTGTGTTTCGTTCGAGCTAATCTACCGACAATGTCCGCTTTTACATGAGAAAGGAGTAATTTTTGCTGGTGACTCGGTGACAAAATAGTTTTTCCGCGCGCGAACTCAATGCTAATTTGTCTATGGCTTTTCGAAACGGTGATTGACACCTGTACGCATAGCCAACACAAAGTTGTATAAACAGCACGCACTGCGACTTCGACTGATTGCAAAGTTTTTTTTGTTAGAAAACTTGGCTCGACTCTCGTGCAAGCAAGTCGCAGTTGCGTATATTATACAGGAATATATCGCGCGCGCTCGTTATATTCCAGCGAATGTCCAAGTGTGTAGTTATGCATTTTCCATTCGATACACATCAAAATTGTATGCCATCGTAGCTGCAGTCGAAAGACTCTCTCGGTGCGTTATAAATAAATAAATAAATAATGAATTACATCGCGGTGCGCGGCGGCAAATGACCATCATCGCGCGATCGCGACGTGCCGAGCCGAGCGAGTAACATTTCTCCTGCGTGCGTTAATTTCGCAACATCATTCCGCGTTGTGTATGTGCAGTGCAATGTGTGCGTGCCGTAGTTTCACCGAAGATATCTCATCATGACGCTTTTTTTACAGCGACGCGCGCGCGCAGAGCTCATCATCGCGGCCTTTTCTAGCGCGCGCGACTCGATTTAGGTTTGTAGAAAAAGTCGCGCGAGGCTTCGCCGCCGACAATGTTATCCCAATTAAATTGTATATGTATGAATTTTCTACGCGCGCGCGAGGTAGCAAAAACCGCACACGCGTGCATTCGCGCAGATGTGGTGGTTATTACCCGGCCAACTAACAAAGAAACAAAGTATATATGAATTTTTTATGTACACCATTCGGCGATCTAGGAGCGCACGGGCGCGTATTATAAATCCCATGGGTGCTTAGTGCACTCCCGCGGCCTGCTGCGCGCTTATATATAGTAAAAAGATTAACGGGAATTCTTGCAATCCTGCCAAGGTCTGTAAGGGGAGCCCCGCGATTACGTTCAACGACCTCGAATTCAATTCATTTTTATTTCCTTGACCCTGGTCAACTGAGCGTGAGCACAATACTCAATATATAAACGCGCGCCCGCGAGCTTCAAGCTTCGATACCGATAAAAATCATTGAACTCTATATTGCAACCACTGCGTACACGAAGTGAAAGCAACGATGCTTTATGCGTTTCTCGAAAAATCTTCGAGAAGATCGTTTTTGCATCGTATTTTGAAAAATGATATTACCCAGAGAATTGCCTGGCCCCATGAGAACCCAATCGGCGGAGCTGCCGCCCAAGCCGTGCATCAGCAGTACCGCCGATCGTCTTCTCGGATAATATCCATCGTAGTCGTTTCTGCCAAATGGAATTCTGTGCAGAGCCAAGATGTAGCCGTCGTCGGTTATGACCGTGTGCTCCTCGAACGGGTAGCCGTATTTTCTCGCCAATTCATCCTGCATGCAAACATGCGATCGAAGGAATAGAAGAGGAACAAAAAAACATAAATCATTTATTCGTGCTCGTCATGGACCGCAAAAGCAAATGAAATATTGTAACGTTGTCGCGGTGTAGCACTCGCGCGCGAATCGACAAAGTAAATATATACATGTACGCGAGAAAAATTCGAGCTGAAATTTACCGCAAGCGTCATTCCGATATAATCGTTTAGGATATTCAACGAGAGCCCGGCGCCGAGAAGAAAAAAAATAAAGGCAAGAATTGCCACACTCCTGGCGAAATTCGCCCGTACGTAAAAATATAGCTTAATGCAACAATGCGGCAGCATGACACTTATATTAAAACGGCATTAAAAACACAACCACGCGGCAGCGGCAGCCGGCCATAGATAGGCGGATTGTATAACGAGCTGCTCCGCGAGCACGCGGCGGTGGTTTTAAACTTTCTGTAATATGTGTACACAAATCTCTGTAAGCGAATTAGTTTATATACGTAAAACACGTGCGCGGCGCGTACGCGACTATCGTCGAATTTTGCGCGCGTTTCGCCCGTTTTGTATATTGGCTTATGTCAATTTACAATCACTCACAGTCTTGAGCTCGATATCTGGATTAGGATCCAGTTTGGCGTGGATCCGAGATACAGAAGCCAGCAGCAGCGCAATCGCAGCCGCGGCGGTAGCGGTGGCGCTGATCAATGTAACCGGCGACATGCTCGATCGCACGCACCGATATATTATATAAAACAACGTCCTGGCACTTGTTTTACAAAACGCACCCACGCACGAACACACGGAGATAAGCACACTGCGGCACCCGTTTTATATCATACAATTTTGATTCAAAAAGAGGTATGGCGTTTATTTCGAGTTTTGCATGCGAACCCGCCGTACATAAAATGCGCGCGAAGAACAATGCGAGAAAAATTGGGTATAGCCGGGTCGGGTTGTAAAATCGTAGCTCGGCGTCGAGTGTGCGATATATTATATACTTGGCGGCTACACGCGGCTCAAGTGCAGTGGCGGTGCTTGCGTTGTTGTTATATGCACACTGGACTAGTGCTGGCGCGTTACTGCACCGCGCCGCTATCCGAGCCTCGTGTAGGTTTTTCGCTGCCTACCGATCGCGTATATACTCTCTCGAGGCTCTCCGCGCCACGAGCTTAGCGATCTGCTGCAGGCGCGCTGCACTTGCACGTTGTGTGCTGTATGGCTCTTCGCGCTCTCGATGATGTCCTTAGACGCGCCTGTATATGTGTATGCGCGCCGCGCGTGTATCGCGACTCTCTGTACATAAGTCTGCTGCTGCTGCGGTGTGTGTATGTGTGTGTAAGGACGACCCCCTATAATACCGCCTACCTTCCACTCGCGCGCTCCTTTTTCCTTCGTTTATATACGGTATGGTACTGAATATACGCATGATCGCGTGTACGCTGCTCTGTGCACTCGTGCATTCGCGCGATTGTCCGCGTGTTCGAACCTTATGAGCGCGCGCGCCCGAGAGCATGTTCCTGTCCGCGTTTGATCTGTCGGCTTGAGAAACGATGTACAAAAAAAATATCATCCTCGAGAAGAATTACTTGGAAATTTTTCTCTTTCGCAAAACCTGCGTGCGGTTCTTATCCACTGCCGCTGCATGGCACATCACAATCATAGATATCAACCGATCTTTACATTTTTTGCCCGTTCAAAGAATGCCAAGGTTGCGCTAAATTTCAACCTACGGGTCTACCTCGAAAGGCGAACTTTATCAAGCCATTAATTTAGTGCTCATTTATGTAAGTTTCGATATTGCTAAGCAATGTCAAACAAAATAAGCAGAACGATGAACGTCTAGAAAGTTCAAGTAGATCAAGTACGCTCGCACTTTGAAATCATCAAAAAAAGTCTTCTTCTACGGTTCGAATCTCTCTCAAGATCATTTGCGAATTACGTCCGCGACGGCACCGCACATTTAAAATCAAAGGCTACGGCTTTTATTATACAAATCGAAATGGAGATGTCTATCGCGATGATCATCCATTATATACCAGCATTATATACATTGTAAACATGAATTCGAGACCATAATTTTTTTTCTTTACTCGGTGAGCTCTATTTTTTTTTCCTCCTCGTCGTTATCAAGTCGCTAAAACCAACAATTATAGCGTGCAAGTGCTGTGTGTTGTATACAGGTGTACGATATATACCGCGCGCGTGTCTATGCAAGCTTAGTTTCGCTCGCGCGATATAATACTTCTTTTGGCATGCTTATGTCATAATTATTTTATCGCGCGTAAGATTAGGCCTATATGAATTTCACTCTCTTCTGCTTATAATCATAGTCCGTGCATAATTGATGATACTCAACAATAATATCAAGTGAAAGTATCATATAGACCAGGCGTATGTGTGTATATGGCATGGAAAAAAACAATAGGAAGTTTGCATGAATATACAATGAAAAATTGGAAAAGACAATGCGCGGATAGTCCTCGTTGAAAATTTCAAGCGTACGACACACGGTCAACCTGTCACAATTTACGTTTCCATATGTCACACAAATGTTTGTGTTTACGTTTTTCCCTCAAACATTACTTCACTTTTTATTTGCATAATTGTTATACTCGTGTAAAGCTGACATTGTAATTGTTCGAAAGTGTTTATAAGAATTTCTCAATCGCTATTAATAATACATCTTCATATAAATTCATTTAGCCACAATCTGGGTAATTATGTAGAATTTATGATAAAATAAATTGCTCCGTGATTTGAAAACAGTATCGGATTCAAATGAGCAGATTAGAGCGTAAGGATAATTTGATGTAGCTTTAGCTGCATTTTCAACATTCCGGCCGTTGCTCGAGTTGCATGATGAAAATAGACAAGCCGTGCTCGTTATATTATCGAGCTATATGCCACAATTAAAGCGAATATAGACGTATTATTTCTCCTTCTGATAACGTTGCATTATGTGCCGTGGTTTCAAAAAGGAATTGTAACCAAGTGCCTTTCCAGCTGCTTTTGTAATTTTTTTTCTTATCGTCCTTTTTTTCGTTGAAGATCTGACTTCGTTATGTCATTAATTTTTTAACTGATGGGCTAGTTGTTTGTTAAAATAAAAATTAGACTAGTATACTGTGGATTATTTTGTGGTTTCAAGGCAATTCAAAATGTATATCTAACAACGTTCGCGGTTCAATTACTCAACTTAGTCGCCTCGAGTAGCACTAATTTTCATACAAGATACATGTGATTCTCGACGTTGACTAATAACTTTTCCGATAGCGTACCAATTGTACCATTTCTCAACCCAACAATTAATGAACAAAATTAAAAACTACTCGGATCCGTATAAGTTTGCGTCCCACTTAGTGTCAGTGCAGAGGTACTTTTAATTATTTCTATGAATGCAAATAGCCGAGCGATGCAAAGAGCGCTTAATATATGATAGATACACTCGCGCTGGTATATGTTTACTTTCAATTTCCGGTTTAGCGCGATACCGCAAGGTCACCACGATTCCGACTATGCGCGCAGCCTGTGCGCAGTCTTTTTTTACAACTCGAAAGTACAGATTTTTCTTCTGGTTGCACTGCTGCACTTACAGGTATGTGTTATATGCGCGCAAGGTTGATTGCTACACTTCCATACAAGCGCGCGGCTCATGTTTATATGTAAACACTTGAAGCTAATGTCTAGTTCATGCGCCATTATCGGGGCGATTTATTATCAAAAAATGAGGTCTTTAATGAATGACCGCTGTTGTTGTTGTGTGCTTTACTATTCTTACAGTACAATAGAGTTATGGAAGAACGGTATAATTGAGCTGCGAAGATGGAAAAAGGTTTTTTCCTTCATTTTTTGCTCCATTGAACGCCAACGACTGCGGCGTGATACAAAAATGAACGGTTTTAAACGCACCGCTACTACATCTCTTGCGTGAGGGTTTCTTGTGAAATATCATATGAGCGACGGGAGCTACTGCTGTTTCTGCCTCTTGTATTCTTGTGAACGGTGGCAGCTTTTCATTAGCGCTTCTAATTTCACGTTTTTTATTTTAATTGTTACTCGCTATATAGTCGCAAGAGACGTGTCGTCCCCTTTGTTATTGTATGCGCAAAGTAATGTGCGAAGTTGTTCAAATGTCTCATATTTCTTCACGTAAAATAATTGCAATAGGATGGAAAATTGAACTTGATGAGGCTTTGAGAGCGAGATGGATTTATGTTGCTCTCCTCCGCTGAACGCGCATTCAAACGAGTTTCGCAAATGGATGAGCAGCAGCAGCTCTTTTGAAAAGTTTGCACGATCGTGTGGCTATTGTACGTACCGCTTCCTCAGTTGATTCGCATTCAACAATCCATCTTGTTTATTTCCGATGAAAATCCATATTCATAAATGACTCTTCGTCTATCGAAATAATTATTTTGAAATCTCGCTCGAGGCCAAGAAAAACTGTTTGCTTTAAATTTTTTTCCCCTTCTCAGATAAGCTACTTTATAGAATACGATGCAGCCAAGTTGCCGAACGCGACCTGACCGCGTTGAATTGCTCAAAAGAATCACAAAAACCACTGACTACAGTATGCCCATTATTTTAAATTCGTTTGCAAAACTTTCTCCCTCCCTCTCTCTCTATTTCTCGGGCAAATGAATTGACAATTTATTCGTGGGAACAATTTCAAGAGTGACAAGTACACTTGCCGAGTATTTTCTCATGTATATTTACTTTTTTTTGCTCACTTGCATACAACTATTCCACTGTTTTGTCTGCCACCGTCATTACATCTACCTCAACAACAACTTAAATGCGCAATAACAAATTATCACTAGAAAAAAGCGATTACGTCTTTTTAGATGAGGACGATTAACAAAATATGTAAACAAAACGATGCACACGAAAATGTCAAATTACATAAGTGATCGATTGATTTATGTATGCAATTAAATAATTATCACCTCATGACGATAGTTATGAGGAAACCGAAAGAACGTGTTTGTGTATTTGTAGATTTTTTGGCGATTACTCATCGATCGATCGCGATCGTACGACTGTATACGTACAATTTCATGTGTATTAATTGAACAAAATATTGATCATTCTCGTTAAGTCGAATTAGGAATGCTTAGTTTCGCACGCTTTTTGTTTATCTATCAATTGGGTTGGAATAATTTGTTTGTAAAAGCGCGCTCATGTTTACAATCGAAATCGTATGATTTACTTAAAGTAGCCGTGATTGGAGGCTCGATTTCTACCTACCGCGCCTTTAATCGATTCATCGCAATTTATGGACTGGCGCATACTTTTTCTAAGTTATTTGACAAGGGGGGCATTTATCAAAAATACGTTTTTTAATCGTTGTTAAAAATTTTCCCTCTTAGTCTAATATTGTTTGTACGAGAATGTACAGATTTAATCTATGATCGTAAATTTTCAGTCACCAAATTTAATTTATTGATTAAGAAAACACTACAGTTTTTGATAATTATAAAATACATGTATAATAACATGGAATGATCTAAAGAAAAATGTCCTTTCGCTTTATTTCTTTGACTAAGCTAATGATTAATTTTTATATACAAAAATATGAGCATACGAAAAAATGGTAATGATTTACAATCGTCTTCAAATAACGCAAAATACGAGTAATTATCGAGTATATAGAACTTCAATGGAAAAAATATTCAAAACTTAAAATGCACGCGTGACGTGCATTTACATTTTTTTTCATTCTCTCTTCGCTACTATATAGACAAAAGCGCACTCGACGTTGCATTGGCAAAAATTGTATGGCGTCCGCGTGACTCGTGAACGTTAATAAAAATAATGCGCACAGAAATCGCATGCAAAGTGCGTGACTAGAATCGTTCATCGTCACGCGTGTACTGTAACATACATTTAATTTTTTTTTTCAACAATTTGTGATCTTATTTTGCGCACTTATCGATTTGTAAATAAGTGAATATGAATGATGTACATTTTAACGAATGATTTCTTGGATTCTTCTAGCTTGTGAAAATTATTTATAATAAATTTTTATCAAATAGCTTAAATATTCTATTCTTAAAGTGTAAATAATAAAATTTAAATTACCCGAACAAATATTTTAGCTCAAAATTTAAGCTCGTCGTATGGTGAAATTAATATTATCCCTGGTAGAATAATCTTTTCAATGTTTCATGGACATATAATGTTTGACTTAATACAATTATTTTAACTTTCTCACTCGCAGATTTACAGATAAAGGTACTAACCATCTAGTGGAGAAGACTTCAATTATGTTATGCTGTGCATTTCAACCAGGGGTAATTCAATTTTTTCCGTAGATATCATTAATGATTTTTGAAAGCTACTATCTCAATCATAATTTTACAAATATATTGAACACGATTTAAGTTCAAAATTTCAAGTGACTACAGAAACTATACACATGGTGAAAATGTAATTATAAGTAATGAATATTTTGTCTTAAATTATTGTAATTGACTAAATATTTCGTCAGCGTATTTTCAATGTCAAGGCAAAACCATTGCAGCCAACAAGCGTGAGATCTGACTAAAAACAACAGTACACAAAAATTTAATCTACGATGCTCGATTGGTAATCTAAAATCACAAAGCTTATAAAGACAACATAATAATAAAGACTCTACAATCGCTGCGACATTCGGATGAACCCTTGAAATACTTTTGTATTACCTCTCAGTTATCTGAATATTTAACATGTAACACGCAATGCATCGATTAAGCAATAAATATTCGATTGCATCGCGTTATTTATGCACGGATAAAGATTGGAATCAGCGTTCGCAAGGAGATCATCGCGATCGTCGGCCAAATCGTTCGTCATACCGCCACTGTGCTGGGCGCTAATCTGCCGTACTCGCTCGCCTTGGCCCCCGAGCTGCTGGCCGCAGCTGCTGTTGCTGGGCTGCTGCTACTTGGCTTTCCTCGATGGTGAACCTCGATGGCGTGCATCACGTCTCGGTAGACTAGCGGCTTCGTCAGATTCGACAGCAAAAAGTCCAGATGCGAGAAGCGGTCGTGCTGCACCTCTTTGCCCTCGGCTATCTTCAGCCTCGACATCAACGCGTGCACATCCTGATGATTTTTTCGTTATAATGCACAATTAACGCTTCTTTGTTTTTTTTTTTTTATATTCAGAGAAGCAAGTCTCTCATATATATTGAAGATAATTAGATTTGACGCGGAACTGCGCTGCTATATTTACCTCTTTAGTTGTGTATGCGTCGTTCATCCCGTAATAAAGGACGAACGGTACGGTGATTTTCTCGATGGGATATTCCGGTGGTGTGACATTTTTGTAGCGCATGTAATTCCTCTCCGGTCCAAAGTCGTACTGGCGGAATTTTCCTGCGGAATTAAAAACAATTAAAATCAGCTGTGCGTTCGCGGATGTATGAGTTTTAATTAGTTAGCGACAAATTCCTTACCGCTCATCAGAATTTGTCGGTAATGCAGGAGAGTTTCCAGCGACGATCCTTGTGGATAGTGTCTCAAAACTTTGTTCATCACGTTCTGCAATTGAAACGTGATATCACATTAGCTTATGTGTTGAATTTTATTTCATTTTAACTAAACTTGCATTCGAACGACTGCTTACCATATGAAAGGCATCGAAGCTACTGGACTTGAGTAATCCAGCACTGCTCAAAGCAAACTTTTGGCACAATATCTCTATTTTCGGCGTCTGACAAATGGTCGCGTAGAGGCCGAGAAGGGTCGGATTCCTGGGGAAAACTTCGTTAATTCCCAAGGCTTTCAGCGTTTTCTGAAATGTAAAGCACGTGCACATTAATCTTGACTGATTTCAAAAGACGTCCGTCCTAAATTCACACTCGAGTACATACTTTGCGCAGCGTTATTTTTCAGTCACTTTTTTTCTATCTCCAAAGCAACTGTCAATCACAGAGCCATGCAAATGCATCGCGGCGTCGTATAAAGACGCGCGCGCGCGCAGTTTAATGGCATTCCCCGAACAATAAAGAAGTCGCATTCGTGTACCGTGACATAAATCATAATATATGAGAGAGTACATGCTTGCGTACACACCTGCAACTGCTTTCCATATCGCACGACCATCGTGTTCACCGGGCCCGGCAGCAGATGCGTGAATATGGCGATGGGCGCGAACGAGACGACGATCTCGACCTTGGCATTGTACTCGGGCTTCAAGGACAACAGGACCAGCGCCATGGTCGTGCCCATCGAGTGGCCGACCATCGACAATTTCTTTTGCCCAGTGGCGGTAAGGACGTAATCGATCGTCGCCGGCATGTCGTACATACCGGATTCGTGCCAGCTATACGTAAAAAGTAGAAAAAAAGAGAGAACGATTTTTACCTCAGCCTCAAGGAAAAACGGATGTATGCGTTCGTGGCTTTTATGGTGCAAGAATCGATTTTATTTCGGAGCTAAAACTCTCGGTGAAATTCTCGGAAAATCTACTTGGCATATTTTAATTTCATACTTCGTCCGAGCCGAGCGTCACTCTAAAATGTTGCTTACCTTTATGCAACAATGTTTCGCATTCGGCGAAACACTTCAACTCGAGATAAGCGATATGATATGCTAATTCCAAAGACCAATTGGCTTGCGCAAATTGAGCCTTTAATATCAGGTCTTCGTCGTTTGCTATTTGTGCCAAAGATGCACGTCATGGTTAGTTACTATTTTCAAGGATAAACGATCGGTATTACCCAATATAGTCAGTAAAATAAAATTGCTCTCGACGCAAACGAACCTTTGGACCGTCCGGCGCGCATGTACGAGCGCGCGTGCAATTTTATGGACACTCGCGTGGAGAACAATCTTAATGAAAAATAATTGTGACACGCGCGCTTTACGAAAGCGAATAGTTTCAGGTATCATAACGATAATGGTGACATATTTAAGCGTTGCATAAAAGTTATTTTGAGCCATTTTTCTATCTATATGTTAATGGCCTGACGTAAATCATTTTTGCAAGATTTTCTTATTACAAAAAAATTGTCATCGTTAGCATTTCATTTTCTTTGTATCCGAAATTTTGTTACATACCTGAATCGCCAAAATTTAGAGTCCTTGGGGGTCAATCGTTTGTGGCGTCTACCGTAAAAATTTCCTCTCGTGTTCATGAACCAAACGTCGTAGCCCGCGTCTACCAGCATGAATGCTAAAAATTCCATGCACACAAAATAAACAATGATTCGAAGCACGAAATTGAAATAAAGCAATGCAAAAATTACCTAGATCTTCGCTGGGACCGCGCAGTACCCAAATGTCGGATGCTGCCAGAAGCCCGTGCACCATGAGAACAACCGGCTTATTGGCTGCGGGCGGCTTTTTCGGACTTCCGGGCATCCTGTGTATGGTCAAGATATACCCATCCGAAGTCGTGACATTGTACTCCTCGGCGTAATATCCTGTCGATCGAACGAGATCGATCTGTAATTTTTCAATGAAAACTCGTCAGTGTGCAATTACGCGCGGTAAATTATGATGGGTGAAATCAATTACCGCGCCGAGCCGCGTCCAAAAAGTCTACCGCATACCTTTTTGGACAGTAACGAGACACCTCGCAATCACTTCAAATCCGGACCGCATAAGTGCAAAGATCGCGGAAAATGATAAGACGCGCGCGCGGTGGTGTGTTATAGACGTCGGAGAACTAATAAGCTACTTTCGAATATCATTTATTATTAATACATTTCATAAGGCCTCGGAACCAAACAAACTTTAATTGCCTACACGTGTTTTACCGGTTAGAAGATCAATTTAACGCTTCCAGATTACCGTAAGCTATTTCTGGTCATTTTAAATTCGCGTGCATTATACGAGTTTCGTCATTAGTGAAGGATGCGCGTCGTGCTGCGAGCGAGCGCGCGCGATGTATAAATTTAATGAAGTTTTTATCGCACGGGTTCGCAATTTTTGGGAAAAGCAAAAAATGCACACGACGCCTAGTCGGCTTAATATTAGAATCGACGTTATAAAAGTGCATTTGTACGCAAATAGCATCGCGATTCACCATGTTTTTATGATTTTTACGCTCCCTAGTGATTTGAATAACGCGTGGAGCGTTGAGCATTGACCGGGATACATTTAAAAAGAAAAAAAAAGATTAATAATAAAGCTTATTATGAACGAGTCAGTTTGAAGGTGATGTTTTTTCAAAATCGTTAGTGATTTATATTAAGATGATACTTATTTTTGAAACAATGTATTCATTTTTGATTTCACTTGAAAAATGAATTCACGCAAAAAGTTATTGGCTCGCAATTTCAGTCTAATCAATTCGTTGACGATAAAAAAAATTAGATAGCAGTGCATATAGAACTTCGTTAACTCACAAAAGTTTCTGTTGCGGGCAAGAGCGTCCTCGGCTCCGTCGTGTCCGCCACTGCTGCCGTCGCGATCGTCGTCGTCGTTGCTATTTGTCTCTGAAACTGTCTCCTCGATGCAATTTGATTTTTCGCCGTCGACGATCTTCGGCAAGTCTGGCAAACTCTCGACTCGGCGAGCTGGAGCAACAGCGACATCGATAAGATCGCCACTGCTTGCAATCTCGTACCAAGCAACATCTTGTTTCAAGAGAAAGATAGAAAGAGGAAGATAGAGAGAGAGAGGAAAAACAGAGAGAGAGAGAGAGAGAAAAGGGAGAGAGAGAAAGCGAACTTTATAATCTCCTCGTGTGCGCGGCGGCTTGTGCTACTGATGCGGCCGGCGAAATCGTGGTCGTCTTCTGCTTCTCTCTCGCGGTGCGTGCGATGTGCGGGACGACGCGTCAAAGACGGCGCTCGGTTTGTGCCGACAATTAAACGAGCACATAGCTTCCCGATTCGGACGTGGAGAAAAAATACTGTTGACATCTTGCCAGCGGCAGTGCAGCCGCAGCAGCGGCGAGCGGCAATAGCTGCAACAGCAGCGACTGCGGCGGCGGCAACGGCAGCGATGCAGCTCGCTCGCAACAGCAGCAGCAGCAGCTTATCGGCTCGTTTGGAAAATTCATGGTGCCGTTGCACTTAAGCTTTTCCTTGGATTCTGCACGTGCGATCGGCGGCGAAATTCTTCGACGCAGCTGCAGCCACAGCGATATTACGTTGTATTTTATATCGGAAACTGCTTCTTTATATTGAGTTTATGCAAACGTTCGTATATTCATGCAAATCGCGCATCTAGTCTTTTTTGGCTCAATTTTAAACGAATCGGCGCGAAGGAATTTGGTCGCCGCGCGGCCGACCCCAGGCTTATAACTGGACGCGCACTCGGCGGCTTGCGGGTTTAAATTTAAATTCTCGCACTCGCGTTGTCTTGGACGTCGTCGTCTTCGTTCTTCGTTGACAATGGGGTCAACGCACTTGCGTGCATCTATATAGACGCCAATAATCGACACTCTGGCGCTCGTCGCATATAAGTATACACACACGCGCGCACATATATACGAACGTGTGAGTCGATCGAACACAATGTGTATCGTTCGAAAAGAGAGAGAGAGAGAGAGAGAGATGCGCGCTCCGATTTCCACGCGCAACTTAATATACCTATTGTGCCTCGCAATTATGCATGCGAATGATTAATTCGCAATGGCTAATGACACGTAAACATACAGACACAGATAGCTCCGAGGCGCGCGTTCGAACACTGCACAAAATCGCAGCCGCTCGGGCTATTATTTATTTACACAATAACCAACTATCGTCTTTCTATCGTCGGTCAAGCCCTGTCTCATACGCCTCGATTGGAAATATACATTTATAAATGTACGCACACACAAACACACGAAAAAAAAACAGACACACACGCACGAATCAACGGGGGGAGACTACTCGATCGTGCGTGCACGATCAGTGAAGTGTTGACCTGACGCTGGTTCTCGCGAGAGTGCCGGTTCTCGGCGCGGACGTTCGACCATTTGTCACGCACCAGAGAGAAAGAGAGAAAGACGTCTCGTCGTCGTGCTGCTGTTGCTGAAAGCAAACGACAGCGCAGTATATACGGCGTTATAACAGTTGTGCTTGTGCCCCTTGGACGCGCGCGCGACGATCTTCGGCTCTCGCACGCGTCGCCGCGCGATCGGTTTATATATATACGCATGGAGAGCGAGCGAGTGAGAAAAGTTTTCGCGATGGGAATACATACACACGCACGAGAGAGCGACTGGAGAGGGGAATATGGTTACATACCTCGTTCGCTTGGCAAATTTATTTTTATATATTCACGCGCACCACGTGTGTAAGTGTGTATGTGTACACAGGCACACACATGCAAGTGCGATTTGTATATTATGATTAATTACCGCGGAGAGCTATGTGCCATGGCTAAGTGAGCGCGAGCGACCGACCGAGAGAGAAAGATATCGTTTGAACCAAATGGCGCAATTTCGTTGGGGCCGGTTGTTCGCACTTCTAAATATGCAGAATGCACGAATGACTAGCTATATTTATTTACTGGTGTGTAGAACCAACGAGAACATGATTACTTGAAAATGTATTCATATACAAACGAGCGAGATATATGTGTCGAAACGCGCGCCTCGATGTATATTTCCAGTCCCTCTCTCTGTATAGCGTGCATCGTTTGCCAATCAATTTCAAGCGCGCCGAGCACCTAGCACCGAGCTCGCAAAATAACTACTCAATTTTTTGTCCCCAGCGCGAGGCCAAGAGTAAAAATCCTAGAGACTATCACTCGGCGGGCGATCGAGGCGCGCATAGCGAAGAAATTATACAGCGGTAGCAGCCACGCGCAGCGGCGATTGTTTGTATGTATATTTTGCAGCGAGCGAGCGAGAAGAAAATGCATCAGCATCCTGAGCTGCTACTCCACAGCGTAGTTCGAGCTGCCATGCGCTGTGGGTAAGCATATTATAAAAAACATCGTATAAAACATGATTTACGCATACACGTGATGATGATTGCGGAGAAAGCCTAAAAAGCGAGATACCGACGTCAATCCCTCTCTCCACGCCGCGGAGTTTCGGTATGACGTCGTTGGTTGTCTTCGTCGCCCAATGATCGCTATATAACCGATGGAATGCAAAATAATACGTATTTAAAAAAAAAACGCGTTTTCGCATGAAAATCTTGTAACTCATATACGTGGTAAATATATAATAATATGAGAAGAAGCCCAAAAACTGACACGAGATTGCGCGAGCGCGCGCGTGATTGTGCGTGGATATAATGTTTGCGTCGTCGAGCTGCCATTGCGAGTCGTCGTCGTCGTCGTAGTTCCGGAGCCATTCAACTGCGGGGTATCCGGCATTCCAAGCTGGGTCAGTGCTAATTATAGTCTCCTCTTCTCTTTCTTTCTTTCTTTCGCCTTTTCTTTTCTGCAGGACAAAACGCGCGGGGCGACGCGTACATTGATTTTTGCGCGTATACGAATAAACCAAAGCTCGCGAGGCGAGATTTTCTTTTCATACAAGTATAAATTGCATCCGCGTAACAGGATCGCTGATGATCGATCGTCGCGCGTTTGCTATTCCATTGTGCACCGCCGATACAGTTACATGTAGAGAGCACATAATTGTCTCGAGCACCGATGCACCGATTTGCTGCGCGGTTCTATATTCACTCAATCGAAATAATTATAAAATCGGTACTTCCGATCGAGTTAGTAATAATTATCAAATAACTATTTATTTTCACTTTTGTCACACACGCATACGCACGACACGGCTTTACGTAATACACATAACGATTTGAGACGCGTGTCGTCGTCCACACGCGGATACATATCTACTCACGCAAAAAACGAAAGTTACGGGTTATAATTTTTCTGCTCCAGATTTTCGCGCTCGCGCGCACGTCATCGCGCGGTGTGTGTGCATTGCACGTCCGTCTCACCAATCAAGGGATCATTGCCATTTGCTGCTAAAGAATTGTAAACAAAATACCACACATCAATGGGACGATTTTTTTTAAACTTATGTATTTCTTTCTTTTCCTTTAGCAAATTTCGACGCGGAACGAAAGTGATTTATGATACGGCGTTTTATTAACTTCACTCGAAAGCTATTTTATGTGACATGTGCGCCATGAAACTTTACGATAGCACAGTATCATCGCGTGTAACGGTTGGTCACTCTCGGCCATGTCTCGATTATTGATGTACAGTTATATATCGACCTTGACCTCGACCGTGTGCAAACAAACACATACACACATTGTAAGCTGTGTAAACTTAAATTCGCTTCTTCTGCTTCTTGTAATCAACATATTGGGTGGCGCGCGGATTCTTTTATTTTAAATCGCTTGGTCGAGCAGCTGATAATGTAAGGCAATTTCACCGAAACGCCTTGCGCCACGCATTCATTACTGTGCTATTCCAGTGTGTCGAGATGCAGCGACATTTTTTTGTATTGCAAGTCGCGAAACGGCAAATCTTGCACTTATGGCAGTCGTTCAACCCAGACTTATAGAAAAAAGAACCGCAAAGAAGAGAACTGTAGAAATGCAGAGAATGAGAGAAGAAGCGAAACCTCAAAATTAGCAACTCGACGATTTGTGAATGGAATATTTGTACGTTATACTTATGAATATTTAAATTTTTCATTGTTTATTTCCTTCGTAACTCGTGTTCGATACAGGATCTCATATCTTTGTTGAATGATCGACTGAATAAAAAAAAGGATGTGCGCCTGCATCGTTGACGCATTTTCAAATCTTCCGCTGCGCTAAAAATTAAAATTTTTTATCAAATTACTTTTTATAATTGATGTTCCAATTTTAGCAAAAAGTTAATTATGATATTACAGGAACCAAACACAATCAGAGATGCGGAAAAAAGTATATACGTATAGTACATACAACAAAAATAAAATTTATAGATGTGAAATCATAAAGATAAATTATCAAAAAGTTGGGTAATAAAACCTTATACAGTCTTTCTATATGACGATTAGACTAGATAACATTTCACATCATAAATAAAAGATTTTAATTATGTCTAACTTAGCTTTTCCCAGCATATATTAAAATGAAAATTCAGAGTTCTGAGCTAATTAGCTGCCTGATGTATGAGCTAAACTTACTCTTACATGTATGCAGGGACGTCAACTGAAAGGCTTAGTTATTTAAAGTAACGTTAATTTTACAGGAAATATTAACTTGATTTTAAATTAAATGCCTGAATTAAACTGTATCAAAAAATAATTTAATTATATTGTAACCAACAAATGCATTCATAGATTATTTTAATATAATTTAATAATAAGTTTCAACTCAAGTCTTATACATTGGTTTGGCTTCTACATTACCGGTTGGTCCGTAATTACAAACTAAAAATTGTCGGTTCAATTTTCCATCTTTGTATCTAACGACTCCGCAACCTATTTTCGTTGTTTCAGCCCAAACGACTTGAGAGTAATGACCATACTTTGGATCATACCTAAAAAAATAGATGTTTTGATAAAATGCCATTCTTAAAATAAAAAATCTTGTAAGCTATACTTACTTGTACTTCGAAATATCTTTTTTATTAAAAAACTTTATTTCGTCATACCAACTTTGAACTGGCCGTTCAACGTCCCAATTCTTGACTTCTCTAGTCGAGCCCCAACGATTTAAGTTTTGACCAACTTTATAACGTCCTAGAAATGAAAAATGTTTTTCTATGTTTAATTCAAAAAACATTTTACCTCTGATGATATTGATATTTACCAACGTCACGACAAGGATCGTGCTTGTAATTACAATAATTAGCCCATTGTTGGGCTGAGGCTGCTAATTCATTGTCCCAAGACTTTCCATAGATTAATTGATAAAATTATTATCAGCTTATTAAAAGAATCATTTTTATTAATTATGATAAACATACCAAAAGAGCCATATTTTTTGCTCCTGTTGATCGCCGAAGACTGTTGTGTTTATTAACTATTTTTTGTTTTTCACTATTTGTCAAACCACTACTTATCAACTTTGCACACTGAGGCTTGACATTTTTGGGCTGTCACAAGCATAATATAATGTAATAAATGGTTTTCTTATAAAAAATTAATTTTATATCTTGAGAACACTCACTTTGAATAAACATTTCGGTCTTGCATAAGAAGCTCCAAAAAAAGCTGTAAGACTTATTACTACTATCAATTCATTGATTTTCATAGCGAATATTTGACGACTAAAGGAAGCAAGTCACAGAGGCAACTATCCGCAAATCGTCTATGCCTAAGTGTTTTATAATCATCTGACGGATTGTTCAGTAATCAATACTAAATTGAGGGTTCGTCTCATCGTAATTAGATCCACGTCATATGAATAAATTGATTTATGCCTACGGTGAGTTGTCGGGCAAGGATATATGAGTTATTAAAATAATTACTTATGCTTTAGCAGATTGTTGGCAATGGGGTACACCATCTTTGCCAAAATAAAGATTTTATTTACCGGTACATAATTTTCACAGATAAGACTGGAAGTCGTATCGCCACAAAGTTATAGAAAATTAATTCATTTCGCATACAATGAAACTAACGCATTTAACGTATGCAGATACATGAAATATAATTTCACGTGTGCGATTTCTATTTTATTTTTTCTCGCAAAACATGAAATTCTATTAAAAATCGTTTTATTCTTTATCAATATTATTGTTCAAAGCTATTTAATCATCTCATCTCTCATATTACTATATTTTATACTTTCATGTTTATCCTGTATACGCGTAAATTCGAACTGAAATACAGGATTCTTGATTGATATTGGAACGATTGAATATTGATAAAAAACTAATAGTTGTTATACGTTCTATGCAAAGAATCTCGAGACCTTGCGTAAACCAATTGTGTATGAGCAGGTACATATTTTTAATAGAATTATTACTGGGTATTATTTTCTATCATTATCAAACAAACACTGTATTATTAATGAGTAATTTCCTGATTTCAAATGAATTAAACATTGTTGCATTTTCATAATGTAGAGTTACTTTTGTACATAGCATCATCGATACAATTATTTATCCTTTGCCACTTGCAGATTTATAGATAAATGTACCCGCAAACTAGTGACATAGGCCTAAAGGCTAAAACGGTTAAAAATGGTCTTTATTTCTAAAGTAGCTGTAGAATTTCTAAGATAGTTTTTATAGAAAAATCGCCATAAATAAGCTAATTAATAATACTGTATTTTGAAACATTTTGAAATAATAATTATGTTATGGTCAATAAGCTATTAGAAACGTTGAGAATTTCTATCAGGGTAAGTAATAACTAAAAAAAGATGAAATTTTTAAAAGTACTTTGAAAAAATTTATTTGATGCATAGATATAAAAATTTTTAAATTAATTAGATGAAAATCACGAGTAGCATCCATTCTCTTTTGCTTTATTCTGAATTTTCAAAACTTCCGCTACTTTTAAGTAAATCCTATATCTATCCTGAGCTTTTTTACGCAAGGACGCATTCGTACACTCGATCCCATTTATGGCCTTAGTCGTGACGCCAAAATTATTTTTATTCGGACCAGTGAGCCGAGTTTTAACTCTTTTTTCCCAGTACCAAACGCTTACGTGCATCGAAGTTTTTATATCCTGGGATACCAACTCAGGATTACGAAGCAGTTTATCGCCCATTCCTAAACCCATTGACGCTGCTTTGTAATTAGCTCCCCACGACAATTGAATGTAACCTCGGCCGTGATAATTCTTGTCGGGTAGTCCCACTGAATCTTTGTATTTTCCAGCGCATCTGTTACCTCTTAGACAAGCTAAAAAAAAAAAAATATCTCCTATCAATGATTCAAGCCTCGCAATGAACAGCACGAATTAAGTGTTATTTACCTTGCTCTTCCTTGAACACAAAACCTGCACTTTCAATAAGTAAGTGAGACAACAGCATTGCAGTTTCTTCGCGCGAAAATTTACTGGTAGTTTCTGCGAAGTATTTGTAAACATCACTATTACTTGCTGCGGGGTAGCCCGTTTTCTTTAAAACTTCGTTGAAATCAGTTCTGCTAATAGATGCAGCGCGACTCAGACTTATCAAACACAATAACAGTGCGAATAATTTGATCTCCATTTTATTCGATCACGAAATTTTTTGGAGTTAGAACTAAGAACACAAATTCGCTTCAAATGCATTATAACTATTTTCTTGGTCTACTATTTATACTTCAATCTACGAACTATGATTGTCATGTGCACGTACTCGTAATGATGATCGCGTAGATGTAAAATCCATCTTTGCTGGGTATTCACAGATTGAAAATCAAATCTTGATCAGTCGATAATTCATCACAAAAATTACGAGTGAGGAAACATAGCAGCGAGGAAAACGATGTTAATTTTCATTTTTTTTCAACACGAGTTTCACGCACGTGATTAGCGCTCGCAGTTTTTTTGCTTTCAGAGTTAATGTGCTATGCAACATGGTATATTGTAGGGATAAGTAAAATTAAAATTAATGAGATAAAATAAAAAAATTACGTCAAATTAAAACAGCTTGATGAATAACAATTTATGAAAACTTTGGTAAAATTCTTATGCTAGTAAAAACTTGCATATTACATAATCTTTTGAAAGATGTATCTTACATTATAATGTTAATAATGTTAATCTTACTTATTAAATACACAACCATATTGGAACATAAATCAATAGTTACAGTTTTTTCATACATTTTTACACTTAACTTTGATTATGTCTGATAATATGTATTACATGCTAATACATATACTTAATTTAATATTATATATCGCAGATATAGCTGAATTTACTAAAAACACACATGGCAACTTGATTTTATAATTATACTAAATCATAAATGTTAATTATACAGCATTGCTATTATACGTAAATCTGTTTATTAAATTTAATATCCTATCGTTTAAAAGGACTTTAATATCTTTCGAATATAAAAAGTCCATATGGCTGAATTTCTTGTGTGGCACTGGTTCAACTGTGACGACGTTCGGCAGTTTTTTGGCTAGATCGTAGGGATACTAAACAAAATAATTATTTTTTAGAATATATTTTATGAATTCCGATTATTATTAATAATATTGCGAAAACTTACTGATGGCGAGACCAACGAATCTCCCCTGCCATAAATCAAAGCTACAGGAGCTGCGATTCTTTTTATATTATATGATGGAGGAATTTCGTTTTTGTACCTAGCTAAATTTCTCACCTTTCCGTAATCGTATGCTCTAAAGTCACCTGAAGAGAATGAATGTAAATTTTACAAATTATTTTTATTTTCACCAAGTTTTGGAAATACCCACCGGATATTATATTCTGACTAAAGTGCATCAGCGTTTTGGTGGAAGCTCCCGCCGGAAAATATGAAAATATGTAGGCTAAGAGAGACTGGAAAACAGAATTGACGTAATCGATACAATTTTTTGTTGTTCCAATGTAAAAAGTACGCTCACCAACTCGAGTTGATCCGGATTCGGCCCAGATAAAAGATAAACGAATCCCGCGCAGATTTGTTGCAGTATACTACCGTCGCCGCACGACGCTCTCGCTAGATGAGCGCTGGCAGTAGTGAGTGGAAAAAGTTCATTGATTTTAGCTTTTGTCACCAATTCCTGAAATGTACCGAATAATTTTTTACAGATTAACTTCAAGTCTTAGTAAGTACTAATATGTATAATTTGAAATGTCATTAAGTTTTGAATCATTACTTTGATGAACGGTGAATTTTTTTTTAAAAACGAAATAAATGGACGCATTGGTTCGCGCCAAAATGCCACCGGTGCCAAGCTAATAACCAAATTGATCTTCTGATTGTACTCGGGTCTGGTCGACAGCAATGCGTAACTGATCGTTGTACCCATGGAGTGGCCTACGTACGATAGGTACGACTGATTCGTCTTGTGCAATATGTAGTCGATGGATGTAGGAATATCGTGCATGGCCATTTCGTGATAACTAATTGGGAAAAAGAAGTATCATTATTTAATTTTTATCATGCTCAAATATTCTTAACAACAAACAATAATACAATTTTTTTATCAGATTTATTGCACGAGCTTTTTCAAAGATTTATAACTGCAATAATATTAGTATTCCTTATGAATTATGCAACAAGAAATTTGATTTGATGACTTAATAATCACGAAATGAATTTTTCACACGTATACTCTGTACTAATTTTTCTAAATTAAAGCTCTATTTTTTCGCCGTATGGCTTGCAAGTATCAGAAGTCAAACATTAACTCGTAATAAATTTACCTGAATTGCCAGAATTCTCGATTATATTCGGGCGAGAATCTCTTGTGCGATCGACCATAGGTGTTTCCGCGCACGTTGCCCAACCACACGTCGTAGCCGGCGTCCGCTAGGATGTACGCTAAATGGAATCCAAACAATTCTTCATTTATGACTTGTCGATTGAATAGTTATGTGCGCTTACTTTGAAACGATGTACATAATATTCCCGATAATCAGTTAAACATTTAACGAGCTTAAAAATTCTTGACATTGTCGTTAATAATGATTGTTTAATGCGCGAAAACAGAAGAAGTAAGGGTAATAAAACAATAGAGTTGATCGCCTTGACCGACTAACCGTAACGTTAGGCGTTGTTGGGTATCTAATGACATATCGAAGAACCGTATCGATGATCTTAATGCAATTTGCACGAGTTAGTTAACAATCGATCTCGCGTCAAGACATCGAAATGGAGCACAGTTGGCGAACAATTTTCGCTGCCCCGAGCCGAGTGAAAGGATGAATGAGAATATTGTTATTTGAATTTTAATTGACTTTTGTGAAGGATGCAAATATTAATAGCAACGTTGAGAGAGTAATGCCAATAAAACTGGAAATTCTTTTACACATTTGTCATGCAATGCCTATAAATATAGCTATGTACCGTGTATGCGCATAACTTTTGAATAATTAGATACTTTATCCACAAATTAGAAGTAATCAATATGTGAAACGTAGGATTATAAAAGTCGCGCGTGAACTACATATGATTTATGAATAATTGACAAAAAGCAGCAATTGCTTCTTTGCTCAATTCTAATATTGGCAAATCGGCATATGACGGATTATTATTTCCAGAACTCACCCAGATCTCGATTAGGACCCATGAGGACCCACATGTCCGAAGAGCCGAGCACACCATGCTGCAGAAAAACAACTGGTTTGCCGAAAGCTTGGCGATTACGGGGACTACCTGGAATCCGGTGAATCCGTAACTTGTAACCATCGGCCGTTGTCACTCGATGCTCCTCGGCAGGATATCCGAAATTATTCACTAAAGCTACCTGTGTAAAAAACATCAATGGCTAGCTTATTTCATGAGAGAAAACCTGTGTTGCGTGGTACGTACGAAATCCAGAGCGTGAATGAAGTCTTTGGTAGGATCTACTTGTCTCCCTGTCGTTGTCCAATTTCGACTCCTTGCGTACCGGTCGCGCGCAAATTTTGCCGGTGAAAATGATGCCTCGTCGAAAACGAAAGCTAAACTTTGAACGAAACATAATGACGACAGGTACAAAGTAGCTAACAGCCTAATGTAACTCATTTTTATGAATTATCGGATGTACCGGTACAGAAACAGCAGAATATTTTAACGCGAATTACATCTAATGGTTTTAACTCAAGCTCGTGCACTACCTCAATTTTTAATCAACGACAATATGAATTTACGAATTTCAAAAATTGTCATTCAGTTTCACAGCATAATATCACATGTCTCTTTCATAAAGGTAACTAATGTTTAAAAAAAAAATCAAATTCTTTGGCTGAATTCGTTCAACATTATAAAAAAATCACTATTAACGAACACTTTTGGTCAACCCCAGCCCTCACAAAACATCCAACACGCACACTCAATCAGCACAGGATCTGTCTTACAACAGAAAAGTCCTTTTGCTCATCACCCAAACGAATGTAGCGCCGGACTGAACTAGGAACTTTTTTGACAGCGAGTTAATAGCGCGACGCCTCCGCGTACCTCTGCTCGCGTATCGGAGTTACTCGTGGCCAGTTGTCCTTCGTGTTTTACGATAAGACAATGTGTCTATGAATAAAATCGGTTTTATATCCCCGAGTGCAGCCGACAATGTATTTTACCCATACAAATTGATGACGGATATGAGCGCGCGTGGCGCATGCACACAGAAAAAAGGCGACTTCTTATTGTCGCTCTCGACTTGCTAGGACAACGAGATTATTGTGTGTGTGGCACGAGCTCGAGCTTGCAGCCGACGTAGGCTCTCTCTACCGATCCGGCTGAAATACAAGATCCATGCGTGCGTAAAAAAGTCCGCTGCTGCCACTGCTGCTGCTGCTGCTGCTGCTGCTGCTGAGAGATCCGCGTGTGTATGAGCGTGGCTTGATATCCTTGGCAAATTAATCTTGGCTGCTGGACTTCAAGGTTCTTTCCTGATGCGCACAGCTCGCATAGGCAGGCGCACGAGCGTCACGACGGATGCAGTTCATTCGACCCGGTGTGATCGCGAACTTTGATTAGGGAGATGACAGACAAAAAAGGATGCCCCGAAACTCGTATTATCGTTAAAAAAAATTTTTATCTGCGAAATTGCCCACGCTCACGATGATCGGATGGTTTTTCGCCCGAACAATCGCGCGTATGCAAATTGGACGATCTTCCTGCGTGGATGATCGAATTTCCTTCTGAAACAGGCCCCGCACGCGTCGAATGATTATGATTGCATTATTCGTTAGCACCTCTTTATGAATCTTCACCTTCGACAAATGCATGCGATTATCACTTACTTGCGAACAAAGTAAACAGTAGCGAAACGCTTTCGATTATTCCGATTGACCAGTCACAAAGCCGTTTGAATTAAACATTATAAGCAGCCGTAACAGCGTCACTCGTGTACGCGCGCGCGAATCTAACGGCGGCTAGTTTCTGTGCGTATTTTCTTTATTTTTGTTTTCACGAAACGAATGTGCAACGCGCGTCACGATGTAATGGTTCGCGTGTGCCTAGAGTTAGTGCGGTCTTCCGCAGTCCGACAACGACGACACTTGAGTAACATTTACATTTGCCTTGTTTCTGCAACTGCTGCTCCGAAAGCGACGTTATGCCACTTTTGTGCTCGATAATCATTATCTTCCCGCCGTTTAATTACATTTACACTCCAATTAAGCAATATTAATCAAACTCCCGCGTTCTTTATTTTATAAATCAATGCGCGCGCGTGAAAGGCAATTAAATAATATGGTACATTCGATCCAGTTCGTTCGAGAAGTATCGTGTCATAAAACCCTCTGCGTGCGAAACGATAGGCGCGCATATCATATACATCGCACGCATAATTTAAGTCAAGAATGGAAATATTTTTGCAAAAATTCTATATAGACGGATGAATACCTACAATTATTTCTGGACATTGAGAGAGTGTTACTATAGTAACAAGAAACGACATAAACATTTATTTCGAAACGTATGTAGGCAAGACTGACGGATGAAAATAAAATTATTAATCAGAAACCAAAGGATGGTATTTTAGATTTTTTTAATAGACGTTTTTTCAGTGTTAAAGATAAGACACAAAAGCCATTTAATATTTCTCAAAAATTAATCCCCCGAAAGAATAGAACTTTAATGGGGGATTAATTGCTAATACAATTTTACAGTGAATCGCAATTGAACATCGATTCTCATCTTCGAGATCGCTTCCTGCACGTTTGTACGCGGTGCAATGAACGCTGAGATAAAAATCGACGCGTCCTTGCGCGCGATCCACATATCTTTGTGCTCGATCAAGGTCGACTCCTTTGGATGTACTTACCATTGGGAATATTATTATATTTACCGTGGAGTACAACGCGTTAGTGCACACTTTGTGGTAATGAGAAACCGGCAATTCGCGAGTGCGTGCATTTTCGAGATAGCAAATATACGCGAAAACTATATAGTATTGTCAGTAGTGGCGCGTCGGGTGAACGAACTGGTTGAAAAAAAATGTTCATTTTATTTCCCATTTTTCATGTTGTTTTTTTCTTGAAAAAAAAACCATTCGTGTTTGCGATAATTAATTCTACAACTGTCTCTCAAGGTTGCAGGCCTGCTTTATTATTTTTTATTTTTGCGGTCAAATCTAATCGATTGTATAAATAGTTTTTTTTTCGTGGAATCATCGAATTTCCAGAGTGAAATGGGAATTTTTAGCTCTGCATCGGTATCGAACAGTTGCAATTCTCCTTAAATTAGCTAACTACTTCACCGATCAATTTTTAAAGTTAACAATAAATTATCGAGCCGCGAAGAGTACACACACACACACGCAAATTCCCTGTTATAAGCGAGCAGTCGCGGCAAATTTGTTTGTTCTAGGCCAACAGAGCGATATCTGCGCGCGTGCAAAATGTGCCCCGTTTGAACAGTGATTATTAGTCTTACCGGTGTTTCGTAATTGCGTCAGGTCGAAAAAAGATGCGATGCCTCTCACGTACACACCGCGTACATGACTTATTTTCATATAATTTTAGCCCCGAAAAAAGAATCGCGATGAGTAAATTTCGATGATGTTAATAATTAAATCCGAATAACTTTTTATAATTCACGTGTGAGCTGGATATTTTTGTTTTGACGCTTAAAAATAATATAATAGATTCTGGAAACGTGAGACCAACGCGGGTTATCGTGTTGTTGTTTACGGATCAGCACGTGTCGCGCGCGTACGACCAGTGGCCGTGTCATCGTTATAAAAATGAGCAAAGACGACACATATCCTGTGGATCGAAGATTCATCGTTAGTATGCCTTTCCTCGGTAATAAATTACTCGTAACTCGTCTTGCGGCAGCTAACAATGATGCGCCCGTGCAAGTACACGAGCTTGGTGAATTGGCAAAAAAGCTTGAAATATTGACGTTGACGTTATGAAAATTGAAAAAAAAGACACGATGTCAGAGACGAAACTCGTATTCGTCTTTAGATGCAGCAACGAAGCTGCATTTCAACTGGTGCAAAGTGAAAACAAAAAAATTAGCAAGTTAAGGAGCCGATCGGACGAGAGCTTTGTGGAGCTTCCATCTCTATATGTATAAACCGCAACGTTGGAATGTCGCCCACGATATCGCGCACGCGCAGAAATTTCGATTAGCGCGTGTGCGGCTGTGTACATTCGACCGCTGCTTCCACTGGCAGCTGACTTTGTCGCAGGCGTCTCGGTCTTTTTCTCGTGCGGAATTTTTAATTGTCAACTTTGTCGCGCGCTCGTGTGCCTCGGCAGCCGCGTCCAACGACGACGAATGCAGCAGTAGCGGCTGCAGCTAATACGTGGGATTCCGCGAGTGCCCCGCGTAAGCAGTGCAACTATAAACTCGGCGCGCGCCTCATAAAACGCCGCGTGAGCGTGTTTTGTACGCTAAGTGCGCGGGCACTTATACACGTAGAGATATTGTACGTTTACACGCCTACTCCCGCGGCAGCTCTCCGCGTTGTGTACGTACACAAATCTAGGTGCGGAAAGTACTCGCGATACAATTGCACCCAAGTCTCGTACGCGTTTGCCAATGTCGTCGTCTGCAGAACAGCCGCATCTTTATCTGAGCTCGTCGTCGTCGTCATTAGTCGCAGCAATAGTATTGGCGAGCCGCTCCACCTCGTCGACACTTTCTACTCTTGTTTGTCCGAGGCGATTGTCTTATCAGCCCAAAAGATGACGAGTTAATGCCTCGAGCTTTGCGAAACATAAGTCATGTAAGAAATCTTTCTTCTATTTTCTTTCTCTCGATCTTCGGTATAGTGTACACAAGTGCTTGGGCGTAACTTTGAGTATCGATCGAACGCGCCTACGCTGCACAAGCATAAAAAAAAAGAGAAAGACAAGTAAGTAAGAATAACTCGGCCACCATGTGTATTATGTTTGTTTACCGAAATCCCGATGCGGGACCGAGCGAATACAAGCTCATACTCATCGCGAATCGCGATGAATTTTACACGAGACCAGCCGATCCGGCGCATTACTGGCCCGATTATCCAGGATGTCTTGGAGGTTGGTACACTGCTGTATACTCGCGATTTTTCCCGAAATAGCCAATGGAGAGATCGCTAAATATCATTTGTTCGCCATTGCACAGGTACGGATATGGAGCCCGGTCGGGAGAACGGAACTTGGCTCGCTGTGAACCACGCCAACGCTCGGATCGGAGTGATCTTGAACTTGCACGGTAATCCAAAATCGACCAATACCAAGGGTCGAGGCTTTCTCGTGCGAGATTACCTGATAGATCCGGACTCGACGATCGAGCACGCGAACAAATTGCACAAGACCAATCAAGAGACTCACTGCTACAGTCCCTATAATTTCGTCATGGTCGACATGAAGTGAGCCAATTTCGAATTTTATTTAAAAAAAAAAGAGTAGATTTTGTCGAACTTATTACGCACACTTTTAGAAGCTGCGATATTTTCTACCTAAGCAGCGAGGAAAATTACCCAGGACCAAAAAAAATAGATAAGAGTATCCTAGGCTGCGGTAATAGCGGATTAGAGACGCCTTATCAAAAAGTTTTATTTGGGGAGAAACAGTTCAAGAACATCGTTAAAGATGCAAAAACATCTGATCAACAACGACTAATGGAAGACTTGATTGAATTATTAAAATCTACCAAAAGGTGAATTTTTATTTTATTTGCATATACGTATGATTTCGTCAAATATAACAACAACGTGTATTTTTAGACATTTACCCGATAAAGAATTGGAAAAACGCGCTCCCAAAGAACAGAACGAACTCAGTTCAATTTTTGTACATCACGAAAAAGCAAAGTATGGTACAAGAACTCATACAATAATCTTAGTTGATAACGCCGACAAACTGACTTTCATTGAGGAAACCATGATGACGGATGGAACGTGGAAACGACAAATTTTTAATAATCTTATGGAGTAAATCATGTATTATAACGATTTTTATCAGTAAAAAAATATAGAGACAACATTTAATTTGTGAACTACACAAACAAAAATTGACTTGACACTCACATGGAAAATCACAAAGCTAATGCTGTACAACTTAACTAGAATTAAAAGTTTTACATGAAGTACATTTTAATCTTCGTCCATACCGATGTCATCGTCGGAACCACTATTAAAAACCTCGGAATTGTGGCCATCATTCGAATTTTCTTCTGGGGTTTCATCTGCTACCTCGGACACATCATCAGTAGACTAAAGAAATATTTTATGTTAATTTTACGTACATTGATTACATTAATGAAAAATTTACCTGAGAACTAAGTTCTTCCCCGTCCAAATCTTTATTCAATAAATTGCCCATCCAAAAGGCACCGATAGAATTATTGGCAGTTAACATCCCTTTCACGCGATAAATGAATTTTTCTCGTCTGGATTTTGCCACAGGAATTAATTTCAAGAGAGTAACATTTTTTTCTTTTCTTGCCGTACAAAAAATATCCCTCAAAAATCGACCAGATCCTAAAAATAAATGAAATAAATCAAAACTTAAGACAATAAATAAATACATACTTAAAGAAATGGAAATAAAAAAATAATACATACTTTGATACAATTTGATTACATTCAGTACCTCTTCTGGCTGGTATTTTACATTTGCTTCTAAAATTTTCATACCAGCAGTCAATAGGGGTTGGTACAACATTGTCGTGTATCGAAGGAAGAGTAACAAATAAACATTATGTTTGAAAGTTTTAACAATGTTTGCAATGTTATCTAAACATATGGCTGAATCCTGCCACACTTGTATCCTTTCTGGATCCCTGCATAGAAAAAATATAATTGATATTTATAAATTTTTAATTTTATTTTGAAACTTTGGATGGAACATACCTTTCGGCAGCTTCCAACGAAATGTCGATTCCTTTAATGATGCCAATAAATAATTCTTTTAATAACAAATGGAAAATTGATTTACTGACAGACGGCAACCGAGTTAAGCAAGATGCTGGCCGTTGGAGCTCTCTCGCTTCATTAGGTAACCATTCCATGACCGATGTAACAGTTTTCAATGGATCGGGCTCATTACTAATCCATGTTCTTATCAGTTCTTTGATAGCTGCTCTATATTGAGGACCATGGCCATCATTGTGCCACTCCAGACACAAATAACCATAAGCCATTTTTGCTAAAATATTTTTATAAAATTGAGGTAAAATTAATATTTATGTTGTAAATTTCTTATTTTTTTTAAATATTTGTATACCTTGTCTTTCTTTCGATTCACTCGTAAAACTAGAGGAATGTTTCATGAGGCATTCACACATATTCACTAAAGCTACTGCTATCGAAACGTGCGTAGCGATATCTGACAATGATTCAAAATACTTGTACGATTCGGAAACAAGGTCCTTGGAAGTTCTTAGATTAATATTTGATTCACTGGCCATCGCGGCAAAACATCTGAGACCATCTTTTGAAAAATATACAGTAATGATCAAAATAATATTCTCATACTATTTTCAGATGTAAAATTATATTTACCGCGTAGTAGATTGTTATGTTTGGAATTTTGAAATTCTTTCCAACTTAGTACAGCTTTGAATAAGCATAAAAATAATCGTGCAGCTTCTTTTTGATGAGCATAGTCATTGATAGAGTCATCATCAGAGTTTACACGTAAATCCGAAACAATTTGTTGAAACTTAAAACAAATCTTTGGCATCAGAAGAATCAAGTCTTTGATCAACCTTTCAGAAGCTTGATGATGAAACATGTTTATCAGTTCTTTTATAATAAAACATACTTGAGACGTTGTTATGTTAACGTCTACTTCTTCACTTTCTTGTGAATCGGTAAGGGGGTCAAAAAGATGAATAATCTAAAATTATAAAATATCGTTTGCTTAGTCATAGATTTGAGATTTTATATGAATAACATCAAATGATTTTAATATTACTTTCGTGTCCATCTGCCGAAAGAAAGCGGGATTTTTTACAGTCATTTCAGATCCTGCTTCCCAACTCTCAAATTCTGGAAGTACAATAGACTTATTCATCGAGGATTCATCTTTATCCTCAGTCTCAGTTTCATCTTCTTTAGCTTTTTTCTTTCCTCCTTTTTTACCTCCTTTTTTTCCTTTTTTACCTCCTTTCAATTCGATTCTGTTGAACTGGGGATTAGGAAAATGATGGAAATAGCAAAGTGGTGGCTGATAGTGAGCGTCTACCATTGACACCATAGCTACAAATTCCCCCTGCAAGTTCATCAGGGTTTCTAAACGCTTAACGACCTGTCCCCGTAATAATGCCTCTTTTTGAGTTACAAAAGCTCCGATGAGTTCTCTGAGATTTAGTAAAAAAAAATTATAATGATATATCAATACTTCAAAGTTAAAAATTTATTCTATGCTCACCTAAACCAATTGATACAGTTAATCATATAATCAGCTATTGTTGGCTCGGGCATATCCATATCAGTAGGTAGCAACACTGGAGTACCCAAAATAGCATTAATACTTTCAAGAGAACCACTTAGACGTGAGCAGCAAGTTCTTAATAGTTTGAAAGATGCTGGTACTATAGCTCCAACTTTACCAGATCCAAATGAAATACAACAAAACTCATCTAATGCAGATGGATCGTTGAGACCATATTTTGGTTCTTTATCTCCACTATAAGTTAAAAAACGAATAGTAAATATAAACATATAAATGATTAAATAAAAGATTCTAAAATTTTACCTGGGGGGTAAAGAATCAATCAAAACATTATTTATAAGATCATCTTCAAAAAGATTTGAGATTTCACTTAAAAATTTCTCATCAATTGATTGAGCTGTTGCTATAATTTGTTCTAATTGATCATAAAAAAGACCCTGCGATCTTGTACAATCTTTTAAACTAATCAATGTTTTTTCTAGAATAAACAGCAATAAAATAGTATTTTAATTATTTAATGTAAGAATTTTCATTGTAGATAGTTTTCCTTACTTAGTAAAGCAATCGCTTCATCACTTGTTTCTGCACTTCCAGATAAGTGTTTGATAGCCATAACAGCGCCCAGGACACCTTTACATTTTGTTCTGAAAGTGAAATTTATAGTTACTTATAATAAATTGTAAAACTTTTTTTACATATTATTTTTATAATACTTACACCACTTTAGAGCTACATAGTTGTTTTTGCATTATAATAGTTAAATCATCATTTAAAGTATCTGCTATGAGTTGTGAATGAGTACACAGACCATGTAGTAAATGATATAACATAGATACTTCATCAAATTGTAAATTGTCAATTCTCTCAAGAAAACTCCTTAAAAAGCAAGCATGTTGTTGCAGATATTGACGTTCCGTCTCATCATTTGCCATTCTGCAAAGCACTTCCAGAGCATTTTTTACAGTTTTATCTTTGTTACCCATTAAATGCAAAAGTTTTTCCATTATTTCTCTTTGCTTGTAAGGGGTATCTCGCTGACTAATAAACATATTTCTTAGCCATTCAATGCCAAACTCCGTGTGGGCAGGACTGTCAGATTTTAAAAGTCCAATAGCCAAATGCAAGGAAGTAGTTTGAAAACTTCTGGCAATTTGTTTATACTGACCATAAAAGAAACTAAGGTCTGATGTTTTTAAACTTCCATTTTTCACATGACTGCTCAAAGTAGCTTCTACGATTTTCTTTTTTGTAATTGTAACTTCATAAATAAGTATTACTAATGCTATATCAATTGGTAATAATTTTAGTTTATCATCTTTAATAAGTGTTAAAGCAGCTTGCATGACTTCTTTGCATAGGTGCAAGCCCATTTTTATTGCATTGATGAAAAACATTTGATGAGTGTAGCACTCTTCGACTTTTTCTGAAGTTGAAGGTGTCATGTCAATAAGCCTGAGAGTTTTCAACGATTTCAGTGCTACAGTTTCTGAGGGGCAGGATGTAAGGACAAATCTGAAATCAATTTTCTATGACTGCTAAAACTGAACTTTCTTTTTAATTTAATGAATAAATTTTTAATTTACCTGGCAATTGCTGGCATAGCACTTTTGTCAGAATTATTTTCCAATAAGTTCAGAACTTCCTCTCTAAGCTCTTCTCTATAATCTTTTCCTAAAACAAGATTATGAATACAATCAAGAATTATGTTAGTAAGTTCACTATTTCTCTCCATTAGTTTAATAAGTATTTCAGCAGCTGCACGATGTTGCACATCGGTTATAATATCAGGAATAAATACAATTATTTCTCTCTGAAACCATTCCGGAGAAGAAGTTAAAAGCTCTTCAATTCTGCTCATAAAAATTTCTGGTTCTACCATTATTTCTAAAAATCGAAACTGTTGAAGCATTGTTAACGCCCATGAAGCCTCATCAGATGAGTCACTGCAAAAAGTATACAGATATAGTTTTATAGTTCTATGCAACAGTATATTTTAAATAATTGATTTTAAAGCTAAGGTTTATGATTTATAACTCAAACATACGTTCCAACAACTGCATGAACAAGTTTCTGAATTAAACTGTTCATAATATCAGTTTGGAATTGGGGTACTTGAAGTAGAACTCTAGCTAAAGAAACAGCTTTGGAGCTAACAGCTACTCCACTATCAGTTTCTATTTTCATTTCATAAATAGATTTTTTCAAATTTTCTTCATTCTGTATATGTTTATTCCAACATGATAAAACTTCATCAACGTTAAATTCCCCTGCTGCTAGTACTTCTTTCATTTTATGAATTACTTCTTGTGCATTGGCATCTGAAATGAGAAAAAGAAAAATTAAACTTTTGAGTTCACAATAAGTTCTCCATACAACTTACTTGCAGTGTGTAAGCTTTCTTCACCATCCTCTAAAGTAATTCCAGTTTTATTCAGAAACTTTTCAAATTCATCGCCCGCTGAATTTGTAGGCTTATTTTTTCTGGTTGTAATATTTCTTACTGGACTAAAATTTCTTAATGGACTTAATTCTGGTGATTCTGTAATTCTTCCTCTTTGTTCTTTTTCTTTGATTGGAGTTTTTTTTGCTGGAGTAGGACTTTTTTGTGGTACTGGTGATAAACTTTTTTGGCGAATTGGGGATGGGCTTTTTTGGGGAGTTGGTACTTTTTTTTTGTCTTTTCCTTTTTTTTTCGTAGGAGTGAACTCTAAATCTGAGAACGACATTTCTGACTCGTCATCACTTTCACCAACAATGGAGCTTAAATCCATTTTTTTTTCTTTATCTTTTTGAATTGTGTCTTGTTGCTTTTGTTTTAAAGCATTTTTTCGACTAAGCAGCGAACTAATGACTTTTTTTGCTGGTTTTACAGGTTCATTATCTGTCTCCATAATCTGGTCAGATTCACTGTCGTCATCCTTAGATTTTTCAAGTTTCTTGGATTTTTTTTTATCAATTTTACTTTCAGCAGCAATTTTTTTTTGGCTAGACATCAATGGTGATCTCAAATTCATTTTTCTGTACTTCTCAACAGACGATTCACTATTCTGACTTAAATTGGAGGAATTATCAATAGCTGCCAAAAATCCTTTTATGAAGCCCTGTTTTTCTCCAGTGGATTCGGTATCGTCATCCGAATCGTTGGACACGGCCTTTTGTTTTTTCTCACCTTTGTCTTTTTTTGTTGGAACCTTAGAGGAACGTGGTGGCGGTAATTCTGGCGAACTTTTGGGGGATTTTCTTTTATCCTTACTTTTTTCATCATTGTCACTGTCTTCGTCGCTGTCATTCACGATATTGCGCTTTTTCTTTCGTATATTAGTTGGGATGTCGTCGGGAGATTCGGCTCGAGTACTAGCACTTACGTCCGATTCCTCGTCCTTTTTCTCCTCGTCGTCGGAATTTTTACGTTTTCGCGAAGCATTAGATTGGCTAAATCGGGCAAAAATGCTACTATTTTCTTTTTGTGATCTCTGAGAAAAACTACCACCACTGCTTGTTGTAATTGACAACTGACTTGAAGCCGAAATTTGTTTATGCAGTATTCCAGTATTTCGGGACTTCAACTTACGCCTATCCATTGTGAATGGGCAGTCGAAAGACTATATCAACACAATAACAGAAAGTAATGTTGCACTTGGCTTTGCGTAATGTGGTGCACTTTTGCAGTTTGTATTCGAACAAGTCGAAACAGGTTTTGTTATTGGTTTGGAAAGCGCGTGGCCGTTGATGCAAACCTCCTGTTTCGCGGTATAAAAAGCCGACAGTGGCTGTCTGCTAGGACGACACAGCAGCGCGATAGGGAGTGAAGTTTCCTGCAGTTCGCGCAAGATTTCGAAATTGCATTGTTTGATCGCCGACCTGATATAAATTGTTTAACAGCTGAAAAAATTAATTGTTCTAATAGAATTGTTTCATTGACAATGGTGACTACCATTTTGATCCTATCGAGTTTTTATACTCGTTAATTTTGTTAATTGCCAAAATTAATTTTGATCCCCAACTAAATTACGAAAAAAGTTTATGATCCGTGGCTTTTCAAACATAACTTTAATTTTGTAGCACATCGGTGAAGAATATCATTTTCACAAAAAACAATTTCTAACGTAATTCAAATGTGGCGCTTCCTACTCCCTAGGCGACCAACAGTTCAGAAATGCTCCGCCAGAGCTGTCAAGAATGTAACGTATCATCGGGCGCATCAAAACAATTAAAAATAAAGCCATACAAATACAAGTTCCGTGTTGCCGTGATTAGTTCGTGAGAGTTTATTTTTATAACGTCTGTAATGATGGCTTTGAGCTGCACAACTGCAGCATCCTTCATTTCATTCGATAACTGCACTTAATCATGAGCTTTTAAAAAAGAGTAGGCGTTGTTAGTCATCATCCGGGCATAGCCGCATAAGTAATGCGTGAAGTAGCTGCAAATGTTTGATTTCACAACTCTGCCAATAAATATTATCATAGATTACAGCTGATATAACATCATTGATTGCTAATGAGTTAATGAAGAAAATTATATGCATTAAACTATGTATTTGGAACTTTACGACGTATCAAGTGTAGAATAAACGTATGTTGAACTGACTTTCGTTAGAAGTTACTCAGTGAATATCTTTTTATCCTGCTATTTATTGTACATGAGTCATGGCGAATTTTCTGGCAAATCAGGAAGATGTCAAACTGACAATACCCAAAGCAGAAACTAATGATGGAGTCACATTTTACATATTGGAAGTACAAATTGCATCTCACAAATGGACTGTCAAACACAGGTAAATTTGTTTACATGAATTTTCAATCATAAAGTTTAAAAATAAAATTAATCAATAAAATGAATTTTATAGGTACAGTGAATTTGCAGAGCTTCATGATATTTTAGTTATGGATCATTGCGTTGAAAAAGATATCTTACCACCTAAAAAACTCATTGGTAATAAATCAGAGGCATTTATTGAAAAACGACGTGTAGCTCTCGAATCATACATCAATTCTATTTACACTTATCTTAAGAAGATTATGCCATTACCCTTGGCTAAATTTTTAGAGTTACATGTCTATGAAATTTTCTTTTTGTTGCAAAGTTTAGCAAGTAACTTTTTTACCAATGGTGTGAATCTTCTGCAAGATCCAGAAGGTCATACTTTTGAAGTAATACAGGTAAAATATTTTAGATTTTTAAACATTTTTGTAAATTAAAATGATAATGATTTATAATAACTTTACAGATGCATGCTATAAGTGAAAGACTGAAACAACCACGCCCTTTGTTGGAAGTTACAGATAAAAAATATGATTTTAGTCATGTGTTGGACTTTACTTCTCATTTAAAAAAACTTACTGTAATGGGAACTAGTTCAGTTTTTGGGACAAGCAACATATATCCTTCTACTCTTAATATTGAATTCACAAGTTTCAAAAATGTAAGTCATTTAACTATTGATAATTATCCAGTCGATAAAATCTATCACATGGGAAACCTGCGTGACACTGTAGAAGTTCTCAAAGTGCATAATGCCAAGCTTAGAAATATAGTTGAATTAACCATGTGTGAAGAAGTGCATAAACATATCAGTTCTGCAAACGATTCTCATGTCTGGCTTAAGGTCACTCAGTTGGATTTAAGTGATAATCAAATTGAAGTTATTGATGAAGCAATAAAGCTCCTACCACACATTGAATCTCTTATACTAAATAATAATAGACTAAAAGAAATATCCAATGTCACTCTATTGCCAAGATTGTCTCAATTGCATTTAGCGTCAAATAATTTCACCACTTTGCCTGAAAATCTGTACACAAAATTAGGCCAAATTGTGTACATTGATTTATCACGAAACAATTTAACATCCCTTGCAAGTTTTTCTAAACTGTACTGTCTTGAAGGATTAGATGTCAGTTGTAATAGAATAGAAGATATTCAAGAAGTAAAGCACCTGGGTGGTTTGCCTTGTTTGGAAAGTCTTAGGCTTACTGGTAACCCAGTATCAACTATAATTGATTACAGAGTGAAGGTATTGGAGCCTTTTGGTAAAAGAGCTGCTGACATTCATCTTGATAATGAAAAGCCTGATCAAAAAGAACTAGACACTGTTTCAGTTCTTCAAGCATTGAGAATTGCCAGAGAAGGAAAATCGCCAACATATAGCACAAGTGAAGCTCCACTTTTTTCTGCTGAAATTCCTATTGTGTGAAACGAAAAATCAGAGAAAACCCATAAAATGGTATTTTTATCTCTTGACAAATTTTATAATAGCATTGTTTTGCACTAACTAGATTAGTTCTATTTATTCTTTTTGATTTTGGTCAATCAATTCAATGTACGCGTTGACGACCGTTTTGTTTCCACTTCTGGTAACTAAAACAAAGAATTAGATGTAAAAATGTACATAAGTATTTAAAAGAATGGCAAATTCTAAAGGAAATCTATTTTAGAAGTGAATTTGAAAAGAAAATTTATTTTATATAGGTAAGAATCTAATCTATAGATACGTTTGTAATACTTATTCTAAAAATTAATTTATATTTTGATTAATAATATAATAAAATAGAATTATACTCACAAGGTATAACATTGTAAATAAAAGCAACAAAATATTTTGTTATATAATAAATCGTTAGTTTGATGAAAAATCTGTGATTTATTTTAATGACTCACAATCAAATATTTTTATCAACTTGATAAAACACAATAATTAGTTAATAAAGGTTTGGGTCAAAAAATTAAATGATTCCGTTTCGATTTGTTACCAATAATTTATTGACTTCAAAATTGTATGTGTTCTCCAAAATATTAAAATATTCATGAATAAAATTATGTAATGTTTACATAACACTTTAGATCCTATTTTCTAACGTACATTAAAAATAATACACTGGTGCATTTCGCTGGCGAAATTTTACACAGCGTTTATTTCTTCAAAAAAGCTACGGAAATTTTGTATAAATGATTATGTGTACTTTAGGTCAAGTACATCCAATTAGAATAGTTTTGATTTTCAATTTTTCATCAATATCACAACTAATTTTATACTTTCGGTAGAACACGGCGTCGTAATTGCAAACAAAAAGACATGTACACATTTTAAATGAATTTTCCCTCGGTCTCGATTATAAAAGCCAAATCATCTAACAACTCTCATTATCATCGAACATTACGTAGAACAATATTTATATTTTTGTATTTATCCATAAATTTTACAATTATATTCATACATAAACTATATATTAATCTGGTGAGCTGCTACACCTAACGTCTAGCTTACGTGAAATATGTAGGCAGATCAAAGCGTTTGATACGTTCAAAATACGTAATGCAGCAGTACATTAAGTAGCAATTCGATGATTTATTTACGCTAAAAGTTATTACAGCAATATCAAAGTTACAAGGCACAGAGCAAAGTACATAGTTCACAAATTCAGCTGTCGTGTATTGGAAATAGACGTCATTTTTACCATTAAACAAATTAAACATTATTTCAAATTCACATTGCTTTCTGGATTTACAATCGACGAATATTTATATAGCTCTGAGGATCAATCGCACCGAGACGAAGGGATGCACATAAAAGTTTGCGCGATGAGAAATCAAAGTATAACAAATATTACACGATAAATATCATTTTTACCAGTCACAGGTAGCGATAACATTAATTAAAAGTAGAATATAATAATGAAATAAGTTATATAAAAAAAGAATGGACACCTAACACGCGTTCGACACGATCATATAGTTTGTAAAATAAATATATATTTATATTTTCTTTTTCTCATACATATATTTATAATAATATATCATTATTATAAATCTTTGCTGGTGTTATCCATCGCGTGAGTGTATTTCGTGTTTTTTGTGTGTGTATACGTGTTCGTGTGTGTGTGGGTGTGTTGCGTGTCGTGTGTATGTGTGCGTATGCGTGTTTGTTTCATGCATGTGCTGCTGTGTGTGTTTGTATGTGTACAAATATAGCACATCTAATCGAGGCGTCGATTCGACGTGCTACACAAGTAGTCCTCCTCTGGAGGGTCGCGCAGCGATTTACTTATGCGCGATCGGGATGAGTGTTTCACCCTGGCCGAGGGCTGGCAGTGGCGCCTCGACGGTCAACACGCCGTCTTTGCTGAGGGACGACTTGATGGTCTCGGGATTCGTGCCTTTGGGCAGCAGGAATTCACGGTTGTATTCCCTGTAGACGGATTTTGTGTCGCTCTTCTCCTCGTGTTTGGCGTGTACCTATATAAAACAGAAGAAAAACAGGCGGCATAAGTTAAGTGTCCTGTTCTGTATGAATTCGTATAGCAAAAAGCAACACAACGAAGGGCGTACGTGTCGAAATTTCAAATTTAGTTGTTCGTTTGTTCTGTCTCTCGGTCATTATAACATTTCGAAAAGTCACGACGATGAATTTGCGTTATATTGTACCTGTCCGCTTACGTACAGACGTACGTTATATTTTCGCTCTCGTTCTTGATATTTTTCTCCCGCGAATACTACTCGAAACGAGGTCGGTAGCGTATCGATATTAGCCGCAATCGCGTATACAGTAGTGCGGGGCTTTCAGGCTATGCACCCCGCGTATAGTTCACAGACTCGCGTGTGTATACTTACTGTACATTTCTTCCGCAGTGCATATCGCGAGAAATATATATTGCACACACCGATCGATTCGTAAATCGCGTGTGTGTGTATTTACACTCGCTTCCGTTTAATTCTGTAACACCGAAAAATGTAAAGCTGCAGCAAAGTAGGGGCTCTACTTATGTCAGATCGAATACTATTGTTTTTATTGCCTCTTACTTCGATCCAGGGATGGCCCCTACTGGGCTAGATTGACGCTGTATCGTTGTTGCAGAATCGAACGAAAGCGAGTGTAAGCGTCATGACTGCGTGACACCCCCGCAATTCTCGGCGCCGTGACTCATTGCACTCGTATTTTCATTGAACCAGAGAGTGAGAGAGAGAGAAAAATTCGGCTCACACGGGCGCGCGCGTGGAATATTATGAAATTTATATTTTTGCGAGTCTCGCAATTATTATTTCGCGCGCGCGAGGCAAAAGAGAGATGATCCCATCGCCGTACGATGAATCAGACGAGAAAAACTTGCAATAATGTAGTGGGCTGCTGCCGTGAAGAATAGCGTGCCAATTGCCGCTTAAACAACAATTACATTCAGCTGTATTCACGCGGCTGATTTTTTTGTACTTCGAAAATGAAATAAGTGTTATTTTTTGCTTTATAAAGAGCGTAAGCAAAAGCGAAAAAAAACAGAACAAAAATCGGTGAGCGCAAGATTGCCTCAGTGATTATATCGCCCGAATAGTTTGGACGATCTATTTAGGTCAACGATTTGAAAAAAAACCGAAAATATCAAACTAACCGATCAATCTAGAAAAATCGTGCCTCTTGATTCATATCAACGCAATTCTCTACTCTTCAGAGAGAAATCTTAGAAGCTTAATAATATCAAGTATAAACTTGTACAAGCCTGACCGAATTAAATATTTGCAAAACCGTTTTCGGTACTATTGCGTTACTCGAATATTTCCGAACTAAATTTCTGACACAATGGATCGTAAAATGCCTGCTCTAGCTCGGCGTTTTGAGAGATAAAGCGGCCCTTAATTTTATTCTACAAGCGTAAAGGACGCGGGTGTAAAATATTTTATCGCTGCGTCCTCCGGCGTCCGAGAGACCTTGGGACTAAGAACTAGGTCGTACGTGCGTCGATATGACGCTGCACGCAGAGGCAAACCTCGTCTATGTGCCCGGGAAAATATTTGCCTCGATGGTCGATTTCTTCGGGAAATGTAGGACAACGAGTTTACAACCCTTTCGTGTAGAAAACAAAACGAGTGACGCGCCCTGCATGTATTTGCAGTTGCTTGTTGTTCTTTCTGAGCTTCTTTTTTGTTCCATTATACGCGCATGTTTACTTGTTATTGACTTATCTCATTTGGTCTCTTATATAGAAATGCTCAACATTTCATGACTAGTTTTTGGTCAATGAAAAAGTTTCTTAAACTTAAAAGGGCTATTAGCACTAGAAATGCACTAATCATAAGCTTAATGTTTTTCAACAATTTAAGATCATATGATGCTCGTCGTTTTTTTTTCTATTTAATAGCTATTTATAAAACAATTATTTTTACGAAAAATTTCCCGATAAGCATGTCGACAACGAATGAAACCATTTTGAATTTCAGCAAAACCTTGACCTTATAGAATTATTTTTACTCTGCCACTTGCAGGTTTACTGATAAAGTTACTCGACACCTAGCGGAGGAGGCTGAAAGTGGTACAATCACATTTAAAGCAATTGGAAACTGGTCTTGGTTTTTTAAAACAGTTAAATTGTCGTTTTTAGGTAATTTAAAATGCGCTTAATATTTTAAACTTGTTTGTAACAGAAAAATCGCAGAAACCAAGCTAATTAATGGTGATGTATTTCAAAAGTTACTTTTTTGGTCGATTAGCCCCCATCAATGTTGAGAATTTCTATCAGGGGCTTGCTAGCTAGATAAGTCAATTCAAGCCGAATCGATTATAATCAATAACAACTCAATGGGGAACGAGCCCCACCTTTGAAATGATAAAAAAGCAAGCATTCAATAAGTTGGTTCTATCTCGTCAGCCACACGGCCCGGGGTCAATTTCAGTTCCGCGTTTCGAAATAAAAATTAAGCTCGACGCGTTGCTCAAGCACGATTCTCGAAAAAGGAAGCGCTGCCGCGTGCCTGTCCTCGACCCTGGACGCTGGCATAATAATTCGCAGATATCGATCTCTCGCATGATACACACATACACATAATACATTTAAATTAACCGGAAATATGCGAAGGAAAAACAAAAATAATGATATATGTTCCTGCGTGGCCCCACCAGCTGAATTTTTTCTCGTTTTGCAGTATATATACCGATGTGGCGCATTATTTGTTGCCAAAGGGATTCGATTAACGCGTCAATAAGATTGCACTTGGTGTGAGTTATTGTGTGTCAGTTCGGTCTCATTATCATCGTCATTACGATCGACAGATTTAACTGCACAGATCGGCGCACGTGTGCGTACACAACGAGCGCGTAGCCTTGACAAGCTATTGTGTGTACCGATTTTTTCGCTGCGTACACACGCGCCGAGATGCAAAAGATCGCAAGCTCTCCGTATAATATTCATTATCTTAATGTACAATTACGAATTAACGACGGCACTCGAAAATGATGGATCGGCATTTGCGATACGTCAAAGTTTCAAGTGGCGTGCACGGTTGGTGTGTAGCACGTACACATAAGTCGGTATCATCGGCCGTTATAATTCAAGCTCGCGCGGATCGAAGTTTCAGTCGCGCTCTATAATATGTAGAGCCCCCCTCGCGCACACCACGCGATCCTAATTGCATTACGTAAAAGGCGCTAACGCGTTTTCTGCACTGCAGCTCGTGTGATAGGCGTCTACGTGCGCAGCGCTGGAAAGTTCTCGCTTCGTGCACGTATGCACACGACGACGAGAATACATATGCGAGTACTCGCTCGAGTAGGCATATGGTATGCGCACATCAAAGCTGTACACCGGGCTTTAATCACGCCCGAGCTTTTTGAGATTTTACGCGCGTTACCGAGACGAAGAGACGCGCCTTAACGACGAGTGCTGCGATGCATTAAACAAGCTGTGCGCATGTACTACTCATATAAATAATACATACGAATCGTAAAGTCGCTATGGCGTAACTTGCGAAGCTTTTTCAAGAGCATCGAGTACATTAGCCAGACTTATATATTGGACGTACGCGATCAAAGCTCGGGCCGCGCGTATATCTCCGCGCTTAAACGTTCCACGCATTTAGATTTGGACTCGAGATTTTTTTCTCGTCATATTAACATTCCCCAAACCTGACGCGTAGCATAACAAACGTCAGCCATGAATTTGCGCAAACGACGAGCAGCAGCAAGAGGGTCGAAAAAAATGAAACAGCTACGGCTCGAAGATTCGCGTGTTTGCGCTCGTAAAAGTCGTGCCGTAGTTTGGTTCGAGATAGAAAAAAAGAAGAGCTGCGCGTATAGCCGGAGACGCGCAGGCGACGAGTAGCTCCAAGTATCGATCTACGACCGAGAAAAAGTTTCGTACCGTCAAACTCACGACATTTATATTTCGTCTAGATAAATGTAAAGCTGCGCTATATTCGGTGTATCAGTTCGACAAAACTTCGAGCCGAGCGAGAAAAAGACTCGACGGCGTATATAACGCGACTTCCCACGCAATATCGCTGGATCAACGCTCGCCTCGAGACTTTCACAACGCGCGAATACGTATAATATATGTGCACAGACGTCCGACTAAATGTCATATGTATAATCGCGCGTACATCGCACTGAATGTCGTAGTCGAGAATATACGAAATTTGTATGTATACATGAGCGTTGAAAAAAAACAACAAGTGGCGTTTATGCGTACACTCGCGCGCACAAGTTACGCTAATTGGTAAGGCGTTTTTAATAGTCTTCTCTCGAGCGCGGTGAGAGAGAAAGAGAGACAGCCTTTAAATGACAAATTTTAAGATTCAAGCGCAAAAAACTCGTATTATACGCGACTGCTCGTTGCTCGAGCGAATATTGGCTTTCACGACCATTTTTGGTAACGCAGGCTCGCGCCTTGCGAACGTATGTATCTCGGAAAAGGAGGCGAGGAGGAGAGTAGCACGAGATGAAGCGAAGAAAAAAGAGAGACATTTCTAGAGAGATGTCGAGCTTATTGACACAAAAAGTAATAAGCGTCGAGAGCGAGCCGTGCAAAAACGGAGAGATCAGAGTGTCTTGAGTGCGCGATGACGCAAGACAAGTCGCACCTCATCACGATTCCCATGATTCTTTCTCTCTCTCTCGTTAGCTCACTCAGGCTTTAAAGCTGTTTTATAAATACAGTCGCGTATCTTTTTTTTCACTTGCTCTCTTCCTCCGAGAAATAAAAAGTGGAGGAGCTGCAACTCGATCGCTACACACCCTTTAAAGGACTGACACGAATTATTTCCTCCACACCGCAAAATTGTCGACGACGACGACGAGCCTTGACCAAAATTGCCCGCGACGCACTTAAACGGCACCGCTAACGCGCAAAGCACGTACATTTTATACCTATACATAAGATATACACGAGGGTTTGCTTGTGCTGCGCGCATTATCGTCTAGCGCACTCGCCGCGCGATCGTTGCTTTGCTTATACATACATACATAAAATGTGCAGAAGCCCGAAGGCTGTAACCTGGAAATCGGTAGCCGCGCGCGCTCGAACTGCAAGGCACGTTTATATAGAGACCTACTTATGGCTATTTTCGACTCGCCAATGTCTCATATGTATATGATACACGCGGCAGACAACGCGCGGTTGTCGCTCGCTTTTTTGTGTATGATAAATTTATACAGAAAGACGCGTAAGGCAAAATCCATAGATTCGTTCTTTTTTTTGACAATTCGACATTTTATATACACTCCTTGCACGAGCTTATACACGAAGTAACGTATTTCATGCGTGCACGTCCATATGCTTTTATAATTTTAGGGCGCGTTAATCGCTCGATAATTGATTTCACGAGAGAGAACGATTTTAGCTCGATCGCGAATCGTGCGTGTATTGCTCACGCGCACCGCTGTCTATAAAAAGGGCTGACGTCACTTTTTTAAATGCACAACCGAAGACGGATATTTAAATTTATATCGGTAAGCTCGTCGCCGGCTCGTGGTGTATTTATTTAATCCGACGTTGACGATTCAACGATAATAATTATACGTCCGCGACGGGATGAAAATTAAATTTAGCTGTTAAAATATATTTGCTGTTACAAGCTGGCTCGAGCGTATCCTGTGACATCTACATAAATCGCGAGCATGTTGCAAAGTTCATACTTTGTCTATGGAAATTTCGTTCGCTCCAAAAAATTGCCTCGATCGACTGGGGGCGGAGATTTGAAAAATAAATTGCGTATGCGGCATCGCCCTAAGGCCAATGTTTACACTATACACGTTCGCGAGTCAAAGCCGACGCACTTGTACGTGTATACGAGCGAATAATTAGACCGCGTTAGACACAAGCAGTCGCCCAAGTCCACACAGCACACACACACGACTCGACCCTAATGCATTAACTGCACACACACGCGAGCTGCCGAGTCTTGAGTTTCATATAGCATGCATTACTACGGTGGCCTCGTTCTTCTCGCGTCGTGTGTGCCTCCGCGCGCGCGTTTATAACAGCTCGGCCAGCTGTATATGCACGTAAAAGCGTAGGGGTTTTTCGCGTGCGCGCAGATCAATCGCTTCCTCGAGTCGATATATACGTACTATAAAGTTCGAGAGGCACACGGCGAGACGAGGATGGATATGAGAAGGAGAGAGATTTATTATAGTACACGTTTATAGCCGAGGTAATTGCAATGTTCCGCGATGTACGTGAGATATTGCACGTGGATGTTGTGTGTTGCGCTGCTGCTGCTGTGCTTTTCATCTTTTCTTTTTTTGGGCTTTAACTGTACGACCGATGCTTTGTACACGCCTGTCGTGGTATATAACTACGATGCCATTACGTAACGGACGATCGGCACGGTGAAAAGCAATCAAAAGTATTGAACGTCTATTATATTTAGCTCGCGCGGTACTTGTATACCGATTCGAGAAAACTGCAGATCGACGCTTAGCTCGTCACGATTGGGCCCTTTGTTTCATCGTTACATTCTCTTTTTTCTTCGAGATCGCTTATAATCAGCGCACAAATCTAAAAGAGCGAGCGCGAGAGAGCGTAATACACACAACGGGGCTCCTATAACGTCCGTTAGCGCGAGGCATTTATTTTCGGAGAGCCGGTTTATTTCGGGAGCCGAGCGCGATCGCGCCTCGCAGCAGCTCGCCATCGTCGCGGGGGTGTGCTTGTGTGTCTGTTTATGTGCGAGTGCGAGAGAATATAAGAGAGCTTCTCTTGTGATATTATTTTACAATACACGATGGAGGTTTAAAAATACACTCGTAAACTGAAGTTTTCATTGGTTATCAACACTCGAAGGTAAAGATAGAGATGCTGTGATTTTTTGATCGAAAGAAAAGCAGCCGCGACGGTGTCCGCGACCGAAATGCAGAAAAGTCGTAAGTTGGCGCCAAACTCTCTCTCGGGCGGTAAATGCCAGACTTTGCGCAACGCGTATTATGCATAGCACAGATTCTTCGCGAGAAATACACGCATATGCGCGCACAGAAGCAGCATCGCGGCTTACATATATTTTACTCGTTCTTATTTCGCGCGGGGGCTTCTATACGTTGTATACCTACATTGCGAGCGCGCCTCGAGTTCTGTTGCCTTGGCATTTCGACACAGTCAACGCGAATTCGAGCAGCGAGATGAAAAACGAATCGTTTTGTAAATTTTGTATATTATGACGCTGTTCGTGCCAGAGCTTAAGCCACACGACGAGAGCACGGCTCATTAGTCGAAATTTTCGAATTCACGTAGGTATATGTTGCGCCTTGCTATATATTGCGAATATATACTCACGAGAAGCTTGTTGTCGACGGTTTTCACGACGATCTCTTCGGGCGTGTACTGCGACACGTCGAATCTGAGCTTCAGCATTTTGTTGTCGCCCTCGTCTTGGATCAATGGACTGTTCAGGCCATCCAACCAGGTGTTATTTTCGTGGTTCTGCGGGCTCAACGAGCTGTTGTGGCTGTTGCTCGATTGTGTCGTTGTGCTAAAGGGAGAGAACAAAATACAACGATATTAGAAACAATAGTAATCCGTGGATATTAGTTTTTCTTTTTTTTTTTCATCTTTCGGAAAATAAAATCGTAGTATTGTGCGTATCAGCGGATGATTATAAAAGCTCGCTGAGGTCAAATTGACGAATTGTATAAAAAAGACCTAATGCCTATAAATGATAGTCACGATTTACGCGGACGTGTGAACATTTTTTTTTTTTTTAACTAAAAGCCAAGTACATAATATCGTGCGTGTTGGTGAATGTTTAGATGACAGTAGCGATGAGCGCGATAATTAAGCGAATGAAAACTGCGATGTATGAAACAAGCTGTATGAGACTAAATATTACGCCAAAATGAGTTGCGAACACAGAGAGACAATGTATGATGTACAAGAAAACGAAGCATGATGTAAAACACGTATACATTCAAATACTGCGATGATATATCTGTTTCTTTTTTTTTCTTTACAGTGTGTATATAATCTACATTTACAAAAGCTGGATCTGTCGCTGTAGCTACTTGATGCAGGTGGGATAATATGTACATAAGATGTGTGCGTGCGATGTGATTTCTGTAATATTCATACTTGACATATAGTGCGCAGATACAGGTAAAAGCCTTGACAACTTATTTTTTGCCCAAATTTGCGTCACCATACATAACACTTATAGAGGCGGCGGTGCACGCGTGTATACTGTGTGTGTTCGTGTGTGCGAATATGCAAAAACAAAACCATAACAATGCCATGTTTATTGTATATGCACATTTATATATAAAAATTGGCCAAGACCACCAGGATGTTTTGCATTTATTATTTTCTACTTATCCTCTATAGGATATAATACTCTAAAGGATCCATGCCATATGCCAACAATCTCCATAAAATATATATATCACTGCGGTGCATTGATGAGAAGGAATATCGGAGGAGTAGTATACATTCGTGTCGAGAGGTATCTCGTGTGTCAAAAGTTGATGGCGAGAATAATATCGATGCGTGATGTTGCTTGTGTGTATGTGTCACCTTTTGAAACGGTCGAAGGACGATCTCATGTGCGGTGGCAGATCCGTGCCCAACGAGTCCAGCCTACCATTGTCCCATAAACCACCACCCAGCGTAGGTACGTCGTGTTTCGAGGCCGTCGAGGTTCGGTGCTCGCTGCTACTGCTACTGCTCGTACTGTGGTGCCGGCTTCATTCGTCGTTCCGTTTTTGGTAGGTAGAATTGTCATGCGATCATGGGTGGCTTTGTTAGTATCAAGAGACAGAGATAGACAAAAGGATCGAGAGACAGACAGAGAGAGAGAGAGAGAGAGAGAGAGGAAAGAGAGAGAATTGCAGATAGAGTACGAAGGGCGAAAAAAAGAGGCTTATTTTACATTATAATACTTTGCAAATTACTTTGTATAAAAATCGTCATTTTTTTTTAAATTTAGCTAAATCGCTGTAATGTTATTTCGATAGATCGATGATGGAACCACTTGTTTTTGCACCTTCGAGACATAAGAAAACAATCTTCGCAAGCGCAAACATTATTTATATAATCGCAGCCACTTTTTAGCCATCGTCGCGTTAGAGCTGCTTGCCGTCCGTCAACGTTTAATTAGCGTCGAAGTTCACATGAGAGGATGTAATTAAACGCTGACGGACAGGCTGTGCTGTACGACGACGGAAAAAAGACGGATATCTGCTTAATTCGCAAATAAAAATGCATTCAAATAAGTACATACTGACAATTGGTCATAAAAAAATTACATTCGTGTCAAAAGCTTTCATATAAAATTCTTGTTTGTCCAAAGTTAACGTAGGTCATGGTATTCTCGAGCTTTCTAGAAGTATACTCATAGATATAATATAACGTGCAAGTTTTCCGGCTTACACGTGCGTTTATGCATTATATGGGTTTACTTCCTAGTGCTTTTCTAATTTTAACCCTGATACCTCCTTCCATCCCGAAATAAAGCTCAAGTTGAGTACATTGTATACGGGCAAATGATCGAAGAAAGGAAGTTCAAAGACTCCCAAGAAACTGACCCCTCCTCCGTCTTTCTCTATGTGATGTGACTGGAGGCGTGTACATACACGGTCGATTTCTCTCTCGATTATTTTTGGAGCAAAAGTCAAAATTCGAGGACAGAGAGTACTGACGTGAATTTTGTATATTCATGGGATTACCACTTTTTGGCGCTGCGTGCAGAGACATGGAAAGCAGATGTTTTTGTTTTGTCCGCGTTCATATAATACGAAATATCCCCTCGTTTCTATTATAATACTTCCTTAACAACATTATTATAAGCACGATTGCGAATACGAATTTTCACCCCAAGGGTTTCGAGGAAAAAAAATTGTCTCGAAATCCCCGACTCTTCGTATATTGTTTTAGATCGTATTTCTCGTGCATCGGATCAGATAAAAATCGTCAATGTTCCGAGGCACGCTACTAAAGAGTCACACACATTTTTTTCCGAGTCAATAATTCCGTCTTCGCGGACTTGGTTTCTTGTGCTCTAACTCACGCGCAGAGTCGCGTTCCTCAACATTTTTATCTGTTTATGTTCGTAAAATTTGCATACCAATATATACAAGCTCGAGTCGAGTCGCTAGAGACTTTTAACACAGAAACAAAACAAATACAATTCGCTGCTTTACAAAGAATTTCGTGCTATTATGTGGAACGTCATTTACACACAAGCGCTATCGTCATTATACGTCGACAGCTATGATCGAACATTATGTCTTCAATCAATTGATTTAATGTACATGTACATTTATATACACACAGACACGTATACATGGGAGAGATAAAGCTTACACGAGCAATTACATTTAAACGATAGATGATGCAAGCTTAATACGTAATCTTGCGGGCGTAATTCAAAGTTTTCCGCTTTCCGCACGGTACCGATGCGGAAGGAATCGGATTTCGCGAAACTTTTGATCGAAAGTCGTGCGCGCCAGATACTATATCCCAGGCCGACAGACAGCCTGAGAAAGAGCGATCGCGCAGAAGTTCGAAAGCTGAAAATTGCCTAGTTAATTCAACGGGATCACGCGAAGAGCGTCCGAGAGTTTAAAGCACGATTGTTTTCGTGTCGTGCAGCAGCAACAGCAGCAGCGCACATATAGGTATAATCTTACAGTGAGCTTTTCAGCGTGCCGTGCAGTCGAGTGTGTGTCTTTTAATTATAGTGTACACGTTAAATGGTTTGGTGAGCACATTGATTTTTTATGTCACAGCAGATTCATCGATACCTATTGGAGAGCGACGATCATCTGTACCTGCGCACGTTATACGCACATTATAATGCACACAATGGCTCATTGTAGCGTGTCGCGCGCGTAGATGGTCAAGGGCAAGCAGCCGCGGCGAACCATATAATAATATATAAGTACGAAGTTATTGTCACCTGGCTCTATACATACGAAGCCGCAACGATGTGTGCATGTGGAGAGATGACTGTGCGTACGATATTTAAAATTGAAAGCAGATGCAGATATCTCTGTCTCTCTCTTTAACTCTCGGGCGCGAGTGGGATTACTTATGTTGCGCGGCTTATATTCGCCATAGTGCGTATATTTCTGTATAAGCAGCGGGTCATGATCGCATGCATAATAACTTGGGCGCTATTGCACTGACGCAACGTCGACGCGATCGTTTCGTATTATACACACATAAAATCAGATATATATTATGAATATTACGCGTCACAGAGAGAGAGAGAGAGCAGCCTGGAGTTGTAATAACGACGAATGCAGCGCGCGACGATTCTAGAACAAATTGTTTCGCTCGGCGAGCATTATATACTATCGAGTTTTGAAAAAATGTGTGCGTAGATAACATCCGAGTGTGCGGCGCGGCTCATCTCGGATTACGATGTAATAATATCAGCGAGTCGTTGTCGTGCGAATTTATATAGCTGCGCGCGCGGACGACCAAGTCGAGAGGACGTCGCGACGCTTTAATTGACGTTTAATCGCGTATAAGCTCGGCTCGCGCTAGATCGAATTATATCTCGACTTTGTCGTTTTACGATCGACGCAATTTACGCGTCACATGCACTTATAATAATATACACGTTCCGAGCGGCGCACGTCCACGCGCAACGTTACGAATCCTCTCGTTGCGCGAGGTGCCTTGGTTATAAGTGTGTGTGTGCGTTATTTTTGGAGGATTATCATCGAGACTGGAAAGTGTATAATCGTGAGTGCGTTAACGAATCGTGTAAGCTCGAGATGTAAGACAAGCCGAAATCGATGTTATTGCGCAGAGATCGTTGCGTGCGAAAATCGGAAATGCAGCAGCGATTGCGTAAGCGGTACACGGTATGATATTTACATATTGTGAGATTTTTTTGTAATTTGCGAGATGAATCTTTTAGAAAATCGTGATGAGGGGTTGGCGGTGTATTATGTACCGATCGCGTGCCTTGAACAATCCCAAATCACGACGATCTTAATGATACATCAGCGCAAATTAATGTACACGAACGAAGAAACGTTTGAACCTACCGATACTTGAGCGTAGTTTTGTGCTTCGGTGGATAGAGATCCTCGTCCCGATAAATCGACGTCTTGGACATTTTTTGCAACGTTTAAATTACACACTGGCTTGGAAAAGGAGCTCGGCAGCGAACGAACGATTCGCGCAGACTACTGCTGTAAAACTGAATATATATCTGTTCGCGTAGTAGAGTCCAGTGTCGAGTCTCAGCGGGTGTAGCGAGAGATCGTTGTTCCAAAGCCACGGAAAAATGACGACTGCACACGATGTTAAATATGCACCTCGCGCAATGCTCTCGTCCGCCTTCTGTTTGATGCCTATAGATGAATCGCTTCCAGCATTCATCAGCAAGCGCTGCGAGAGCGAGGCGAAGGAGGGGCGTCCGGTTAATTAGGATTGCGAGTTGGTGCTTTTTTCCATTGTACGTAATATAACATTAATAAACAGTGGACGCAATAACCACTCGTATAGCACGACTCAAGTGTCGACGAGAAGTGGAGAGAGAGAGGAGAGGACGAAATACGAAATTCAAGCACGTACGACATATAATACATAATATAAAAGCCAGTAGTTTTTTGCGCGTCGCGCTCGACTGAGTGATTGGTGACACACACGCGGTATGAGGTGGTCCATCGAATCGAGCACTTCGATGTACAATTCAAAGGAAGAAAAAACTGTTTATAATGTTGCACGACTGGAGCCACGAGTGTGTCCGCACGGAGAAAGCGTGAGATTAATTTATGAATTTTAAACGAGCTTTTGATTGAATTGGCGCGTTTGGGCGAGTTTCGCGGTCCGACAATTAAGCAATTCCAACGCGTCAAATCAGTTCCTCCATTTATACATTCATCCATTTGATATAATTTAATGACACTCATAATGAGAGAGTTTCGAGAGTGACGCGTTGGGCTCGTGCGCGAGGAGCAGAAACGAGCGTGACCTAATAATACGCGATGCGCAAATAAAAAAAACCTGTTGGACGTAGTTGCAGTAGTAGTAATCTCAACGAGGGAGCCCAAATTTTTTTTTATTCATTCAATGTGTCTGTCTGTCTCTATAATATGCTCACACATTAGCACACACATACTTGCACACGCACACGCACGGGCGCGTATTATGCTTGCGTGCATTACGTCATGTTTAATCAGTGGGAAGAGACAAGTTATGTTCTAGAAAATTTACACTGTCGGAATTGTATATGATTTATGATCGCGGAACGTGCAGCGATTTTTTTTAGAAGGAGCGTGAAAAATCTCGCGTCTCTGTCTTATAATTTTCGACGATTGTGATTTACCAATTGTCGCGCAGCTCGAGTTATTTGAGCTAGACGCGTGACTTTGTATATCCTTATTGTTGTGCGTCGCGATTCTTTGTAAAAAAATGTTTACATGACTATAGGCTTACCGATTACGCGGCTGTGTGCGAGTAATAAATTCGTTAAGATATCATTGGAATTCACGGCATTCCATGCAGTATATGTTACAAACGTGCTCCGTACTGCAGCCACTACATAATGCGCGCATTAATAAAAATCGTACGTTGAACTCGCGACTACGCGTGCACGCACGCGCATACATAGTCGAGCTATCGTTGCAGCTGCAGCGATCGGTATTACTTAATCGAATGAAATAGGCACGCGCGCGAGCCATAAAAGCGACGACGCATCAATCGAATCATACACAGTTCTCGATGTATACAAAACAATCTATAACTATGTATGCATGGATATAGGCATTATCGCATCGCAATCGGTCAGATTTTCCCTTCATATATGCAGCTTGCGCAATCGGCGGACGAGGAATCCGACACCCGCTCGTCAGTGCAACACACGCGTCGTCGTCGTCTCGACGTATGCACGCGGACGTATAAATGCATCTGTCATCGCTCGAAGGGCAGTCGAGCGCGTCGACTATATATGTACACGCACTGCAAGCGTCCACTAGCCATGCGACGTGCGTTACTGCTGCTGTAATCCAACGCGCTACGTATATATATATTGCTCGGACTCTCGCGGCCAAGGTCTCTATTTTAAAACCATATAACATACACGGCTCACACACGATGCTTGCGTAGTATATACTATACGCTGCGATGGCTATGCACTCTTGCATTGCTCCCGGGCAGGCAGGCAGGTACACGTAAGTTATAAGCCGGCTCGATACCATGTGTGCACACACGATGGCATAAACCTGAGTCATTCATTTGATTTTATGCGTACGCATGCGCTCGCTCGCCCATTTATTTCGTCATTTGCATTCGCGCGCGCGCGCGATTATATTATAGCGCACACGGATTCTGCTGTACTTTGTGTCGCGGGCGCCAACTTATAATCACCGCAACGCGCCCGCGTATACATGGTGTTATTTATTATTCCAATATGGAGTTTCTTTGCTCCTTTTATTTTTTCTTCCGTTCGTCGTACGCGAGACCGCGTAATACGTCATCGATTTTCCACGTGGACGATTCATCGCTATTTCTAATACGTCGCGCGATTGAACAAACAGTTTCGCTCTCGTGTGCGCCGCACGTGCGTGTTTACGTTGAGGCGTTACCGGATCGCCGATATAGATTCGAAGAAAAAAGCCTTCCTTCAAAAGTTTTGGTAAAAATGACCGTTTGCCCCCGCAAGCACGCGCGTATGTATAATAACCGAGTATATTTATAAAACGCTTTTGGAGAAGTGGCGTCGAAAAATCAGCGGAATCCGTCCGTTGCAGGTCATTAAAATCGCTAATATAATCGACGCGATCGCGCGACTCAAAGCTCTCAATGCGAATATTAATTTTAATGGGTCTTCGATCGTCGATATGGCGTTTTAATAAAGCTATAAAAAAGTTTTATAACTGCACCTTCGCTTTTATCCACGTCCATAAATTATAGCAGTGGCGACGACGACGTTGACTGCAACCGATCGATCGGCAAGTGATATCATTAATTTACGCGTGCGAGCTGCCTGCAGACGCTCGCGTGCGGCGACAATTAGTTTATATCGTATAAAGCGCATACGGGTTATAATTTATCGCAAAGACCGCGAGAAGTAAAAACGTAACTATACTACGAGTCGGACGGAAGGCTTTGCTGATCTATTTTTAAGTTCCCAAGAGAGGCAAAAAAACAACAAGAACGAGCGAGAGCTTTATCTGCTTCGTATCGAAGTCGATATATGACGTGCTTTCGAGACAATTATGGGGTTATAATTCATTGGGACAAGGGTCCATCTCGTACGGTACAACAGTCAGTCGGGCAAATTATCAAGGTGACTCTAATTCTAAACTTCGTTCTAAACTTTATCTTTATTACGCTCGGCCTTGATATATTGCATTTGTGTCTGCTAACGCGGAGCTCCTCCTCGGCCCGAATACCGAGAAATCGACGCGGTTGGCAAATAATTCATTATGCGCCTGATAGTTGTCACGTTGTCACACGCTGAGAGACGCGGAAGCGCGCATTGATGAATGCGTTATCGAAAATTCGGGCTATCCGGAAGAGAATCTACACATGTAGATGCTGCTGCTGATGCACATGCAGAAAAAAGCTCGAGCATCTTAACGATTCTGACCAAGGATGATTTGTTTTACGCGATTATACAATGGAGTTCGTTGTGTGTTTGTGTGCATAAGTATAATATTATGCCGAGGCAAGAAGAAAAACTCGACGTTTATGTACAACAGAGAATAAACGAGGAGAAGTGACAATGAGTTAGAGCCTCTGTGTTTTTATGTAGGACAAACAAGAATTTCAGCTCTGTACAGCTTGCGTATGTACGCGCACAATAATAAAATCGACAGCTTTTTTTTGTTTTTACTCGCTTTTACAAAAAGCGCATTATTATAATTCTAAAATTACATGTACACACAAGTGATTGCTTATCGTTGAAATTTGTTTCTCGATTATTATTTATTAATATTCATGCCGTAGTTACGTTATTTTTGATGAATTTTTAGTATTCCATGGCGCGCGCGTCAAAGTTAAAATTATCACGTCCGAAGAGACAAAGTCAACAGCATCCCCTTTTTCATATAGGCACAGGATCAATTTCACTTCTTACGAAGGGGGGGATGAAAATAGATATTCCATCGGAAAAGGTCTCACGCGCGCGTCTGAAGTATCATCGTGTGCTATACAGAAAGCCAAGAGATAAGTACCTGGTGGAGCTCTTGAAGAAGTTGGACTCGCGATTCATGAGCTCGCTGCGGAAGCGCGACATCTCGTCTTCCATCTTCCTCATCTCGGCGTCGAATCGCTCGCGAATGTTGGAGAACTCGCTGTCGATAACGCTGAAGTCGCCCAGCTTGATGGGAATGTTGCGCTTGGTACCGCTGTCGGCCATTTTTCTGGATTCGCTTTTTTTGATAATTGGACAATAAAACACTCTCGGGATCTCGACGAGACGAGATTGTTCACTTTCGATGTAATCGGTAGTACTGGCTGTCGCACCAAAAAAAACACAAGTCAATTCGGATTTGACTGACGCACTGTTGTATACTTTTTCGTTCGCTTGTATTGGCACGCGTACGTGAGAACGACTCGGGCTAGAATGAGCCCGTTACGCCGGCTGCTGCCCCTTAAATAACGTGCCATCGCCGCCACCGCTACGTGTATCTCTCTCTCTCTTTCTCTCTTTCTGCATCGGACTCGGCGTGTAGTATATAGTTTCGCACACGCTCGCCAAGAGCAGCGCCGCAGCGAAATAGCGGCGAGGCGCGCACATGCGCTCCGAAACAGACGCGACGACGGCGACTCGCTCTCGTCTCACAAATATAGCTATATATATTTAGATATCTTACAGTATACCGATGCAAAAATAATGTTAAACCATGTCGGTGTATGTGATACCGATGACTGATTAACAGGCTACTCGTTGATTTTTTTCTCAATTAATTAGCGCACTGATTTATTTATAAAAAAAGCATGATAATAATATAAGAAAAAATCAGCGAACAAATCAGTTCTATTTTTAATTCAATGATTAATTCTCAAGTCCTTGGACTACCGCATTTGAAAATTCAATTCGATCGTCATGTGTTTTTGTCTCAAGCATCGTGTGCTCCGAAAAATTGCGATTTATCAAAGACCGCAGCGATCCCTCATGAATTCTGCAAACGTATTTTTTCCCCCAAGTGAACGAGAATCACCTGCCGATAATTAGGCCTTTTTTTTCTTAACCCGCACAGCTCCGCGAATTTATGCATGAAGTGATGTTTTCGAATCGAGGCAACTGGGCCAGGTGCGGATTCATATTAGGGGCAGATACATTTCGACGTAATTATTTTTCACGCACCGATGCGGTCGACAATTAATTATATCTGCGTTCGTTTCGCAGTTGCTGCAGTTCGAGTTCCATCGACCAATATGAATTCTACTACGATTTCTCATTTCAGTCCTAAAAGTACTGTAAAATTTCAGATTTCCCGTTCGTGATGACGTTTTGATTGTATACGAGACGACAAGGACTAAATTTGGACCAATCGTGCAGCGGAAACAAAGAAAATAATAATTACATCACGAGCGCGAGAAACTGGTTTTCGCCGATGAATTTGCATTTTATCTAACGATGGCCTCTCGCGTGCGATGAACATAATATAAACAAAGACAAAGACACGCTGTCGGCGCGCGCGCGTCTCTCGGAGAAAAATCCTGCACATAATTAATTGAGCGATTAAGCCGTATAGTACGCGCTCTCGTACATCACGACAATTTCTAGCAAGTAATCGTGCGCGGCTACTTACGCTGCTCGTTCAAGACTTTGCGCGATCGCTACTTCCGGTAATCGTGCGAGTCCATAGACATTTTTGCGCCCACTTGTTCGACGCGGAGATGCTTTTCCTGTCTCCGACAGTATCATATATACATATATCGAGATGCGTCGTTACTAGCCCGTAAATTTTTTTCTCTCTTTTTTCTTTTCTTCTTCTTCTTCTATACCTCGAGTTTAACAAATTTATGCTTGAAAATATATCGAGCGTCGAAATTTATGTTTTTCGAGCGAAAATGATGAATTCGAGAGCTCGAGATGTGACTTAATGGCTTCCGATTCGTGACGCACAACACAATCGCATATATGTTAATTCTAGCGTTATACAATTTCCTAATTGACTAGAAAATTTTATTTCTGTACAGCTTCTCGGGAGTCATCGGTGAAATATTCGAAATGTTTCGGACGTAAAAACTTAGCGCACATTTTATCTATTGGAGTAAGTGTGTGCACGCGCAATTTTATGCTTCATATATTCCGAAAAACATCTCATGTTTCAAATCGTTTCAATTATTGGTCGTAAAAACCGCCTTGCGATAACGATAATGGGCCAATGGTGCTTGGGCGTGCATTAACATTCATCGTAAAAAAAGTGTCTCTCAACGTGCACCATGGCATAAAAGAGAGAAGGACGGAAAAAAAGCAAACGACGCGTATCAACGGGTGGCTAAGTCGGTGAATCTAAAAACGAGCCGACGTCGAAACAAAAGCTCGCAGTCGCTCGCCCGCGCGCCTTGCGGGGCGCATAAGCTTCTATATTTACAAGCAAACGTCAGCGCGTTGCATTTTTTTGCTTTACGATCGGAAGTATATATGGTGTATATTATGCATGTCGGCGCAGGAAAACTGGCCGCGACGCGTCATCGGTCGTCCATCGAAAATGGTCAACGCGACGACGACGACGACGTGGTGTATATTTATTATTATAATACCAACACGCGGGAGGAAGTAGGAAGACGCATCGCGTCGTTATTAAACGTTTCGCACCAAGGAAGTGGGAGTACTTGTACGTGTGTGCTGCTGCTGCTACAACATATAGGTGTCGAGCCGAGAGTCTTCCTATAGCCTTGGCCCAAAGCGTAACCCAAGAGGCATCGGCCAAGAATATAATTATGACTGTATTTATTCACGCATTGACTCGTCTGCGCGAGATTATAAAGAAGATCGACGGGCGACGCGCTCGTGCTAGCGACGACCACCTATAGATACAACACGCATGTACTCTTATATTTAAATGATGTAAGTGAGCGACATTTTTTCTCGCTGACGTGGCTCGCTCGAAATACGGCCGCGCGTAAACTTTAGCCGATCGTATTATGTATATAATAAATATATAGCGGATTTTGGAAATAAACGTTTGCTATACGCGCTTGCAAGGGCTCGTTTCGTCGGTATACATAAGACTTTAAATCTCCCGGATCGGAGCGCGCGAGAGAGCTTTGGCTCGGAGTTGCATTGTGTATAGCTTCTTAAAAATATTGCCATTACTAATCAATGTACTATGCGCTCTCGATACACCAATCGCTGCTCCACGGCTCAATGACGACGAGATGCTAAATATCGATTCGATGAAAAAAGCTCTAAATTTAACGATTGTTTCACGGACATTTGCAAGTGAGCAATATTATTGTCGTAAGTCTGGTAGTATTCAATTATTGCACACACCACGCGCTCATTACCAAATGCGTTCGTTGATATTAACGAGCTCGACGCGATTTTGTGTGCATAAAACTTTGAATATACATTATAAAACTAGAGACTTGCACGCTCGGTAATAACTGCTGGAAATACAAAATCATTGACAATTCGGAAAATGAACTAGATGTAACATTAACAGTAGCTTAATGATAAAAAAATACCGTTTAATATTTAACCATTAATTGTCTTGTAATTGGCGATTTGTACAATAATGTTAAAAATATTAGGGACATTTTAAATGACCTGAAAATGACACAATTTAACTGATTAAAAAGTTTAGGCTAGTTTTCGACCACTGTAAATACGAAACAATCACACTAGGTGGCGAGTACCTTTATCTGTAAATCTGCTAGTGGCAAAGTAAAAATAATAGTATAAGTTTACGCACTTCGTAAATAGGTTGAACCTTCTAATCAACGTTCGATAATAAGTTCAGAGGCCCGAAGTTGACTGCTTTCCAAAATTCATAATCATTGTATGAAATATAAAATTATGTCATAGAAACTTTTACGAGACAAAATTATACACACAACAGTACACACGATGGTACTGATATTCGAGCAAGGTAGGCTCTACAGTTCAAATAGGCAATTATAAATGCCCAAAATGTTTGCGTCGCGTCAATCGTGTGTCTACATAAACATGACACGTCGCGCTAGCTCTCGAACTTCCGATTGGCATTTTTCGAATCGATGACCCTGACGCGCGGCGCTCGCACATGAACACACAGACACACTGGCCATTCCGCGCGTGCTTCTGCATCGGCACCGAATTCATATACCCAATGCATCAATGCAGTTGTCTCGTTGCTGATTCAATGTCACGATATTATTGTAACGATTATAACGATCGAGCCCGACGAGGTGTTAGCGCCACTTGATATAATGACGATGCGATTTTTTTTGTTGAAAAAAAAAAACTCCATGCACGCGTTATAGAGCACACCGATTGCCGCAAGGATAACGGCCCGAATTCTGAGCATGGCTTGGCGCCGACATGTAGCATTCATGCATAGGTACGTACAAATCGTCGCAAACAATTACGCATACGATACTACGCGAGCTTTTTGCCGACAAACGATTGTTTACGAACAGTTCGTATCGTGTCTTACCAAATCGAGAACACACTCGATGCGCTGGCGATTGCTACTACCTCGAGTACACAAGGATGATTAACATTTCGACTTGTTTGCACCTGGTTTGTTTTCTCGAGTTATTATATCCTTGAATACGAATCGAGCGAGATTTTTTTGCAGCGATGCGACTGTGCGCTTTTTCCGTGCGTGGGAGTAGTAGCCGCGCACCGGTAGATATAACGTAACGCATAATATGGAGATAACACACTCGGACACCGCAGCAAACAAAGAATTAAGAGGGAACGAGAAATAAAAAGCGTGATATTTTTTGCATGTGAGCGCACTCACGCCTATATGTGTATATTAGCGCGAGTTTGAATCTTCCGTTTTGTGCATGCGTGACGAGATGAGTATTTGATCTATCTCGGGCTAAGATGACTCTTATACACATCGCGGAGCTGCTGCACGTCGCGAGCTGCAGTAGTAAGTGTCTCATATATACATCTGCGTGCAGCGCGTATATGTATAGGGGCTATATTGCGCGAGAAAGTGTGTCAATGCCGGCGGCGCTGTTACTGCTGCTGCTGCTGCTTCTCGCGGGCTACGTGCATTACACTTTTGTTTAAACTGGAGATCAGCGGTTAGATGCACATCACCACCGAGCTGTACGAGTGAGAGAAGCTGCTGCACGTACACCGCATATCATTATATATATGCCTGAATTTTCCGCGCTGACCCTGTCTCGCGAGATCTCGAGAGCCGATTCTACGTATACGTGCCTCGCGTCGTCGTCGTTCGAGCCCGAGCGAGAGATCCGAGCCAAAAACTCAAACGTGTATATTTTACGCGCGTTACGCATTGTGAACGAGCTATCTGTCTCTCGCGCTGGGAGCTGCTGCAGCATGTGAGCCGGCCAATGCAGCCGCGAGCTGGCCTACCGCAGCTACGAATGGGCGCGAAATCTTCGCGTTTGTTTTCATTTCATCTCTACATAGTTTAATACTTAGGTACGTTTCTAGAACGGCATCCGATTCCGATTATTCGCACGATGTTCGTTGCATAATTAACTTCCGAAAATTCATTCCGGATATACCTTTGTAATTTCGTCACTTATACCGAGAATAGTATAGCTATATACGAGGCTCATACGAAGCAATCGTACATGAACGATATTGCAACATCGAAATATTCATTACGAGGCCTCTCCCCCAAATAAATAAATAAAAAAATGGCAAAGACACACCATTGCGTAAGTCGTAAGCACAGCTCGAGATAATCGCTTGCAGCATCGAGTCGAGCTAAAGGACACGCGTGTGTGCATATACGGGATAATTTGTACCACTACATACGCGTATTATGTGCCGAAATTTCTAGATTGTGCTCGGCGAGACTCTCGTTCGCGACTCAAGATTATACGTATATGCGTGGGATAACTCGAATCGGTTTTCTTGGTGCTGCTGTCTATATGTATATGACGTCATTTTGAGCCAAGCAGTCAGACACGCGTATTTATACACAAAATCAGAAAAAGATATCGATCGAGCTCGCAAGTTCGTGTACTCGGGATTTGTTATGACTTTATAAGGTGCTGTTGTGCCTTTATGTGTATGGTGGCTTCGAAATTGACCGGCAATCGTCTCAGAGCTGCATTACAAGCAACAGATCGGTACATGACTGATTCCGTACCTTTTTTTGGTCGGCTCGAAAGTCCCTGCACTTTTCAAAGATATTTCCATCGAAATTAATATAAAAGCGAAGGAAGTTTTTTCCTATACACGCAAATGAATTTGATCCTGATCGTATTAATTTTATATTTTTACGTAAACATTTATATACTATTTGTATTTGTGAAACGTAAATGTGATTCATTTTGTAAATTCGAATTTCTACAAAACTACATTTCTTTTAACTTACACATTCATTTGGACTTTGCCATCTGCATTTCTAGAGATAAAAGTGCTCGACATCTAGCGGTGAATGCAGGCACAATTGAATATAGAATTAAATTTTTGGTGTTCATTATTTCGTTAAAAATAATGTATGTGATTGCATTTTCATGCACTTGTGCAGTCTGATATATTAACTCCCAAAGAAAATCTCATACAAACGATGATTATCAATTACTCTAATTTTAATATCAGATTTTACATTAAATCTCTTAGAAATTGAGTTTTTTTAATTTATATACATGGTACATTTCAATAAGAGCTCTATTCTTTGAGTGAGACTTTGTTGGTAAATAGTTTTGCGGTTATAATGAAGATAAAAGTAGATTTTGTGCCAGGTGAGAGACGTACTCTCAAATCTTGGCACTCTCAATGGGAGACTCGAGCAGTGCATACAGCACGATTATTCCACGCGTTTCGCGAAATTTTAAACCCCCCGAACGGTCAAGTGTATAAAAATATGCCGCACGGCGATACGCGCGACCGACTGAGAGAAATTTTGACATTGTATTTTTTTTAACAAATCGACGAGCTAATTGAGGTCTAGAAATTCGAAGAAAATTTCAAGATGAACATTGAAGTTTAAAAGTCAATTGGCAGCTTTTTTTCAAGCGGCCTCTATCGCAATTGAACTGCACGTTGAATCACATCAATTTCCAAGCAAAACCAATGGAAAAAAAGATTCTCGATTTTTCTCGATGATTACGCGCCGAGAAGGCAGAGATGTGCAAATATCTATACGAGTGCGCGCGGTTGTATCACTATATACCTCTGACTAACTATGCGTTCACCGCGACGAATATTCATCTTGACCTTCGTACGCCCACACACCGGTTTACGATGATCATCGTCATCTCGCGTATACATAGACATGTTGTTTCTGCCTTTTTTTCTCTTTTCTGCTCGCTACATATAATACACGTTAGATGCAATTTTTTCCTAGTCAATAGTTAATTACGTATACGCAGATGGAGTCGGAAAATCAGTCATCGGTCGCGGCTTATATATCTTGCAGTTTAGATTTCGATCCGAATCGAGTCAAATGATCAGTCGAGTCTTCTATAAGCACCGCGGCTTTTACGAGCTTTTGCCTTTTTCCGTTTCTGCGCCTCTATATAGATGTATTTAAGAGTCTGTGCGTTATTCAACGACACATTTACTCGCGGAAAATTAGAGTACACGGCTGATAACTAATGATCGCTGCTCTGCTGACCACTTGTTCTTTTTTTACCATTTTTATTTTTCTTTCTCTTTTTTTTTTGTTGACTTTCATCCCAGAAAGAAAAAAAAATCATAACAAACAATGATCTAAAAATATTTTTCACGAACAAAACGAAAAACAACAAAATACTCGAAATCATATATTGTATATTCTTCGTGCACGACCGTCTTGAAATAATAAGAAACTTATATAAAACGAAAACATATTCGCGCTTCGTTTTATTGTATACGAAAGAGAAAAAAGTCAAAATATGCCAAAGCATTACTCGGCGTTTATTAACGGCTCGTACACGTGCTTAATGAAAAATGCGCAATCCCTGCGATTTTGAAAACAGCGAGTCGCTTTTTCTGCCTCGCGTATACGCTGATGATCGTGGATGATCGTGGATAGTCTCGAACTTTCTTCAGGACTAATAATAAACACGAGTGAAACGGCGCGACTTAAACTCGCGAAAATGTTTAAATAAAACGGTCGGTAAGCCCGCCGGTGGCCGATCTGTCATATCCGCGTATGCGATATTTAAAACGATTCATGATTACAATGGGTGCAGAAAATGTCTCTCGCGATGATCTCTCTTGGAAAGCACAAATAAAGAATTTAGAAAAGTTTGATTTGAATACCGATCGGTATATTTGTTCATGCTGTATAGACGAAACATTTTCAAGACACGTCATAAACATCTCGCCCACAACTATAAGCTATTAAAAAAATGTTTGACTTTTATAAGACACAATGTCTGTTTAGTTGTCAAAGTGTCTGAAAGATTTTGTTCTAGAAACATTGATTAATATTAAAATGTTTGATTGTCTGAGCTTTATTTCAAAATCTTTTTTATCTCTTATAAATGATGACTTTTCCATCAGTAATTAAATTTTTTTTTTTTTTTTGCATAAAACATAAATAAAACAGTTCTCATTTACAAGTAAAATAATTGTTTACTGTTTTAGTAGTAGTAACAATACTAAATTTATGCTGAAAATAAAGATAGCGTGAACAGTGAACACTGTGAACTAGCGACATCTACCCATACGACCGAATTATACGGCTTGAGTCGGCACAGTGGATATCTTAGGCTCATTGAGCGAATCATGTGTCAGTGGACAGTGAACTGTGTGTATGCATGTATATTCTCACGTGTTCGTAGCTACGCTGTACTGTTTTCGATACTTCTTAAAATCTATTCTTCTGATCATTGAGTGAAAGAATTAATTGGAAAATGGAACAACAAACAACGACCAAAAAACCATTTGATAAGCGAAAATATCGCGATCAAAAATACAACAAGAAACAAAAACGTAAGTTGCGTTATTTTACAGGTTATAATATGCTTATATGAAAGCGTACTTTGCTTTTAATATTATTAAAGAAATTCATAATCGAGCACAAAAATTAAAATTTTTAGACTAATTTTTGTGCAAAAAACACAGTTTGTTTAAATTCATGCAAACTTTCTTAAAATAACAAAACAAAATATTCGCGTAGCTTTTTAAAAAAAGTAAACATTGAGTATGTGATTACAAGCACATTCAAATACAGTAATAGTTTGTAGGCTGGATGACATTTAAATTTTTAAATGAACTGTTATTGTGTAGAAAAATTAAATTTTATATTTTTTTACTTATTGCTTGCTCAGAATAAATTTCTACTTCCATTTCATTGTTACGCTTTTTATTGTACACTGTTTTTTCAATTAATTGAAATTATTTTATGATTTTTCCTAGCTATTATATTAATTATACTCTGTCTCCTGCATCTTTTAATAGTTTTAATAATAACAAAGACTTACTTTTGTTTTACAGTCAAGCAAGAACAAGAAAAGAGAAAAACTATTCTTGTTCGAAAATTGAGGAAAGAGTTGAAAAAAGATGACAAATATCGTATGTATGTTTCTCAAGTGGGTTCCAAAAACGAGAATAATGAGACAAATGAGCAAAATGACCAAGATGTACCAAGGTAGCTATTTGAAAAATTTGTTTATTCAAGTAATACAACTAAATAATATTTATTAATATCTCTATTTTATTTCAGTCAAAAAAAAGGAAAAAAATATATTCCCTTTTTATCTGCTAAGCAAGAATTAAAAAGAAAACAAGAGGAAGCTCAAAGAAAGAAAGAGGAAATTCTTAAGAGAAAAAAGGAAAAAGAAGAAGCTATTGAAAAATACAAACAAAAAAGAAAAGAAAAAAACATAAAATTATCCCAGAAAACAAAAAAAGGTCAACCAAAGATGCAAGGAAGATTAGAAATGTTACTTGAACAGATTCAAAGCACAATGGCATAAAAATAATAGTCTCTTTCACCTGTACATATTTAGTTAAGTAATAAATAGAATTTTTATTTTACAAACTTGTGTTTTAATGTCTTCATTTTGTGAACATGTAATTGGCTGCAAATTAAAAATGATTTTTAGTTTACGGTTCTAATCAAGAATTAATGAAGAGAGTGAGTGCAATGAACAACATAACTGATATTATTGTTAGTTCATATGTATTTATGTATTTTCAAACTAGTGTATTAAACGTACCATGCCTATGCTTTTTTACTGATTGTTCATACAATTGTGAACTAAGAAAGTTGGTTTTAATTTTAATAATAAAAATCAATTTCATCAAAAACCTTCAAATGAAATCAATTAAAATATTCAACTATTATGAATAAGACAATGTGATGAGTCACTTAGCATAATAATAAGTTCATGAAAAGTATCAAATTTTCCACACATTGTAGCAAAATGAAATTGAAACTTCGCGCTGTAAACTATAGCTGTTTATCATTGGTAAAACCGCTAGTTATAGGTATATTTGCGCGCAAAAGTTGCAAATAACATGCTACAGTTGGCGTTGGTTTCTGCACACCAACACAAAGTCAAGCTGCCGATACGAGCCGACGTTCACTCTGTACACTTGCCTTGCACGTACGTTTATGTGTATGTGTGTGTATAAAATTTCGGGGCGTGCGCGGCGGCGGCCGCGCCGCGGTGCAATCGTGGCGCGGATGCCTCTGCAAAGTGTGCTTGTGCTATATCGATGATAATATACATCACGTACAGGCGCGCAGCCACAGACTTTTGCGATCGGAGCAGTACGTAAATTTGATACGGGCAAAACGCAAGAGTATAACAGTCAAAAAGTCGCGACCGAGTGCAGGTTGTGCGAGTGTGTGCGTAAGTGTCTCATGTGTATATTATAAAAAAAGAGGCAGAGTAGTATATAATATACGGCCCAGCAGCAGGCAGCAAAAGCGTATATAAGCAGCGCAAGGGAGCTCCGAAATCTCGAGGGCCCGCAGCTAGCTCCGATATCGATATATACAACAACTCGTGTAGGTGTTACATGCTCTCATAACGTCCCGCAAGGATCCGTGTGTCGCGCGGTGCTCCTTTATAGTAGGTGTATGTATATAGTAGTTGTATAGCTGCGGCCGCACGCAAGGAGCAAAAGCAGCGTGTAGTTGTGACTCCTTTTTAAGTGTTCTCTCGTCGTACGCTCTCCTCGTATATGTATGTATGTAACAAATCGCGCTTTAAGAGAACGCGAACATTGTTGAGTGCAAATGGCGACAGGTAGACGTTAGCAATTGCTCTTATACGAGGGTGCCCCAGCGAATTTAGACAGCCGCTGCACAAGGCTTTATCAGCGCGCGGGTTCGCATTCCATTTTGCTGGCGAGCGAAAGGCCACTTTCGACAGCTGTCTCTCGAGACGCTATACATATATATTTATTTGTACTAGCCGCTTCGTCATCCTCGTCACTGCTGCTGCTGCTAGTTGCTGCTGCTGCTGCAGTCTGCATAAGCGTGAGAGCATATCTCGACGGGTACACCCACCCTTTCGGATCTATCGGAATCGAACATATACGCCCTCGTTTGTAAGTACAGTCGACGTTGCTTCTACACTATAGTTATGGTCACTCGATCAACCTTTTCTCATTCTCTCTCTCTCTCTTACTCGCTCTTACTCTAAGCGAGCAAAGTCGCATCGATCGGCTCTCTCTCTCTCTCTCTTTCTCTCTCTCACTCGCTTACTCTATGCGGTTAAGTACCGAGAGAAAAGTGTCAGGTCGACAAGAGAACAAGAGAGAAAGAGAGACAGAGAGTGTGTGAGAGAGAGGCAAGTGTCCTCATATAATAATACGAGAGAATCTTTGCCATTGCTGCTGCATACATCGGAGCGAACAAAATCTCTATTATCGCATCTTTCGCTTGCGCTGCTCCGAAATGTATGTGTGTATCGTCTGTCTTCGTCCGTTTCCTCGGTGCCCCTATGCTCGCTCACACTATCGAGCCACGCGCGCGTCATATATGTATACACACACACACAATACATGTATTAACTATCAAAGATATGTTGTTTGTGTTGAGTCAGTCACGTACATTCTCTCTCTCTCTCTCTCTCTCTCTCTCCTGCATGTTTTTGTATGTATCCGCGTAACGGACGCATGCAAAACCACTCTCGGTCTCTGAAGATTGCCTGTTGTACATAATGCGCGACGCTTATTTTCACTTGGCCCTATATACACCAATTCTCTTTAATTCAGACGATGATACGCTTGGCAGAGCAATGTGTATGAACTTTCGAATGACTGTCATCGAGAAAAAAAAATTGAGCCACGCAACCAACTGGTTTTCAAATTCTACTGATCGTGGAGGTGTTGACTTTCAACTTTTTTTACGCCCCTATCGATGTTTTCTGTGATGATTTTTGAGTAAGGGATGAAAGCGGTGAAAATTATGAACACCGCGTTTTATATTCAAGCGAAGAATAATATGCCTTTGCACAGATAGCCTATGCATCATTAATATTTGATTACAACACACTGTGCATAAGATTGAAGTAATTTATCATGAATCATTGATACAACTAACACATTGGCTGTGTAACAGTGGCTATCTTTATGGTAGTTGAGAGTACAACCTGAACATTATACAAATCCTTCATCGAGTTGCATTGAGAATGAAGATACAGAGAATGAAGATGAGAGAGTTGTTTAATGATATAACAAGTATTTTCATTACTCTTTTAGATGCAGGAAGATGACAGTTGCATGTACAAAGCTGTGACATACCAATTAGGTTTTTTTCATTTAAATTTTTTTTACAGTACTAAGATTATATTATATTGATTTAAAATTTAATTTAGGTTATTGAAATTATCTCTAATTTGTTAAATTTATTGCATTTTTTCAGGTGAAGCACTACTTTAAATAAAAAGAAACCAAAATGCCAGCTGTTCGAGGAGATGGTATGCGAGGTCTCGCAGTTTTTATTTCAGACATTAGGAATTGTAAGTTAAATTGTTTATTATTCAATATATTTCACTTGAAAATTGAATGACATCATATATGCTTAAACATGTTGAAACATATTTAGACAATACATAATCAATCAATATAAAGAATATTAAGATTTATGTTTAAAGCATAAAATTTAGGGGCGGAGTTTGATACAAGCTTATCTATTTGATATTGCATACATTGCTGCCTTTTTTATAAATTTGCTGTTACTCAACTCACTCTATGTTCTTTCATAGTATATTAAACAATTATTCATTATATTTCTTTTGAAATAAATTCAACAGATAAAATCTCATTTAAAAATAGATCTATTATTTACTTTTTGTCATATAGTATGACAAATCAATCTATCAATATATGTATTAATTTGATGCTTTTCCAAGTGGCTCAATGCCATTTGCTTCATAATCTCAGTCATTACATCATCCCTTCATTTTAGTAAATTATGATTTTATCATAATCTTTCTTCTACACATTATTGAAAATATTTGTTGTTACAGGCAAAAGTAAAGAAGCTGAGATTAAAAGGATAAATAAAGAATTGGCCAACATTAGAAGTAAATTCAAAGGAGATAAAACTTTAGATGGCTACCAAAAGAAGAAATATGTCTGTAAACTTCTCTTTATTTTTTTACTTGGCCATGATATCGACTTTGGGCACATGGAAGCAGTCAACTTATTGTCTTCCAATAAGTACTCAGAAAAACAAATTGTAAATAATTATGAATTACTTTATTCTTTTTATTTAAACATGATGCTTTAATGATGATCATTTTTAGGGATATCTATTCATATCAGTTTTAGTTAATACAAACAGTGATTTAATTAAGTTAATCATTCAAAGTATAAAAAATGATCTGTCCTCTCGTAATCCAATTCATGTTAATCTTGCGCTACAATGTATCGCAAATATTGGGAGTAAAGATATGGCTGAAGCTTTTGGAAGGGAAATTCCGAAATTACTTGTATCTGGGTAAATCTAATCAATTTTCTTTATCTTTCAAAATTAATACCATTGACAAAGATTTTTAACATTTGTGATGAAATTTATAATAGCGATACAATGGATGTTGTCAAACAAAGTGCTGCCTTGTGCCTTTTACGGCTATTAAGAACGGCTCCTGAAGTTATCACGGATGGAGAATGGACTTCTCGCATCATACACCTATTAAATGACCAGCATTTGGGTGTTGTTACTGCAGCAGCATCTTTAATTGATGCACTTGTAAAAAGAAATCCTGATGAATACAAAGGATGTGTTGGTTTAGCTGTTTCTCGTTTAAGTAGAGTAAGCAGAATTTCAAGTTTTATGAAGATAATAATTACTTTCAACTTATTTAATATTCTTATTCATTAAATTTTAGATCGTAACATCTAGTTATACTGATCTTCAAGATTACACTTATTACTTTGTTCCTGCTCCTTGGTTATCTGTAAAATTGTTGAGATTGCTTCAAAATTATAATCCTCCTGGTAAGTAATAATTTTTAACGTTGTTAGACGTAACTGACATTTTATTATAAAAAATATCCACTATTTCAGCCGAAGATCCTGGCGTCAGAGGAAGGTTGAACGAATGTCTGGAAACAATTTTGAATAAAACTCAGGAGCCGCCGAAGTCTAAGAAAGTTCAGCACTCTAATGCTAAGAACGCTGTACTCTTTGAAGCTATCAGCTTAATTATTCATAATGATAGCGAGCCCAATCTTCTCGTACGAGCTTGCAATCAACTTGGTCAATTCTTATCGAATCGCGAGACCAACTTACGCTACTTAGCTCTGGAATCGATGTGCCATCTTGCCACATCGGAATTCTCTCACGAAGCTGTGAAAAAGCATCAAGAAGTCGTTATTCTTTCTATGAAAATGGAGAAAGACGTCTCTGTCAGACAGCAAGCGGTTGATTTGCTTTATGCCATGTGCGATAAAAGTAATGCAGAAGAAATTGTACAAGAAATGCTTAATTATTTGGAGACGGCTGATTACTCTATTAGAGAAGAGATGGTTTTAAAAGTTGCTATTCTGGCAGAAAAATACGCAACGGACTATACTTGGTATGTCGATGTTATTCTTAATCTCATTAGGATAGCTGGTGATTACGTTTCAGAGGAAGTCTGGTATCGCGTAATCCAAATCGTCATCAATAGAGATGACGTGCAAGGATATGCTGCAAAAACTGTATTTGAGGCATTGCAAGCACCAGCATGCCACGAAAATATGGTAAAAGTCGGTGGATATATTCTCGGAGAATTCGGCAACTTGATTGCTGGCGATCAACGATCATCGCCACTGGTGCAGTTCCAGCTTTTACATTCCAAATATCATTTATGTTCTCCAATGACGCGCGCGTTACTTTTATCAACGTACATTAAATTCGTCAATCTTTTCCCGGAAATAAGAAGCCAAATTCAAGATGTATTTAGACAAGACAGTAATTTACGTAGTGCTGACGCCGAACTTCAGCAACGAGCCTCTGAATATTTGCAACTCAGCATTATAGCTTCTACAGACGTTCTAGCTACCGTTCTCGAAGAAATGCCTGCATTCCCTGAGAGAGAATCGTCTATACTGGCAGTACTGAAGAAGAAAAAGCCAGGTCGCGTACCCGAGAACGAAATACGAGAAGGCAAGAGCCCAGCACCGAATGCTAATCACCACAACGAAACATCTGCTGTTTCATCTGCCGCCAACAATTCTTCTGCAGATTTGTTGGGACTTTCTACTCCACCGTCATCTCAACCAACGGGCAATACGGGTGTTCTTTTTGATGTTTTGGGAGACATCTACAGTGCCACTAATAAGCCAACATCTAATGGAACTCAAGCCACATATAACGCTAAAAAGTTTGTTTGCAAAAATAATGGTGTATTATTTGAAAATGATCTTATTCAAATAGGAGTTAAATCAGAGTTCAGACAAAATCTTGGCAGAATTGGTTTATTCTATGGAAATAAAACGCAGCAAGCTTTACTTAATTTCCAGCCACAAATTTCATGGTCTGATGAAAATCAAGCAAAACTTTCTGTGCAAGTAAAACCTGTTGACTCATCTTTAGAGGCTGGTGCTCAAATTCAACAATTGATAAATGCCGAATGTATTGATGATTATACCGGTAAGCAACATATTTTATTATTAATAAATCTTTTACTAATAAAGTTTGGAAAACAATTTTGAAATATTTATTTTTTATTTTTATAGATACCCCTAGTATGATCATCTCCTTTATCTATAATGGTTTACCTCAAAAGATTTCTATGAAATTGCCATTGACCATAAATAAATTCTTTGAACCAACTGATATGAATGGAGAATCATTCTTTGCCAGATGGAAAAATCTTGGAGGGTATGCATAAATCACATAATAATTCTATGAAATATCATCTTAAATTGACCCCAAATACAACTAAATTGTAATCTAAAATTTTAGCATAAATCAACAGCGGTCTCAAAAAATATTTAAAGCTCAGACGCCGATGGATTTGTCTCAAGTTCGCTCAAAATTGAATGGTTTTGGAATGCAACTACTCGATGGTATTGATCCCAATCCCGATAACTTTGTTTTGGCAGGTATAATTCATATGAGAGCAGGACAAGTTGGTTGTTTATTACGTTTAGAGCCAAATAAACAAGCTCAGGTAAATTGAAAGGATTCCGAGAATAATCATTAAATATCTTTTCACACTAAATCAGGGAGAGAATAAAATTAATTTTGTTTTACAGATGTTCCGGTTAACAGTACGATCAAGCAAAGAATCGATATCTGTAGAGATCTGCGATCTGTTAGTGGATCAATTTTAAAAGTTCATAGATATGATTATATCGAAGTGAACATGAACATAATTTTTTACATAATGTAGAAAATGATCATTAAATATTTATCTGTAGATTACACAAACAAATTGGATAATAATATGCTCCTATGAAAGTGCAGTAAGGAAAGGATGTTATTTAAAATTCGTCAAGTTAAAAAATACAAAAAAAGAATGTAAGGTATATTTCTTTAAGCTTACAACCACTATTATGCACTGTATAAGAATCAAAGAGCCTTCTCGTTGTAGCGCTAATTATGTGTAAACTTTTTGGTTACCGCGTAGAACAAAGTTTAAAAAAAGTCGAATTATAAACGAGATTGAAATTGCGATTGGTGGACAGAATATAGTGCGGTAGAAGTAGTGGACAGTATTAGTCCGTAAATACATTAAAGTGCACGAAATGTAAATGAGGTCAGTTGTAATCTAATTTTACTAGCACGTCTTACCTCATTTTTTTAATTCTTCTGTTGCGATTATTTTCAAGCAGAACAAGATAAAGACTTGATTAACCGTACTGTTTTATATTGTAATTGTATTCAAAAAATGAAAAAGGCGCGACAAAAATTTAATGAAATAGTCATCTGAACAAGAATCAAAGTTTAGTTATTAGAAAAGATTCGGGAAGGACCTTTTTTCAATTGTACATAAGCGCCTATTTTTCGTTAATTTTATGTCGATTTTTTAATTGAAGAACTTACGTGTTGGACAATGGTGAACTCGTAATGTTGATATATGTTATGTACATTTTCTTTAGATATTTCTAATGTTAGTTTGATAAGTTTCTGTCTGTCAAATACTCTGTTTTCTTAAGTCTAATATGTCTGTTCATGATTCATTTTTATATTAAACATTAATTTGAAATACAATAATAGAATTGACGATTGTCGAATTTGCTACAATTTCTTTAAATTGGGACTCAATCTTATCAAACGAATCTCATCATAACTTATACATAAGTAGAATAACGAGCTGACGAGATTGACGTCGCTTTTAAAAATATGAACGTACCAAATCGCAATGAATTTAACAAAGGCTTTATTATCGCAATACCAATTACCAATTTATTATAGTCGTAGAAAAATCGACAATCGGAAAAGGCGTATGAATTGCATCAATGATTTCAATATTAATGCACAGTAAACGATTTAAAATGTTGAAAAAAAGTTAATTGTTTCATGATGATAGAATGTTAAAATGTGTACAAAGATAAAATGAATGAAATAATGGAGCGATAATTTGGATCGCTTTGTCAGCCTCTTTGCTGTATAATGAAATAAAAACATGTATATCCGACGTATGATATAAGGTGCAAACTTGTGAGGTGTATGTGTATGTGTTGTTCATACATATTATACATATAAAAAAACTATATTATTATAAATATACAAATATACAAACGAATGTTGTTGAATCATGCGCAGTGAAGTTTAGCTAAGTGTAGACGTTATTGGTGTCAGTCCGTGAATTTGTCTTTTTCTCTTCTTGATGAGGCACAATACCTCTAAGTTTAATTTATTATTTAGAGTGTACAATTGCGTTGATCCGCCCTATTATTAACTATTCAGCTTCTTTACAATTAATGGGAAACTTATCATCATCAAGTCAGATGTATTAACTAATTTTATTGATTTTTTGTTTACTTTTAAAGTCTATATGTTTTATCTATATTTTTGTCTCAAAGGTCCATCAATTAATTATGTATTTAGTCTGACTAGTTTTATCGTGATGCTCGTCGCATGTGATTATTTCCCGTTTTTACTTTTTCTCTTTTTGCATGTAAAAATATTAAATTATGTTATTTGATATGATTTGTAACTCGGAGTTACAGCCCCGCATCAATTCAAAAGTTTACAAATGAAATTTCTGTAATTTTTTCGTGCCTGTTTGAATGAAAAAACAAATGACCAATGAACAACTTTAAAACGTTAAGCAGTTAAAATGATTCATTGAATGATAAAATATAGTATCTCACCATGTAATACATGCGTTCAGCATGTATGGTTTTTGAACGTATATTGCGGAAACCAAAAAACAATATCGAGTTCAACATTTATTTGTAAATTCTATCTATTATATCAGAAAAATGTTATGAAATAAATTTAATTAAAAAATTCCAATCAAGATGTTCAGTACTAAAAAAATACAAGTAAACCTGATTTTCGATACAGCTGCATTGCTTCAAGTAGTTAAATAGCTGCAATGAATTGGATAGGAATGTTATGAAGGAAAAATACGGTTCTATTACATTTAACGATTTTAATATCAAATAAACGGTGGAAAATATCATTTTTAGTGACTAATTTATTATGACTTATAATTATTACAATAACAAACGCATGAAAATTACACAACTGCAAAGTCAATAGAAATCCTTATAACTTCAAAACTTTGGTATTGCACTTTGACGTACATTTGTGAATACCTTTACACATTTTTGCGTTTATCTTTGTAAATAGTACATTATAGAATAACACTATGGAAGTACACGTAATACTCAAAAATTACATCGACCTTACAAACTTAAATTGGCATTACTGTTTGGTTGTTTAATAAAATCTATTTCCTCAAAATAAAAGAAGTTATCCCTAACACGTTATTACGGATAATTAAAAAAATAAAACACGTAATTAAGCCGTATTCGACCATTGTATCTCAGAACGGCAAGCAAATCCTTACATAATCATAGATACATGGGGTTTAAACTTAATAGACCATCAACTCTCATTTTTTGCTCTCGTTTTAAAAGTCTTTCCATTAAATTTGGTTAACTTTATTTCTTATAATTGGACACACTCGAGATAGTAGAGTTTATCCTACGCGCGCGCCACGATGTTTAAGCTTATTATACCATCCCGCTTGGTAAAACGACATATATATACTCACAGTCTCTTATGCGCCATAATAAAAGTTTTTAGATCGTTAAGCGTAGGATAACGAGATTGAAAAAAGAGCTTACTTGCGATGCAAAAAAATCATGTAAAATTACAGGTGGAAGAAAGTTTTTTCGAGAGAAAATTTGTAGTTTCGGAAACGATTCAAATGGCGCGCACACGCGCAATTAGCAATCGAAAGTATTCAGCAATGAAAACATGCCCCGCTGTGCATTTGTTTAAACCACGTTATTGTGTTAATGTGTTTGATAATAAAATCAATTGGTTATATGTAAATATACATTTATCAAGTACATATGCTCAATTGTATCAAGCTTTAATTGTTACCAAAAACGAATCGCCGCAGAGTTGGTGCAGCTTTAAACTGCTTTCCATAATGTTGAATTGTGTTGTAAAATAAAGAACATATCGACATTGTACATTATAAATCACGCGCGGAGATGCGTGTGATTTATACAATAATTGCCTGGGCGCGCATCGATCGATTCACATCTCCGCTGCGTCAACATCGACACCTGTTATGAAATATAAATACTGTAAGATCGATCGTTTAAAATAATAATTACAATAATAAAAAGAACAATTATGTACAATGCCGCGTTACACGTGATTTTTTTTTTGTAAATCCCATTTACATGACAAACATATTGTTGATCATACACTACTCTATGCTATTTATTAATCATGACTAGTTTGCATATTGTATTCGACGATGTTCATTTTTCTTGTCATGCCTACACTTCGAGCGATGAAATGAAAACAAAAATACATTCGTATTCCGGAAGCGAACATGAGAAATGTTTCAAAATCATTTTTTATGACCATTCTTATGTAAATGGATTTGTTTTGTGTCTTTTTACATCGTTGAATCGCTATAGGTTTTCACTTTAGAATACGATTTACGGCCGCCGATATTTAAAAAACAAGACGCGATACAATCGGGGACACGTATGAAACTATAAAATCAGCGTAGAGTTTTATAGACACTTTGAACGAACAATGGATAGTAAAAAAAACTGTCGTCAAACCGATCAATTTATACCATACTCACACTGCACTCTTATATAGCACCTCTTAATCATATTAAAATGTCTCTACAGAATCGCAATATTTCTTTTTGCCGCCTGTTTTTTTATACTCGTTTGTATGAGCGCTGTTTACGTTAAATCATAATTAAATTGGGCAATTTGACCGACGATTCAAACGATGAATTCTGTAAAATCTTCTAATCTAAAATTCCGTCATACTTTTCTAAAAGCTGTGCGATTCATCTAAGTTGAAAATAAAAGAAGAAGTTATCCGAAGCTTTAAACTGCACGAGTTAAAAAAAGTCAGTAAAAGGAACACGGAGATAACAGGACGAAATGCAATGCACTTGGCAATTTTGAAGTTTTACCGGGAGCTGGTACAGCATTTCGTGTGCGTGTGTACGCGCGTGTGTGTGTCTCTTCGGTTCGCGAGTGAAAGCTGAAAAGCCGTAAATTTAAATTTTACATCATCAGCCTTTCCCACGCGCACACGAATTTTAACCGCTCATTATATTTTTTTCTCTCCATTTGCAGAGCGATATTTCCACTGGAGGCGGGTATGCAACTTTTTCTGCGGAATATTTATGTCACCGGATAAAATTCACACGCGTCGACGGGCTCGCAAGAGGAGATTTTCGTTGAAGTTTCGCGTAAAAAAAATGAGCGCGTCGATCGACGCTCTCCAGTTTAGTCGAGCTGCTGGCGCCGTTGCTGCTCGTGCTGCTGCTGCTGCAACGAGTTGGCCCTGGCTCGTAGCTGCTGCTGCTCCTTGAGCTGGGCCTGGGCGTCCTGCCACAGGAGCCTCTCCCTCTCGCGCTCGGCGTCGATCTCCCTCGTCAGGTCGACGTTGACGAGCTCGCTCTGCTCACCGGTGTTGCGGGCGTCCTCGGGCGCCAGGTAGATGGCGGCCTCGCGATGATGCTGCTGCTGGCACTTGTGCCGGAAGTCGGGATTGTCGGGCGCCTGGCGCAGGCACGAGTCGCAGATGGTGTCGCTGCTCGCGGTGCAGGCCTTGGCCTCGTACAGGCCCGGGCCGCAGCGCGAGCACAGCCAGCAGGGCTGGGTGCCGTGATGGGGCGAGTAGCTGCCCGGCTGGCACTCGGCGCACTTGGTGTCGCGGCCCCGCGAGCAGTGCTCGACTACGCCCCAGCCGGGCGCGCAGCGCGAGCAGTGCGAGCTGCCCTCGCCCCGGTGGTGACGTAGGTGAACTCGTGCTTCGGCGCTCTGCAACACACACAACAAAAAACGTGATGAATTAGAGAGGGTGCATTTTATTTTTAACTTTATATTCTATCGAAGCAGAAAGAATAAATGATTGAGATTATTCAATTTAGCTAGAGTGGTAGGATCGATGGTAATGTCATTTGTCGACTTGAAAAAAGATATCCACCTTGAATTTAATATCATTGTATTTATAAAAATAGCCAACCTTCCATCGTGGAAAAAGTCGTGAATTAAAAATGCCGCAAAGCAAGAGAAATGGCAGTACACGAAGTAAAAAAAAGAATACAGTTGGTCAAATCAAAAGTACGAATCAAAATTTCTCTGGATATTATTTCGCTCCGACGTGCGGTACACGATACATGTGTCGTGTGTGCATCGCGGTATATATAAAGCCATTGTGAAATTGGCGCGCGTGCGGGCTTCACGTTGAATTATTCACGTAGTCTGTGCACGGGGCTCCACGCGCGCGGTGATATACATATAACGCGCGCAGAGGTATATGAGAGAGAGAGAGAGTGCGAAATATGCGCGCGTTAGCCCCCGAACAGGTGTTATATAGCTTGGCGCGCGCAAAGCGTATTACGTGTATATGGAGGACGAAAGCCAGCTGACTTGAAGAAATAAGCCGCGCGAGCGCGCGTATAATGCAGCCTGGCTCTTTTTTTGCCCAAGCCGCGTGTGCACATAAGTGTATTGCTGAAAAAAGAAGAATCCTCGTGTATACGTGACGGGGCAAGTTTGCAACGGCACATTTTGATGTACGATAGAGAGGGTTGCGTATACAGTAGCCGCAATTGAATCTGAAAATAAGCCAAACTCTCCAGCGACCGCAAGCGGCTGTGTTTAAGCCTCGGTGTATATATAATATATGCAAGAGGTCGCAGCAAGCAAAATTGATCTAGCGATCGGGGGTGCAGGATGCTATATGCCGTTATATATGTGGCACACGTTTGAGCTGTTGCACGGGGAGCTAATGAGAGTTTTTACGAGGATACTGCGTGGGCGTAGTACGGTATAGGTCGGTACTTCGTGGCTGCAGCAGCAACAACTTTTACTTCTCTCATTAGCGTTTTCCCAGCTTAAAATGAGCTTTTGCGCCGGGCGACTACTCGCTCTCGAGAGCTTTCGCGAAATTCCGTATATTAGCAGCTGCTGGAAGGTTGCGAGTCGAGTCTATATATACTTACACACACAACGTAAGATACTGTGTATACTTATATATCGGTCAGCTCCTCGTGAATTGACTATACATAGCTCTGCACTCACTCGAAAACTTCCAAGTTTCGAGAGGAGGAAGGGAGAGAACTGCGAAATTTTTCGCGAATTATAAATCGATCGCTGCACAGCGTATATGTACTCTTGATATAACGAGTATCGAAATACCAAAGTGTTTGAAGGGCTGCGGGCCTGTGCAGCTGCCTGCAGGAGCCACGTGCCCGCCTCCTCCTACTCCTCCTCTCGAGCGCGCAGCGCTTATAGCAGCACGCCTATACACAATAATTCCGCCGGCTAATACATATTCACGCGCATAACATAACGGCCACTTGTTTTCTCGCAAGCTGATACGCGTGTATATAATAATAAATAATACATCGACGCTCGGGCTTCTTAATCGTTTTGATTACATATTTCGTTCGCGTTATGAATATCACGGAAAATATTTCGGGAGTTCAAATTTTCGTTGCTTGCTCGCCCGTCGTCAAAGAACTGCTATGCTGCACAAGCTAAATTTCTCTCGTGTACACGTGAAATGCTGCCGCGCATAGCTATGCGAAAATCAAACGAGAGAAATATTTCATAAGACAGTTTCGAGAGCTCGCGAAATTTCGGTGTTTATAAAAGTACAATAAAATTATTATGAGTACAGTATATATGACGCGAGAGAGAGAGCAAAGCTCCGCAGTGCGCGCATAATATAAGAGCACATTCGTACGCGCTGCATACACACGGAAAACGGCGTAGATATATTATTTGCTCGCAAAATTTCGGGTAATTTCCGCGAGAAGCCCCTCGCTATTGCGAAATTCATTAACTTTGCTCTCTCTCTCTCTCTTTTGTACGCGCACACGTATACATGCACACGCACTCGTAAAGCTAGCTACTTTTTGAGCTTTGTATATTTGATGTAAGTTATTCATCACTTTAATAAACAATTTTTGAATCGGAAGTAGCTAGATTTGATAAAGTAAAACAAAGGGAATGGAAATCAATCGATCGTAGCTGGATTTATTACGATCATTATTAATTTTTTTTTCGTTTTCAATTATCGATGACAGCTTTGATCGACAAATGAGCTCGAGAATTATATATCTCAACAATTCATAACGATTTTCTTCTCGTGGTATTATTATGGAGTATTTGGTTTCTATAGCACACTTTTTGCTCCCTCTTTGAGTCTTTTCTGTACTTCTACCAATACTCGCTCTCTATACTTTTATTCTCTTCATTTCGAAGTGAATATCGAACTTCCTAGCTCTCTGCGCTTATAATATAAAAGCACCTTTACCAAGTGCAGCCAGATAGCCGAGTCGTACGCTTGAATCGCTTATTTTTTCTTCCTTTTTTTAACTCGATACCGTAACTCCTTTAACTTCATTATTGCAGGGTAATGATCAAGATGAAAATAATGAAATTTCGATCGGATCGGAGGGTAGTTTTGATACGCGAGGTATTTAATTAGAAGCAAGTTGTAGAGTTTCCAAAAAAAGAGAGAAAGAAATACAGAAAGGAAACTTAATATACACCTAGTATCTAGGTGGACCTTGGATATGAAACGAAATAAATATTTCCGATTGAATAGAAATCAATAATTTCAAAGCAGATATTAACTTTTCTGATTTTTCTTTCATTATATTATCGATTCAAATCCAATCGCAAAAATAACACCGTCAATTAATTGTAATCAATAACCTATAAATGAATTATCATAGAAAGTAGAGCATTTGTAGATTAATAAAAAGTTGTTCGACTGTCGTAATATTATCGAGACGAAGATGTAAAAGATATCCAGAAATATGATTGGGTCCCACAAGATAGAAACAGTATTCAACCCTGGCAGAAAATCTCGACATTAATAATGGATAGATGAAAAAAAATAGATAAAACCATTTAAAATGATTTTAATTACCATACCATCGATTAAATTTTTTGCGGCGATATTTCTGTTGCACTTATGTTGAAAATATTAAGTGTATTTTAAATAACTTGAAATGACAATTAGATCGTTTTAAAAAAGTTTTACTACTTTTTAACCATTTCAACACGGACTAATATCTTTAACTCTTAACCACTAGATGGCGAGTAACATTATCTATTAATCTACAAGTGCCAAAGTGAAAATGATCGTATATAAGTTAAAGCACGGTCATTCGAATATGTTCAATTTAAACATTTCTACAACCTCGCGAGAAACAAATTGCAAAAAATAATTTAAAAAAGTTATTGATTAATAAAAATCTTTTTTTTTCATAAAGGACATGATGTTTGAATACATCAAAAAGAAAAATGAAAACATATTACAATGATATTTCCAAGATGTTCAATAATATCAAGTTTCAGAATGAATAAATCCATAAAAAAGTTGATCCCAAAAAATGTGGTATGAAAAATATTAATAAAATAATAATATTGAAAATGGGGTTAAATGAATCGAATATTTGCTTAAAAAATATATTATTCTTGATTCTCGTTATCGGATGAATGAATACGTAATTAATTTGAACGGATTTATTTGCAAAAGAGGCTTTTGTTCGCATTACAATAACATCTGCGCCAATAATTGCTCAATTTATTATTTGTTCTACCATTTAATTTATTTACCCCAATAAATTTTTTTCAATTATACTTCTAGCAACGTAAATTGTCGATATCAATTTAAAATCTCAAACATCACAATGGTAAATTGGAAAAAATAAAAAGAAAGGAAAAAAAAGTCGAACACGAGATCGTTTGCGGGAAGGGAGCAAACGACGCCGCAGTATATATATCGCCTTAACAAGTCCTCTCTCTATACGTCACGTATTTATCCTCTAATAGAACCTGTCACTTAATTAGAAAGGTAATAAGAGACGCCCCCGGTACACGTAAGGCTGCCTTCCGTACGTATACGTATATATTTATAACATACGAAGCTAAGGATGCGCAATACACGTCAATTTCACGGTAAAACGAGCATCAGATATCCTCGTTACTTCTCAAGGTTCTATTTAATATTCCAACGCGGATAAAATACCCTCGAGTTCGTCAAAAAGTGACGCGTGTCCAATACATGATTTAGACAGGATAAATCGGACAAAGAGTTCAACTTCCACCAAAAATAATCTTTTCAGCTGTAGCAGTCCGCTAACTAGGTTGAAATCATTACGATGACACTGCACCTATATACGTCCATCATATTTAGGCGAGCCGAGCCAAAGTCACAATTCGCTCGACGACGACGACGACGTCGTCCGCCCAACAATCAAATTTCTCTGCGTCGAGTTAGTTCCTCGTAAGGAGAGGGATGTGGAGAAAAGGGCCGAGTAATTTTGTTATAAAACTAGGCGAAAAACAAAAGGTTTCCCCCAGCGGCCGTGTCACCGGGAAAACAATGGAGTCTGCGAAGCGCGAGAGAAATGTGCACCCGAGGCTATGGCACATAAGGTGTGTATTCGGTGTGTGCACCGGCGCGTATATATATTCATTCACGACGACGACGACCCGAGAGCGACCACACAAGTAGCTATGCGTGTGTGTGTGTGTGGGTGGGTGCAGGTAGCTCGAGCGCTGACTAATTCAAAGCGACAGAATTCCTGAACAACCTTTGTCGTACTTGATAGAAAATTGTGTCGGCAAGTGTATCATAATTATAGGTACACATGTACACACGCAGAGAGGCTTGCGCTGCGGCTGTCGCACACAGGCTATTTTTGGTCTCCGGACTAATTAGTGGCGCACGCGTTAATATTTGTCAAGCTCAAAGTTTTCCCATATTTATATCGTACCTTTTTTTTTCTCGCGAA